CGCTCTTACTTCGATCCGTAACATTTATCTATAGCTTCTACTCCTCTTTTATAGTACGCTATTTATTCTTTAACTACTCGGTAGTAATAGTTAACTCGAACTTTCGTATTATCGATTCGGCTACTATACTAAGGTCCTTTAGCTAATAGTTTTAGCTATCTATCTTTACCGAATTAAGTGCTTTTAGGCGCTCTAAGAAGTTCTTAATAATAGCGGTCGTAAATCGAGACAAATCTAGCTAAACTAATATCTTTTTCCTCTTCGTTATCGTAGTAGTCTTATCTATAGCCTTCTTCCTTTTCGGCGCTATATCTACCGCTATAAACGAGTTAAAAGAGCTTAGAACGTAGTTAGAAAGAGCCTAGAGTATACGTATATATATTAGATAAAGTAGTATTAAAAGAACGCGATAGATAGTATAAAATACTAAGAAACTAGGCTAGAAAGAGACTATTTTATAGATACTATAGTATACCGGCTGTCTACTTTATAACCTAGGTTATTAGGTTATTCGTAACACCGATTAACCCTAGCAATCTATAACCTATAACCTCTGAAGTAGACGGGGCCTCAGGGACATGGATGTATGTGTGGACGCTCTCGGATACTACCGACGGAATTTTAGCTACATCAAGCGGGCTCAAAACGCTTCTAGGCTAATATACAGCCGCCGACCTACGCACGTCGTCGTGAGACAGAGGTTATCGAATTGCGAAGCGCCGCATTTCAATTCTTGGGGCACCCTCCCGGATCGCGAAAGTTCCAGTTCGCGTGTTGCTTCTGCCCGGTCTCTTTCGTCTCATAAGCCCAAAAGTGTTCGCGTAAGGTGTCGCACAGGAGCCTCTTGTGCCAGGTGAGCAAGCACCCCACGGGTTCATAGCAATTTTCCACAGGTCGCAGACAGATAGATTGCGAACATGAGGGGAATATGCAGACAACATCACCAGGCCGCAGCGCATAAGGGTATTTACTATCCAGATACTCGTCATGTTACAATGGACATTGCCGCGTGGTTAACAGCTTCTGTATTACGCGGATGCCAGATTGAGTCTTGACCCTGGGGACATGTGTTGCTCCAGATAGGCACCCAACTGGGCAGATCGAGATTGTTCTCGGCAGACCTGACTACCGGCGTAAGGAGTTCCAACGATGAGGTGTTGGTGATGCAATCGACGTCGAAAGGTTCGTAGACCTGCTTTGGTCGTCAAAGAGTAGTCGGGCGAAGGTACTGATTCGGCGGCATCTACTGCAAGAGCACTTCGGGAGTATAGCAGATCTCTCGGATCTTGGCAACGATTGAATCGCTGTGAGTCTCGAGCAGGTTGAGGAAGGTTTGACCACGGAATTGTTTGATCGTGTCGAGCCCGACTAATCCGGCGGCACCGCCCTCTTCGTTCGGTTCATCCCAATACTTTCTCAAGAGCTTGAAGCCGTCTTTGCTGTCCTACCAACTGGAACTCTCACTCCAGTCACAAAGGTGTTGAGAGTAAGTAATTGTCTGGAGCGATCCGAGGAAGTCTTTGGCTGTCCTAAACTCGACCATTCGGGTTCCGCGGCACAGAATCGACGTTCTTGCCAGCGTTATCTTTTGGAGGACTCAGGCTCGTCGCCAGTAATCGCTGAAAGCGAGCACCTCGTGAACACCGAGCGACAGAATTTCGGTATGTTTGAGGCGACAGTCTTTCGTAGACCAATGATGCGGGACGAGGGCATCGTCAGTCCTGTGAGAAGACGAGCCAATAATCGAGAGCACTTCAGCCGCAGTGTGATATATCAAGCCCATTTGACCCACCTGCAGGCTCTTTTCGCCGTCATTGTCTTGGTTGACGCAAATCGCGTCCATCCAAATGCGGTCTCCTCCTGACTACATCACGCGAAATCAGTACGCAAGATCCGAACTAGGTAAGATATCGAGAATGTTTCCTTGCTCCCAGCTGATGCATAAGGCTCATAATGTTTGCCACTTTGCCGTAGATCGTTGTCGATTCGCCGTTGATCCTGACCCGCTTGGTTGACGTGTCGTACTCTCCACACTACACACGTTCCTGCGGATTCCAAGTATACGAGATGTCGGAATAAGGTGGGGCAGATTCCTCCCGGATCTCGTGAGATAGCAGAGCGCATTGCAGGATTGCACCCTGACCATACGGAGCGAGCCCTTGCCAACAGCAGGCGATGAGAGAGATATGTGTCTCTGAATGAGCGAGCAGCCTGGGTCTCATCGACCAGCGGCTGGTAGGGCATCTGGAGCTGTGCCATGTCTACAGACGATAGAGCGGGTGTGAACAACTGGTCACTCTCGGCACCCTCGGTGTTAAGATGTGTCTGGCAGGGGCTGAAGGCTGAAGAGGATGCATATGCATTCCGACGTGCTGCAGCGAGGCCAGGCCATTGTATTCGCGCCGGATGGCATGGCTGCTCGTAAGCGAGGCCGCATGCCGGCACGCGTAGTTTCGACGTCTGGCTGCCACTGGAGACGGCCACTGGAGACGGCCACTGAAGAGGGTGGTGAAGAGGGTGGTGAAGAGGGTGAAGAGGGTGGAAGTCTCCGGGAGGAAACTGTGAAAGGCGTGTCCCCACATCTCCAGTACCTACTAGTAGTACACGTGGGACGCGCCCTTCCGGGCTCCACCTTACGTCATCCACCAAGAACGCACCGGGCGGACCTGTGGACCCTTATCACACATGTGAGGCCGCAGTGCAGCGCTGCGTGATACCGATTCGACGTTGGCCTCCAGACAACTTCCATTGACCTCTCCCTTCCACCATTGCCTTATTCTTCCCAAACGACGCCACAGTCTTCGCGGCCGTAGTCAATTTCACCAGTCGACAGCAAATCCCGGACTTCCGAAAGCGTACTGCATCTCACTGTATACGGATACGGCCAACGGAGAATTACCACCCCCGACGCAGCTCAACAGGAGAAGCTTCGCATGGGTGGAGCTCTTGTCCAGCAAGTTCCCAGCTCCGCCAACAAATTCCCGTCTTACCAGCGTCCACCTACCAGCGACTGCCAGCAAACTCTCCTACCGGTCTCGGTGAACGCTGCAGCTCCATCGACTGGCGATTGCTGCTCTGCGCGTGTGCTTGTCACCAGGACGATCCTAACCCTCTGATCAAAGGCGCCTACGAGAATGGCTACTGCAGAAGTCGCGAGCCGCCCACAAGGTAAGGAAAATCCTCGCCATGGGTCTTTTTGGCAGAGAAGGTAGCGCTGACGGCAAACCTCAAGAGCGACCCATCAAGAGGAAACCCTTCGCCAACTTGGTAAAGAAGCTCGGATTCAACAGGAGCGGCGATAATCAGCAAGAGAAGACTGGCAATGGCAACAAGAAGTCGAACGGCGGGCTGGGGGGCACATTGAAGCACAAGAAGCACAACACCTGGAGCAAGAACAATAACCCCTATCCCGAATCAGGCCATGTTCGTCCTGTTCAACAGGCGAGTCAGCCATCCTTCGGCGAGTCCGCACGGCGCCGCTTCAGCACATCGTACTCTTCTCTCCCCATCAGTGCTGGGCACGATCGCGAAGAGCCAAGTCACAGCAATAAGAGCGGCGCACCCACCCTCGCGACGAATACCGAGACGGTTCACAGCGATGCCGGTCATAGCAGAGCGGCCACGGCCACCACAGGCGCTGGGGCTCTCAGTAGTATGGATTGCACCGGAGCAGGTAGTACCTTCAGCTCGCCGACCCACAGCGACCACTCTCTCGCTACGACATTGACCACGATACAATCGCAGTCGAATGCAGGTGCTCCGAATGGGGCATCTGGTGTCCAGCACAACCACACTCAACCCATCGGCAGCCAGTTTAGCCATCAATATCCAGTGTCCCCTGCTGCATCAGCCATGACAGCTTCCGCCATTCCGCGCCATCTTCACGGTGACACCAGTGTCCCCCACTCGTACGGCTCCACCGCTGCGAGTGGTCTCCTCGCGGACAATGCCAGTATCATGACACTGGCCTCGTCTTCCAAACGCAGGAGAAGAAGCATGGACACCGATGCCTCCGTCCGAGCAATGGCACCGAGTTCCAACTTCGGCGGCAGCCGTGAATCACTCCCCCTGAGCGTCCTTAGCGCCAACATCGACCCACCTCGACACTCCATTCAAGCTGGCTCGTCACTCGCCGCCGAGCGGGCAAGCGTCTACTCTTCTTCTGGTCTCGGACGTGACGGTATCTCCTCACCCATTGGCCCAAGCGAGCGGAACTCCTACTACGCCAAGCAAACTGCCGGAGACGCAAAATCTCTGCGTTCCATCACAAACCTGAAGAATGCCACGGATGCTTCATCCATCACGGGGATCTATCCGCGGTCGGAATATGAGGCGAAGAGGGACGCTGGCGATGTGGCCAGTTTGCGGAGTGTAGATGCTGCCAAGAGCATCGACCACACGAGGAACAACAGCATTGGCAGTCCGGTCAATAGCCCTTCGCTGTTGAGGCAGACAAGCATCGGAGGAACTACGGCGTTAAGTTTGAGCGAACGGAGCAGTGAGTGGAGGGATCGCGAGCAGGAGGGAGATGAGGTGGAGGGATAGCACGTTGCGAAGCAGGAGTGGATTCGCAGGTCCTCGATTAGTCGATGGGGAGTTGGGCAGCTGTATCATTTGTAGGGGTCTTTGCATGTGGGGTTGGTGTCAGGGATGAAAGGAAGCACGATACCCCAAATCGTTCAGCGGGTGCGTTGTTTTGGATTGGATGGTCGTGATAGATGCTCTGGATCGACCACGTTACGTTCATCGAGCAAGTTCGCCATGCATTCGCCGTGATACTCGGCGCGTCATTCCCTGCTTCCGTGGTATTGCCTCGTGCAGAGTGTCCGGCCTGCCCCTTTTCAGTTGAGGCGCAGCAATATTTGAGCACGGTTGCAATGGGCACAACTACGGCAACATTCAACACTGCTGCAGGTATTGCGCAAAAAAGGAGACCTCACCGCTGAGAAGCAAATGCACGTCATGCTGAGATGGATCGAACGTGTTGATGGTGATTAGCTTGCCACAAGTCCCTGGGAAATGACAGGTCTCCATGCACCATCACGACTTCGCTAGTACGAACAGCGGAACAAGATCGCGTCGATGCCTCTCTAATGCCAACCGAGTTTTAGAATACACACACACGCGCATATGCACATTTCCCCGCCCCGAGTCCACCCAATTTCAACCAACTTCCTAGAATGTACATGGTGTAATGCATCGCCTAGAGAGCAAGCATGGCGCCGAAGACACCGACAGCAGTAAGGCCAAGGAGGTCCATGCCGAGTCGGGAGGCGGCGCCAGTGCTGGTGCTGATGCCGCTCTCGGTGGGAGTGGCAGCGCTGGAGCCGTAGCGGCTGGTGCCAGTCGCGGAGGCAGTGGGAGCTGAGTAAGTTCCATTAGCGGTCTGGCTCATGAATCCAGAAGAAGCACCAGTGCCAATAGGAGCGTAGCCTCCGGTGAGAGTGCCGTTCGGGATGTTAGTAGCAATACCTGAGGTCACTCCCTTGGACGCGGATTCAGTCACGGAGGCAGAGCTCACGGAGGCAGAGCTGGATGCGGACTTGGTTGCGGACTTGGTCGCGGTGCCAGACGAAGAGGCGGAGGAGGCTACGAAAGCATTAGCTTCGGGGCGTGCTGTTGTAGTCGGCAAGACATATACTCACAGACAGTAACACCAGCATCCTTGCAGACATCCATGAACGCCGAGTTCGCGGCATCCTGGCTGTCGCCGCAGTTGGAGCTGATGTACTTCTTGACCACCGACGCGCCATCGCCGCACACGCTCTTCAAGTCGGACGGGTCATCTTGGGTGCTGCACGAGTATCAGCAAGTCGCTCACCGTGTCTGCATGCACATCTGCCACGCGTATCCGCGGTGTGACATGCTCTTCCAGGTGGACGCTTACTTGACAGCCGCAATCAGACATGCCGGAGGAGTCGCGACGGCGACGTGGGCGGAGAGGGCGAGGAGGGTGAAGACAGTAGCAAGCTTGGCAAACATGATGCCTGGTCGGGAAGTGTCGAGTGTCGGTGGAGGTGGAAAGAAGACTCGGTCGATAATTGGAAGGTTATTTGCCCGGGGTGGAATGTGTGTCGCGAGGTTTGGTGTTACGTTTCAGCGGCGGCAAGGAAGGCGCGATCGTGTTTTGGAAAGGAATGAACGTGGTGGTAAGGAGCGTGTTGTTTTGTTGGTTGAATGAGTGGATGTGCTACGAGGAAGCACCGGTGAAGAGTCGTTCTTCGTGTATGAGAAGGATGATTTCGAGATGTGGGTTGGCAGTAGTGAGAGCCGGAGGAAGTCGAGATGCGCCCCTTTCCCAAGCGCCCGTGCACCTTCCTCCGGACCCCAGACCCCGTCCCAGACGAGCATGGCGCGGATCCTCGCGCGAACACGTGATGACGCCAACAGAAGGTTCCATCTTCCATCTTCCATCTTCTCCGACACACCTCACTCCATACCATCTACATCCTCCACCATCCGATCAGTCGATACTCTCTGGCCTTCTGCTTCCCCATCTTCTCAGCCCAGGTCATAGGACTGAGCGAGCCGACGACGAGAGAGGCCGCCCCGATGTGCATGGTTTCCGGGCGTGCTCTTCGCCGGCAGGCTGCAAGATCGACCGTGGTGCAGCACTCTCGCAGCACCCTCGCAGCACAGCAGCCGCCACATTGTCCATTAGAGCGCTGCCAAGTCATTTTTAACTTCACCTGGTCACCGCTGAGCTGAGGCAGCCCTGCTGCTGCTGCTGCTGGTGCGCTGATATTCATAATGGCCGCGACGGCCTTCTCCCGCTGTGCCTCTTCCTACTTTTCCTCTTCTTCTCCTTCAGACGTTCCTCTCTGACATCTCAAGATATCAAATGTCGGCGGCAGCAGCATCCGCGGCAAATGACTTTCTCAGTCTTTCCACAGCAACTGACTCAGCCATCTTACACACCATCCCTGGACGACATCTCCCTCCTTCAGCTGGAATCGCGTCTCACGCTCCCCGCGACTCGAGAAATTCCCTCCACGACCGTCTCTCGAAGAATCCCATGTCGGCACCCCAAAGAATATTGCGGTCAACTTCAACAACTCTGCAGGAGGAGAGCCGGCGTGCATATCAAACTCAGACGGCTTCTCACATGCCTGCTCCTCCCGCATGCCCGCAGTTTCAGGGTTCAATGACCTGCACTTCGATCCAAATGTCGCCTCGTCCCATTCCGCAGCCATGGCAAGCTCGAGAGAGTCTATCCTATGCTCCTTCCATGCTGTCCTGTCGCACAGCCAGCCGCATGCCATCTGCAATTCCCGATAACGATTATCTCGGCTTCTGCAAAGGAGCATCTAAGCTCCAGAACGGTGACCGCAGTGGAGCGTTGCAGAAATACAAGGAAGCCCAGTCTTGGTCGAGGAATGCATCCCGGCGGACCACTCTCGCTCAGCATCTGAGGTGTACTGCACCAAAGTGTCGCTTTCGCAGTACCCTCATCTCGTCGGATGCAGATGTAATCTTCGACAAAGTCCTTACCTATGAGAAGCATGGCATCAAGCTGCGGTGGACGTTCCTGGCCAAAAGCCATGTGATGCAAAAGGTAGTTCTGAAGGATCAGTATGCATTCAAGTGTTTGTTCTGTGTTTTCATGGGGCTCGGTGCGCGTGCGGCTGTTTATGTGGGCACAGAATACTACCTGGACCACAGTAAGTTCCAGTCGGCTACGCGAAGTGTCCAGGCTGATTCGTCTCCAGTCAATAAAGACCACAGATGCCAGGATCTTGGCGAGGTCTTGCTGTACAAGACCCTCTGCATTAACGATCGTGTTGCCGACGATAGCGAACAGTTCGACATCAATATATGGCCACTAGGTGACGGCCCGTCAACCCAGCAATGGCTAGATGATAGCCTGATCGGCGATCCGTCGATTCGACCGAATCACTTGCCAGGTCCCTCCGGCCTCGGTGCCAACCAGCCATGGATCGTAGACATCAACCTTTTCGATGACTTCGACGGTACGCAAGATGGCCACAGTGAGGATGGTAGTATAACGATAGCGCCTCCCTATCCCGAGCGGCAAGACTCCGCGATCTGTGATGAGAAGCAAAGCGCGTTCAGTTATGATTCGTGGACCGACAATCTCGACGAGATGACGCGATCGCCTTCCGAGAGAGGATTTCAACCGTACCGGCAACAATGGGTTCATCCTGCGTATCGTCAGGTACGGCAGGGCCGGTTGGGATCGATGAGTGGGAATCAGTCTTACGACCCGCTGAGCCAAAACACAAGACCGTCGAGAATGTCTCCCACGCCGAGCTCATGTTATACTGCACAGAGTTTGACCGAGCGTTCTTCTGTGGACAGCACTCACCTAGGCATCGCAGTACGCTTTACAAACCTTCTGCCAGAGTATTGCTAACCATCGATAGATTTGCATCGACTCCGTCATCCAAGTCTTCACAGAGAGCCTCGCCGTGATTGGAGAAATCAAACGACAGCCTCGTTTCGCGGGCACAAGCATCCTCAAGGACCTCGAAGAGACGGTCCGCGACGCACCGTCCGAGATCCAACACGAATTTCAAAGCTCCAAGTCCCGACTGGGCAGACCATTCGAAGCTGGAGATGCTACATCGATCATGGCCCTGCAGCAGCTGACAGGAAATCTACACACCAGACTCTTAGGCATGCTCAGAAGAATCTTTTCAGGAAGTCTGGCAACTGACGTAGGGTTCCTGGCTAATGCAGCGGACTCTGGACGCTGGGAAACAATCATGGCTCTTCACGACCTGCGACAAAGAATTTCTCGGACGGCGCCAGAGCGTAGCAGTCGTGCTTTTCCCCCGAGCGCCATGTCCGCTTTTCAAAGTCCCACACAACACCTTTCACATATGCGTCCGGATCTATGGAAAGACCCATGCTTCCCTGCGAACTTGGGCGCTTCAAGCCGGAGACATTCTGACGAGATCACTGTCGGCATGACAAGGCGACGAGGTTCGGTTCTTGTTCGGGGAAAATCGAAATTGGCCAGAAGACTGTCGTTATCAAAAACGCATGGCGCGGAGAGTGATTCTGAGGTTGTGCCCAGATGGAATATGAAAGCGAGGACAGTGAATGCGACGAGCGAGATTGCGGAATTGGATGCAACTCCTATTTCCAGGGGATGAGAATCATTGCTCATGATGAGGCCCCGTATGTGTGAGGCTGAACGAGCAGTGAAACGCCTTCTGCCTAAATTAGTTGATGAGGAACGCACAGGCTAAATAACGAGAAGATACCCGGGGTTGATCGAATAGTTGCAAGGATTACGTGCGTCTCCAACTTCCTGTCTCGCCGAAATGGACAGCCATACGACTTCAGCTTTTGAACACATTCTGAGCCCTCACTTATTCCAAGTCGAGAACAAGCCTTTTTTCGGGAAATACGCTGGACTATAATGCTTGAGGGACTTCGCCCTCAACAGCAGTTGATCAAGTCCTTCAACCGCCCGAGAGCATTTGCCGTAGAGTAACCACGTCTTCAACCCACACTGGGGCTCCACACTGGGGCTCCACACGGTATCTCCAGATTGCCCCAGGAATGGCGTGGGGTAGTATAAACAATGGGTCCATGGCGCTGGGACCTGCCACGAGACGAGCTTCAGCATGTTCGGTATAAGACGACGCCATGAGCCGGTCACGCACACGATTTCTGCCTTCACACGATAACCAAGGGCCAGATTGCGTTGCAAATATGCCTCTCACCGGCCGTGCTCTCAATTGGGCCATTACAGCCGTCGCCGGCTCTGGATTTCTCTTGTTCGGTTATGGTGCGTCTGGCATACTCACCTTTATCAAAGCTGGGAAAGGCTCACACAATCTCTCCAATTTGCAGACCAAGGTGTAATGTCCGGCCTCCTTACAGGCCAGGCATTCACTTCACAGTTCCCCTCCATCGATACAACAGCCGCTACCGGATCATCCAAGAATTCCTCCCTACAAGGGACCGTAGTCGCCATATACGAGATAGGCTGTTTCTTCGGCTCCCTATTCTGCTTGTTCGCCGGTGAGAGATTGGGGAGGAAGAATTGTATCTGGCTAGGATGTGTCGTTCTGGCCATCGGAGCGGCGCTGCAAGCTAGTGCTTATGGAACTCCGCAATTGATCGTAGGTCGTATTGTTGCAGGCTTGGGCAACGGCGTTAATACGAGCACAATTCGTGAGTTTAGCATCGCGATTCGGGATAGGATGAGGGAATGATGCTGACGGTGTCTATCAGCGGTATGGCATTCCGAGCTCATGAAAGCGGAAAAGAGAGGCAAAGGCTTGTCCACGGAATTGGCCATCAACATTTTTGGCGTGATGACAGCCTACTGGGTTGACTACGGCATGTCCTTTGAAGACAGCGAAGCACAATTCAGGTTTCCACTGGCACTGCAGATACTCTTCGTAGTGTTTACATTTGTGGGGTTGTTGTTCCTGCCGGAGTCGCCGAGATGGCTAGTGGCCCACGATCGATCCGAAGAGGCGCGAGTAGTCCTGCAGCGGCTACGTCTTCCTTCGGAGCCTGAGAGGGTCGGGACAGATCTTGCACAGATTCATCACGCGATTGAAGAAGAGCGTGCTGCTGCGGAAGGCAGCACTTTCAAGGCGCTGCTGAAAGATGGGCGCCAAAGATTCAGATATCGGACGTTGTTGGGCATTGGCGGGCAGTTCATGCAGCAGCTTTCCGGTGAGAAGCGGATTGATGGAGCGTCAGCAGAGACGGGTACTAACGCCATTCTCAGGCATCAATCTCATCACATACTACGCGCCGATTATCTTCGAACAGTCGGTCGGCCTCTCATCTAAGCTCTCGCTTCTTCTGGCAGGCTTCAACGGAGTGGCATACTTCTTCTCGTCCCTCGTGCCAATCTGGGTTCTCGACCGGCTGGGCCGCCGCAAATTGATGCTCTTTGCCTGTGCCGGCCAAGCATGCTGTATGGCCATACTGGCCGGGACGGTCTGGGATGGAAGTACGGCCGCTGGAATTGGTGCTACAGTAATGCTGTTCCTGTTCAACTTCTTCTTCGCAGTGGGACTTCTGGCGATCCCGTGGCTGCTTCCTGCTGAGTATGCTCCTCTCGCGATAAGGACGAGAGCGGCAGCGTTATCCAGTGCAAGCAACTGGATCTTCACCTTCTTGGTCGTGGAGATTACCCCGGTGAGTATTTCGAATATCGGATGGAAGACATACGTCTATTTCGCCATCTTCAATGCCTTCTTTCTGCCGCTGATCTGGTGAGTCTCTCCAAGCACAGCACTTCCCGCATGGCGTGGGAGAGCTGACGAACACGTGCAGGTTCTTCTATCCCGAGACTCAGAACCTCAGCCTCGAAGAGATCGATCGGCTGTTCACTGGTGACGCGGTGGTGATGCACATCAAGCATGTGGTGAGAGACATTGAGATCGCGGAGGTCATTGCCGGTCCCGGTGTTGGGTTGGAGGAGGAGAAGGCGATGATGACGGTGGATCTTGTCGATAGAGTGTGATTTGGGAAATGTAGATGACGGGAAAATGGAAGATAGACGGGGAGATCGTGCACGGTGCCGGTGCCACGTGAGAGGAACCGTGCACCTTCCGCTTGCAGCGCCGTGCGTAGGATGGAACAAGCGCGGAGCTTACGTGTTAGAAGTAATCGACTAGCACTCGAGTCTTCGGACAAGGCAATTCCACCCCATCATCTACCATTCAACAACATGCGATCCCGGACTTGATAGCAGCTGCAACGATGTTCTGCCATGGCAAAGGACAACGACACCGCCCGAGAGGCCAAGCACGGCAGCCCCGAAGAGGCCGCCGGTCTCTTGCAGCCCGAGGACACGAGAGCGGACTCGCCAGAGGCCGATGAGGTACAGATACCGATACTGCTACCTGCGCAGGAAATAGTCACTTGCTGATGATACACCCCAGCATCTCGTAGTCTACTCCAGACCACCCGCGCCGCAAGGTCGCAAGATCCCTCCACCACGAAGACAGTCGAGCTTCGCGCAGTCCGGACGAAATGGCCCCCGAACTCCCAACCGAGTAAGATTTGACGTCGCTGAGCCCGAGACGATGGGAGAGAGCATGGGGCAGGCACCGAATGGCTCGGCGCATCCTGGCGAGTGGATGGAAGAAGGGGACTACATGAATGGCCACGTCGATGCTGAAGCGGGAACAAGAAGTCTAAGAGCACCGCTGTTGACGGGCATCGAGGCACCGAGCGTTGCGGTCGCAAACGACCTGGAACTGCTGGAGGCAGAGTCCACGCGTCCAAAGAGTGGACTGAGTAGTGCATTCATGAACATGGCCAACAGCATCGTCGGCGCGGGAATCATTGGACAGCCCTACGCTTTCAAGCAGGCCGGGCTCTTGACTGGCATTGTGTTGCTCATCACATTGACAGTCGCGGTGGACTGGACAATCAATCTCATCGTCAAGAACTCCAAGCTCAGCGGAGCCAACTCCTTCCAAACGACCATGGAATATTGCTTTGGCAAGTCGGGCCTAGTGGCCATCTCCGTCGCTCAATGGGTCTTTGCTTTCGGCGGCATGGTCGCCTTTTGTATTATTATTGGGGACACCATCCCGCGGGTCTTGATCGCGCTCTTCCCCTCCTTACATTCGACTCCTGTACTCTGGCTTCTCACCGACAGACGGGCCGTGATTGTACTATTTGTCCTCGGATTGTCATATCCGCTTTCCCTGTACAGAGATATTGCGATGGTATGTTCAGAAACCTGCCACTTTGGAACCCGGCTAATGGCGTCCAGCTCGCGAAAGCCAGCACACTAGCCCTCGTCAGCATGCTCATAATCATCCTAACAGTCATCACCCAAGCGCCCATACAGCCAACAGAACTCAAAGGTCCCATCAGAGGCAGTCTCATCATCAACAACGGCGTCTTCCAGGCTATCGGCGTCATATCCTTCGCATTCGTCTGCCACCACAACAGTCTCCTGATCTACGGCTCCCTCAAAACACCAACCATGGACCGATTCGCAAAAGTCACGCACTACTCCACCGGTATCTCAATGGCAGCCTGCCTCATCATGGCACTGGGAGGCTACTTGACCTTTGGAGAGAAGACGCAAGGGAACGTCCTCAATAATTTCCCCAACGACAATCTGATGGTAAACATTGCCCGGCTTTGCTTCGGCCTCAACATGCTCACTACTCTACCGCTCGAATGCTTCGTCTGTCGAGAAGTAATGACGCTCTACTACTTTCCCCACGAAGCACACAATCCTAATCGACACCTCATCTTCACGACCTCACTCGTCCTCTCAGCAATGGCAATGGCGCTCATCACCTGTGACTTGGGAGTCGTCTTCGAGCTCGTCGGAGCCACGAGTGCCTGTGCATTGGCGTACATCTTGCCGCCGCTCTGCTTCGTCAAGCTCACCAAGCGAAGGACATGGGAAACGTATGCGGCGTACATTTGCATTGCCTTTGGGTGCATTGTCATGGGCATTAGCCTGATGCAGGCCATTGCCAAGATGATACGAGGCGAAGGGGCCAGTCACAGTTGTTCATGAACCATCAGATAACAGACAGAAAGAAAAAGGAAGAGAATTTTGTCACATCTTCAAATCCAATCGACGTTGTCGGCGGCTGCCCTCGAATTTGTATATCTCTCGTTTGCCAGAGGCTTTCCTGCTGCTGCTGCTGCTTTTCGCAGGAACGAGACGATCCGGCGGAGTGCTTCCCTTCCGAGCCACCTCTCATCATGCCCCGGGATCATAATAATACTCCCTCATGTCATCATCTCATCCAACTAGGTGCAGCGAGAGCTATCGATGTCCAAACAATTCCATCTCATTCCTCCCGTTCCCCTCGGCCTCTTCTTCTTCTTCTTCTTCTTCTTCTTCTTCTTCTTCTTCTTCTTCTTCATCTTCTTCATCTTCCTCCTCTTCCATTTCCGCATCCTCCTCCTCCTCGTCGCTCGTATCGTCCTCGTCGTCCTCCTCCGCAGCACGTGTACGAATACTATCCCCATCCCCATCATCCTCGTGTTCATCCCAAAGCCCAACGGAATCCACAGCCGCACTCCCCTCACTCTCACTGCCCAGTCTCAACTTCGAAGGCTCGCTCTGAACGCTCGTAGGCCTCCTCCCTTGCCCGCAGATCTCATCGAGTTCATCCTCTCGATCCAACCCTCTCAGATAATAGCGCATCGGGGAGAGGCTCCTGCTCAGGGAATCGATCATCTCGTAGGGTGAGAAGCGAGGGAGTTCGACATTGGGCATGTTGGGGAGGTTTTGTCGAAGATTGGGCAGATGGGGGAGATGGGGCATTCGTGGAATCCGGGGCATGTCGGAGAGCGTGGGCAGATTGGGCATGCTGGGGGCGGGGAAGCGGGAGAAACTGGGTCGTCGGGTTTCCTCTTCGTGTACAAAGTATCGTCCGAGAGATTGGGCGCCGCTGGCGAGTCGAGGAGATGTAGACCCTTGACGAGGGGGTTGTGAAGGGGACTCTGGTACTTCGAGAGCACTGTTGGCGAACTGCTTCTCGGGCTCAGGAACGCCAATACCGGCGTCGCGAAGAACCGCATCGCCGGTGAAGTCATGCCGGTGGATTTGTTGCTGGCGCATGAGGCGTTCTTCTTCCGTTTCATGCACGGCAGTAGGAGCCATCTGGTTGGTATTGTAACTGTCGCATCTGACGCATTTCAGGCCCAGCCAGTGGAAATTTGTCCAACAACGTCCTCCGCAATCATTGCAGCCAATCCAGACTTGTCGTGGACGGTGTTGCTGAGGATCTTCATCGTCTTCATGCCCTTCGACAAGCGGTAACACCTCGTCATCATCCGGCATGGGCTGAGCCTCGATCTCATCATCCAACTTCTTCCACTGCAACTCCATGTTCACCGCGCTCTTGCTACACACCGGGCACCTGTACGTGACAGCCATGAGATCCTTATAGCAGTCTCCGTGCATATAGTGTCCACACGGTAGACTGACCACGGGCGTCCGGGACTCAAACAGCGGCACCAGACATAGCGGACAATTCCCTTCCGTAGCCCTCTCGATACAAGGATGCGCCGCCGACGTAGAGATGGAAATGCACACATTGCATCGTCGACAATGCACATAGTCCTTCCCCAGTCCCTCGCCGACCCGACAGATGCCACAATCATCGCAGTGGTAGATGCGCTTATTGCTATCATTATCCCAGAGCTTGCATCTAGGACAGTAATACCACGCCGCATACTCTCCACAATTGATGCAAACCTCCGCCGCGGGCTGTGGTGTCTGACAGAGCATGCAGAGCATATTCTGCGTCTTTTTGCGGTTCAGGCTGTGGGGGAAGGGCAAGTCGCGCGCCTGATCGTGACAGTGCCGACAAGGGAACCATCGATGACAATCATAGCACTGCACTTTGACATTGCGCTTATAGTGCATGCAGCCCAACTCGGGCTGCTCATCATCAATCGCCTCATCCAATTCTCCCTCGATATCCCTCGGGTTCTTCGGCAGCGGACTGACAGCAACATCCAAATCCCCAGGCCGCAGTTCATACGGATTCTCCGGATCGACCGGTGCCAGCAAGGGCGACATCGAAATGTCCCTCTCTCTCTTCTCCGATGGCTCAGGCTCCAACCGCGCCCGATGCTTCATATAATCCAACATCATGAGCGAATGCATCCTCTGAGCCTTCTCTTCCGTCGAGATGGCAAGCTGCCTGATCTCCTGCAACTGATGGCGCAGCAGCTGCATGCCGTCGTTCTCCGGCAGAGCGCCGTCCATGGTGCGTGCGATGGCGGAAAACGTGTGTGCGGGCGTCGTCGTCAGCGCGTCTCCCACATGGCCTTCTCCTCCTCCTCCTCCTCCTCCTCCTCCTCTTCTTCTTCTTCTTCTCCTCTCACCAGCGGTAGTAATCGTAGGAATGCGGTTGGCGTGGGCAGTAGCAGGTGAAGTCGCGTGACTCGCAAAAGGAAGGACAGTGGAAGAGGGATGATTCCAGAAAGGCGAGCTTTCATGTGACGATGACAGCGGGGGCCGGCGATCGTCGGCATGGGTGTTCCCGGTACTGCTCCTCGCCGACATCGTCAAGTGTTCGTTGGCAATTCCTTCTTTCTCGGTCGTCGTGCAGGGGAAACACATGGGGAAGTGAGAGTCATCACAACCGTGTTGCCCCAGAAATCCACTCCCGCCTTCCAGCAGGTTTTCACACAACACAATGATAATGAGGCAACACCAACATCATCCGCGCAGGATCGACCGCAGATCAGCCCTGAAAAGTGCCTCAGGCATGGTGAATCGCATCAGCTCTCCACGTTCCAGTTGTGAGACAGCACGGCTGATAGCTCAAACTCTCCCCCAAAGCATGGATCAGCGGCACAAACGTCTCATCTACACCCAACGGTCCCCTATAGCCCTATAGGATATCAAGGTTTCGAGGGGCTTGTTTTGGACGGAGAAGAGAGCCAGATTCAGCCAGTTCCTCTCGTTGCGGCATGCTGCGACCCACCAATCAAGACTTCGCTCTTTGGAATACTGTACGCATAGTACGGCTCTGGAATCGTCAGAAACGGAGGATGGTGCTGCACGTGCATCATTCGATACGTCTCTTCTTCTTCTTCTTCTTCTTCTTCTTCTTCTTCTTCTCATCCGTCGTGACTATGTACATGTCGTGACTATGTACATGTACAGAACCAGGAGCCAGCCAAATCCGGCTCCTTTCCCCCAGACCAAGTCTCTCAAGACCACAAGACTGCCGTATGCCTCTCTCATCGAATCATTCGTCCGTACATCAAACAAGCAAAGCCAGCGAAGACTGGGGGCCGTCAGGGGTATCTCGAGTAAGAAACAAATGCAACCATCAAGAACTTATGTCCAACCAACTTGCTCCAATATTCCAATACTTCATCCTTCATCCTCTCCTCCCCGCGACTCAATGCGCACTCGAGCGCTTGCCATCCTCCCTGGCCTCAGCGGTAGTCAAGGCGGAAGTCCCTCGCATACTGAACGAAGATCCCTTCATGAAGAGATCGAATCTGCTGTCCACGGGAGGAGGAATCTCGTGCTTGCCTCCTGCGGTACGAGGTCGTTCCTCGCTGTCGGATCGGACGAAAGCACTTGCGGCTAGCGAGTGCTTCCTGTGGTCATGCTTCGGTTCGACTGCCAGGCTCCTTCGATGGAAGGCACTGACCATCTCGTCATGTCCAGCTCTCATGCGTGCCAAGTGCTGATCGATCCAGGCCTGCATCTCCGGGACCGTCTTGAGCGGATACGTGACCTGGAATTTCTGCAGATGGCTGATGATCTTAGCAATGCGCATGTACATGTCAAAGTTGACGACGGAAACGACTTCGCCCGTCTCCGACGAGGCGCTGCCGGGCAGTTCTCGTCGTTTGGGATTGCCGGCGACCACAAACGTCAGGTCGGTGAGATAGACTCCCAAGAACGGCAGACAACTTGCAGTCGGAGTCTCCAGTCTCCGGCGAAGGGCAGTGTAGTTCCTCGACGTGTCCACCACATTCTTCAGCTCCTCAAACCTGGCCATGGTCTTCTTGTTGAGGAGGTCCCAGGTCCGCTTCAGCCGAGCAATGACCGATGAGTTGAGCGTGCAGGCAATGGCCATGACGGAATCGTAGTTGGACAGCTCCACACAAGCCGCTCCAATCTTGATCCATTGCTTGACGATCGCCGCCCTCTTCTTGGGCTCATCCGGAGCGAGGATCGAATCGCCGACCCAATGTGCGAGGTCAGTGTTCAGCAGACACATATCCCGCACATGCTTGGCCTTGCGGGTGTTGGGTTTGCTCCAGTCCATGCTCAAGAGCTCCTCAGGCCGGATCTCGCAATATGACTTCATAACACGCAGGGTGATCTGTCGAGCAATCTCCATCGCATCAAAGTCGACAATACTGCATGGTGCTCCGCCGCCAGTGGCAAGGCGCAGCATATTCAACTGCTTCAATGTGATGAGCGCTTCTGGTAAGTCCGAGTTGCCTCTCTTCTTGTTGATCAGAGACATGCTAGTCTTCCCCACACCAGACACGAGCGGTCCTCTAATCGTTCCATAGGCGTAGCCATCGGTGATCCTCCGGGTCAATTCAACGAGTCGCTCACCCGCTGCCGGCAAGACGGGCTTCAGCTTGTGCAGGCCAAAGAATCGGATCTCGCCGAGGGCGTCCCTATCGACCTCGGCGCTCCAGTACGTCTCCAGCCATCCCTTGAAGATATTGTAGATTCGGAGTCGAGCTGGTGTGCCGACGGTGCGACCATCTCCGATGTAGTCGAAACGTTGAATCAGGGCTTGGGCAAACTCGCGCGGCTCGCAGAACTTGCGGAACGTCAAGAAGAAGGCGGTAACAAACTGCGGGTCGGGAGCGGAGTCGTGCGTCGTCAGTTGTTCCACCAGGGCAGGCAGGCTGCCGCCTGTGACCTGGCCGTCTCTGTTCAGGGTCAACTCGTGCGCATAGGTCTTCTGTAGCAGTGCCTCTGCTTCAGTTCCGTCTTCAGTGGCCAACGATCGCATGCTCGAGAGACTTGCGAAGCTGGGCATGAGAGCAGGATCCGAGCTTGCTGCATCGTTGGCATGCTCGGGCGTGGTGGCTCTCGTCGAGACCTGCGACACCCCCGTCGCATTCGAGTCGCGTGCACTGCTGCGATAGGTGTCCGTGGAACCGGAGAGCGACATGCCGACACTGTCTTTCCGTGCAGGACTCGTGGAGATTGACCGGAATGAGCGTGGCCGTTTCAGCGAATCCGCGACGTGACTCGCGGCCTCTGCCGCGTAGCTGGCGATAGACCGTGGACGACGCATTGTGGGAGGCAACGGAAAGGCCTTGATCGATGGTGCGGTTGTTGGAGTGATAGGGCTCACCGCGTCGTCTCCCGTGGGGCTCTGTACCTGGCTGGAAGTGACGGGATCATCAGGCAGTTCTTTCTGCGGAGGATTGGTTGGAGGAGGTCGCATCGACTTGGACAATCGGTGTGAGAGCGAGATGCGCTTTGGAGAGCTCGTGGTCTCATCCTGCGGTGCCTCTTCCTCTCTTCGCGCATCCTGTGACGACGGCTCTGGGGTCGATCTCGCCAACGCCAGAATCGAGGTCCGCAGCTGGAAGTCGCCTATCTGCTCGATCAATTGGCGTGTCCGCATTACACATTCTCCAGTATTTCGTATGAGACTAGTGCCAACGTTAATCAGATGATTGGCCTGGTCTGGAAGCATAATCGCCTCATCGTCCAACGAGTCGGAAAATCGGAAGACAGCTTGCGTCGAGGTAGCCAGTTGCTCGATCCTGAGTTGGAATTGCTCCTTGGCTTGCTGGACGGGTAGGGAGCCTTGCGAATCGTGCGCGCACACCTCGTCCACGACTTCGAGCATGTTCCGGCACGCTTCCACCAGACGCTCGCTTGTAGCGACTAATTCCGAGCATGGCCGCGAATGCAAATGATGCCCGATAAAGGCTCCGATGTGACTGATGCAGATGTCGTGAACCTTGGACAGCTGCTCAGAGGCCAGTGGAGTGGTCACGACGCGGTTGTTCTCGGGTGCAACGAGGGATACCCGATGCGCGACCACGCCGTCCGGAGGAGTAAAGACCATCGACCGCCGCCCACGCCCAGCGTTTTCGGCAGCGGTCTCAGACCGATGGTCATCTGCCCCCGCGCAAGCATTGTGGATTGCATGGGTGTCGGGGTGTACCGTGAAGTCTTTGGCGGAATCCACGGTCGTCGGATGAGCATGAACCGTCACAGCCTTGGTATCGATCGCGAGCGACGCCTTCTCGGGGGGGTGGGGGTTGAGAGGGCGCGGTATGTCCAAACGGCTGTATCCGCCCTTGGCGTGGCTCGTCTCCTGGGTCCAGACGTCAGTGAGAGCCACGGCTCTGGTGACCACCTTGAACGCCTTGGAAACCAAATCGTCCAGCAAGACATGGATGACCTCTCCGGCGAACGCCTCGCCAATGGTGTCCTGTAATCTCTTGGCGATCTGCACCAGGGACGAGAGATCTGCCAGCAGACCTTTGCGCATGCGACGCACGCCGACATGCTGCTTCACCAGCGGCGCATCTCGGTGCAGACAATCGGCCCGTTCCAGAAGGTATCGCACACCGGCAATGAGCCCTCGAATGTAGTCCTGGCGGATGAAGGTGGACAGACTCGCATCTTCACTGCCTCCGATCAGGTCCCAGAACTGCGTCATGGCGTTCAAGAGGTTGCGCAGATAGGAATGATCGTACGGCTCGCAGTAGTTTGTGGGGAGCCACCCCCGATCGCCGGTATTCAAGACGGTGCCGTCCGCCCAGCCATTGGCGTGTATGCAGTGTACGAGGACCAAGTCTCCCGATTTGAGGGCTATGGCAGACTGTGAGGCATCGTCGTCTGGCATGGTGTTCACGGAAGGGTCGAATGCGTGCATGGCACGCAAGTAGTTGTGGAAGAGCGACTGAGAGGCGGTCTGCTCGAAGCCGGGTGACAGGCTGGAAGGCGTCTCTGGCGGAGTGATGTGAGTTACGAAGCCGTTGGTGACGACGTCTCCTAGCTGAAGGCGAGGAAGTTTCCGTGTGCGCGACTTGACGGTGCCGCTGCTGGGGCCGGGCGTGCGGATTGAGGGAGCAGACGGTCGTCGCTCTGTAGTCGCATCGTTGGGTTTGTTGTTCATGTCTTCACTGCGCGGCCGTAGCGCTGCCGCTCCTTGCACGGTAGTCATCGCAGGAAGTGGAGGGGACCGGATGGGTTGCTGTTGTGTGCAGGAGCTTCAAGAGGCCATTGGGGGAGCTGTGAAGGTGTGCGCAGTGACGAGGGGATCACGCGGCCAGGCGACACCGTACAATGGCTGTAGAGGGCGGGAGTGTCAGCGGGGTTACATGTTGTGGGTGTGGGCGAGGAATGCATGGCACGGACAGCACGGCGAAGGAGGCGTTTGCTGGACGATTGGTGCATGTGTCAAGTTTGAAGATGTTCTGGAGAAGTTGCAGCACTGACCTCCACACGGTATTGACAGGGGTCGCTCGAACGATGGCGATTCGGATGGAATGTCGAGGACGATTTGAATTGAGTGAGATCTCAGTCGCTGAGTGTCGAGAGATGGAGTGTCCGCAATCCTCGGCACGTCAAGTGTTGAATGGTGGCTGGCGCGGAGAGATTGGTCGAGGGCGAGGGCGAGGGCGAGGGCGAGTGCGGTACGTGTTGGCGACAGCGAGATGAGGTTGCGATTCGGTTCGGTGATGGTATGGCAATGAATGTGGTGGTGGTAGTGGAGGTGGTGGTGTTGGTGGTGGCGATGATGGACTGATTGCTGGCGATGCGCGCAGGCGATTGGCGATTGGATCGAGGTAGGTTGGATGAACTGGGAAGCAAGCAAGGAAGGGTGACGCCTGCCGTGGCCGGATGGTCGAGGTGGAAGGTGCGTCGTGGTGGTAACTTTCAAGATGAGATCTCGGGACGGGGCCAGGGACGGTGACAGGGACAGGGATGGGAGAGGGAGAGGGAGGAGGTTGCAGAGGGCTCCGGCGATGTGACAGCGTGGGCAAGATCACTTCCTCACACCTTGTTGACGTCGGCAGCAGGTGTGCAGTGCAGTGCAGTGCAGTTGCAGTTGCAGTTGCAGTTGCAGACCACTAGCTGCTACCTTACTAGCAGAGGGCGTACAGTAGTAGGGGCCGGGACTTCGCTTCTCCCTGCCGGCGCGCGACTGATCGGCGGTCTTGCAGCACCGCCGGTCATAAGGTACATGTAGGTACACACTCTAGTTGACTCTGTCGTGGTTCGTGGTTCGTGGTTCGTGGTGGGTGGTGGGTGGTGGACATTGGAGAGTGCTCCTTCTGGTATACCAGCAACGGCACACCTACAGTAGTAGTGCCTCCCACGCACCTGCACCCGGGTCTCTGCTAGCCGCGCCCTGCTTCTGCCTGTGAGCCTGCTGTGTGCTGCGCGCTGCGCCTACGTCGCTCCGTGAGCCTGGAGCCGCGCATGGTGAAGCGTGTCTCGCAAGAAGACGTGGCGTGGCATTGTCTCTGCGTGCTCGACTCGCGCAGTCGGTCGAGGCGTCGGAGAATATGGAGATGGTGGTCGTTGTTGCCGTGCCGGTGCCAGGAGACGTGTCTACGGGTCTGCGTCGGGGAGGAGCGAAGCTTTTCGCACGGCTGGGGAACGGGCCGATGGGCAGTCAAGCCCCGACCCCTTCCGCCCTGGATTCGTCCAAGGTAATTCGGCACTTTGGTCGCCCTCTTGCTCTTTCCAGCCAAACTCCCTGCGAGCACCTGCATGCATGCGCGATCCGATCGCTGCCGTCGCACTCGTGCTGTGCATGGGTCCGCCCGCACCTGCATCCAGTGATCATAATGATCAAGTCTGCCCTGTGGTCCACCATGACAGGTCTGAAGTCGACCCGCCGACATGGGCAACAGCGCTACAAATTCCTCGACTACGCGCCCACCAGAAGCATCTCACTCCACACGCACCCGCCGCACTCGCTTGTTCGCCAGCCGAGAGCGTGCACGGTAGACTAGACAGCAGGAAACGATCGATACCACGCCCAGCGCAGCCGACCGCTCAACGCTGCCTCTCGTCTCGTCGACACGGCGACACAACCCCTGTTCCGTTCCACACCTGGGCCCAACCGAGGAGCGTGGAGCGGACAGCACGAATGGGGCAGGCGACAATTCATGGCCGTTGGTGATGGTCCTTGCTCCTCGAGATGCGTTGCTGCCGTGGAGAATGCTGCACAGTGCACACTGCCTCCACCAGGGCACACACACGCACACGCGGGCAACACGGTCCACAGCTCCGTCTGGATCGCAAGCCCGTCCAACTTGACCTCCCCTCTCCGCCGGACCAGAAAGCTACGAGGTACACGGCCGTATCCCTTCAAAATTTCAAGGCTCTGTGGCTGTGCCCCTGCAGCTGCCAACGGCACCTGCGCCTGATCCTTTCCCATCTGGGCCTGCCTGCCGACCGCTTCTCCCGCACCTTCCCCGCCTGGCTCTGGCTATGTGCCGCTCCTGCTATTTTTGCTTTGACTTTCCACCGCGCATCTTCCAGTCCGTCCTCTTCGCGGGTCGTGAAGAATGATGACATGTTCGCCCATCAATCATGATACTGCCCACATGTATCGCACCATGCCAACAATACTGCTCTGTATTATAGGCAGAGAACCGGAGTCCAACCCGACTCCGAAATCCTCCACGACCACGCACACACGTCCTCTCCCCTCCGATGCTCATGCTTGCAGCCAGGGATATGGTGTCTATCAACGGACGCCAGGCCCTTTTCAAGGCTTTGCTGCCGCACCCGAAGAAGCGACGACGTGTTCGCCTTCTTCTTTTCATGAACTACCTCTCTACGCGCTAAGAGCTGCGGCGGAGCACCGACTACGACTCGATTCCCGCTCCGCCTGCAATGCATGACAGAATGGCCAACGTACCTACTCTCACAGGGCCACAGGCATGGCCGTCTGCAACATCATGCGAACTGCGCACACCAGATCCCTGTCAGCCCCGCCAATCGTTCTGCCCAGAGTCTCAGCGTTTCCAATCTTTCTATTCGTCACCTCAGCTGACCCGACAACAGCCTTGGACATGTCACCATACCCTGCCTGCTTCCAACCTGCTTTCAATCTCTTGGAGCGCCATGGCCATCCACCCACCTTCTCATTCGTCGTCGTACAGCAGCAGCTTTTCGCAAAACACATTTCAGAGGAGGGCAAGACTCTTGTGAGCGCTAAGCATCAGCACGCCCAGAAGATGTCTCTCGGCGAAACATTTGCGTGGCAACAATCACTCCAGAGATCTACCGTACTCCATATCAACCTGCCTATTGAATCGGGAACTAGAGCTACGGCCTTTCTTCTCAGCAAGGGGGGGAGTCACCGGTCGAGGAGCCGACTGCCAGGTTCTTCATCCGCAAGAGCTCAGGCGAAATGTCGGAATTCCTCCCTGTATCGCACATAGCTTCAGCCTGGATTCTGACGTAGGAAGTCTCGGCGGAATATCTTGTCCGACCAACAAACACCGACGTTCCTGGATGAGATCGTCGTTTGATCTTTACTCTACCTGCATGGAATAATTCAAGAGTCCATTGCGACGACTCGGTTCCGAAAGAGGTCCTTCCTCGGATCGAGCGAGGGATCCGTCGGCAATACTCGAGAACCACCAGAGGAAATCAAAACGTCCTCTGGGGGCCATTGTTCAGAGCATAACGGCTTTTTTCCCACACATCAAACTGCTATTTCGAAAGCTACTTCTTCAACTTGTTCGATGCTATAGGGACCGCTACTTACACCGTTCTGGCGCTACGATACTCGGGAGACGAGATCATGCATGGTCCATACTCACGACCTTCAACCCATCCCTCTTACGTCGAGAAGAAGTCATCAATAGGACAAGGCATACTGGCGTGCTGGCCAGCCAAATGTGTACGCACAAGCAGATGGGAGACTTCTCAACCTGACTGTCTGTCACAATCCATTCATAAATTCTCTACCTCTACAAAAACACAAAGGCCGTCTGAACCCAGCCACACCATCATCCCCCCATTCGGCGCCTACGCTCCAATAATGCCCTTCCCACACACAAATACCTTTCCGGCACCCCTCTCAACTCGTCCCACTCACAGCCAGCTTCATCAGGTGATCCATAAACGTCTGCAGACTGACATCGTCCGTGAATATCGTCTGCGCAGTCTGACTGACACCCCCGTAGCTGGATGAAGTATGCGTGGTCGAAGGGTTGAGCTTGGCGAGGAGGAAACGGGCCTGAGAACCCCCGGCATCGCAGACGATGAAGCGAGGCAATGGGAAACGGTCTTGGATGAGTTCCTATGGAAACATGGTGGTCAGAGTCTGCAGTATCATGGTAGATTGGTGGACTACTTACCTTGGCGTCTTGCTTCGGCGCATCAAGCAGCTCTCGGAAATTCTCGTATCCCTCCATATCCTGGTATCCGGCCTTGCGCCATTCAGCCATGGTCTCGCCGTGGAAGATGAGGATGTGGAAGAACGTGTCGAGGAGGAGGATGGTCTGAGGCTGGATGGACGTCGAGTCGAGGAGGACCGGCACGGCTCCGTCTTGATCGAAGGTGTAGGAATCCAGAGTGGGCTGGATCATGATGAGAGAGTTGGATACATCCTCGTGGTTGAGGACGTGTCGGTAGAAAGCGGTCTCATCCGGCGAGTTGTTGAAGACTTGCAAGAATTGTGATCTTCGCAGGTGGAACATGAATTGTGGGTAGAGTGTGAAGTTCTTCTCCAGGCGGAAACTCGACGGGTCGTCTTTTCGGTATTCGGCAAATCTCGAGCAGAGTCGGATGAGCATGCGATCGACCCATCGGAGAACGTCCGGGCCGTCATCGACTTCGGCCTTGAAGACAGCAATGCGGCTCATGAGAACGGCTGCGGCTTCCTGGTCAAAGGACTGCGCAATGGCGGGATCGCCACTGGGTCCGCTCATGTTTCGTCCAACGGTTGTCACCCGAAGATGGAACTGACCGCTACTGTGCTGATAGTAGGTCAAGAACTGGATGAGACCCTTCTGGGGTCCTTGTTGCATCGCCGCTGCCGCGGGACCGCCTTGCCCGGCAATCTCAAAGTAGACGCCGTACGATGCGGAGGGATCGATGCCGCACATCTTCCAGCTACAGGTGTTGCCAATGCCGCATTCTGTCTCGCCGACCGAGCTTGACTTCTTGTTGAGGGAAATCGCATGTCCGATGAGTCCAGTGACCTTCAGCTCCTTTGTCGTCAAGACTTCCAGTGAAGCGTTGAATCCCATGAGCAGGTTGCCCTGTGCGTCTGCATCGAAGATCTTCGAGAACGATTGTTTGTACATTGAGGACGTAAAAGAGTCTGTCAGAATCATATGGCCACCAGTACTATTGGGAAGGCCCTTCATCTCCAGCAGACCGACCTGGTCCAGACATCCAGCAAAGATGTCCACAATATGTCCGTTGTGAGCAACACGCCTGGCGAGCTGGTCGTAGAATTTGATCGCCTTTTTGTAGTACTTGATGTTGTCCCGGTCAATGTCGTGGTGAGATCGCATCTGTTCCTTGAGCTCGGGACCAACCACCATACCAGGACCCTCGGTGGCCGGACCACCTGTGAACAACATCACACGAGCACCAGAGTTCTGAAAGCTAGTCTCGAGGAGGCCGACAGCTACCGACAGCGCAACACCAGTGCAGCGCACAGCACGCTTGTCATTTGCGACTGGCCAAGGGTCCTTTTGCAAGCCCTCAAGCACGTTGGTCAATTGGAACTCGCATTGCTGGACAGGAAGCAAGAACCGAGCTTGAGCACCTCCCATCGGCGGAGGAGCAGGTCGGCCAGGCTGAGGCTGCATCTGCTGCATTCCAGGCCGTACGCCTCCCAGACCCAACATCTCCTGCACCTGCTTTGCGCCGTACTCCTTATTGCCGCGGAAGACATACGACTTGCCGCACTCCGTGTAGCCGAGCTCGTGCACTTGCGTCATCGTACCGTATGTGATCAAGCCAACCAAAGAGTGCGGAGGCAGGAAAGAAAGGGCGTTGATAATGCTGTCCCTCAATGCCTTGAGCGAATCCTCCTCTTGGCAAGTATCAACGACGAAGACAAAGATTGGCGGGGTAGGCGCTGGTCTCGCGAGTCGGTACTCAATCGTAGTGCTCCCGGGATGGAGCTCGGGAGGAATCTGGTTCTCGCTGATATCCTTGTAGTGAGGTGGAAGATTGTTTCGCTGCAGACAGAATGGGCAAATCCATATCCGCGCTCGCATATCGACTTGACAGAAAGGGTTGAGCACTGCTCGACATGGCGGCTTGCACGTCACGGGTTCATACTGCAAGAGTGGTGTGCCATCGCTCTTCTCTTTCAAAGGTGTGTACAGAGCTCCAATGGGGACGACCAGCCGGCTGGCCTCCATGCGCGAAGATGGGAATGTGTTCCATGACAGGCGGATTCCGTCGCGGTCTTCAATGTCCGACCATTGGTCTTTGAGCGCCTCGTAGTCCATGGTGGATGGGTGATGTGTAGAGCAACGGGGTGTTCGGTTCGGTGGGGTTCGATCGCTTATAGTACGCGCATTCGGGTTGTGGGAGAGTCGCAGGGGTGGAAAGGGGTCGTATCACCAGATCAATCTGTCGGCGGCGTTGGACGGAGTGGACGGAGTGTGTCGAGAGGGGTGGTGATGTGGTGTAGTTGCCAGTTGTTCCTCCTTCCGGCAGCCGGCCAACTTTCTTGTGAGCTGAGAAGCAGCAACGTAGCTCCCGATCCCCTGCTCCAAACCTAACTAACTCTTTGTGTCAAGCTTGGCGTTGGAGTGGCACGTGCGCTTGCGTCAACAAAATCTCGCCGACTTCACGCTTCTCGATTTCCTTTCTTCTTCATCTACAAAAACACATGCCAGCGCTCCAAATTACTGATCGGCAGACTCGCTCGAACTCGTTCGCAGTGGCAAGCCTGTCATCGCGCTGCGCATAGACCGAAGGCCCATGGCTGGGCGCCTGACCTTGATACACTCCCGTTTTGGGAGGTAGGATGGGTTGGGAATCAGCAGAGGCTACAATTGTATCTTGTCCACACCAACTTCGTGATGAGGATGAAAGCGCTGAGCTACTCAGTGGATAGATGAACTCGACTTGGATGAGATGTGGAAGCGAAGTACCAATGTGCGTGCCAAATTTCCTCGCGTATCTACTCCTTCAGTCCCAATAAAATGACCTCTCGTATCAATTCACCTCCCCCGCGGCAAAAACCTTGACATCAATCATTTGGGAAATATGCGCCCCTCAAAACATCGTCGCACTTCGTCCAGCCAGATCCTCAAACTGGCTCGCATAATCCACCGTCCCAATCGCAACTTCCTCATACCCTTCCATCTTCACATTCAACCCATCCCCGGGCCAATACCTCTCCGTGGCCGCTCCACTCCTCCGCGCCACCTTCCAGCCCATCATGTCCGCCTTGCATGTGATCTTCAGGAATCTCAACTTGCGCTCGCCGAGAGCCTGGAACATCATGCCCCAGAATCCATCCGCCGGGGTGTAGTTGTTCAACATTAACTTCTCCGGCTGGACCAGATCGAGAACGTCGTGAAGTTGCTCCATCGTGAACGAAGAGCGGCGGATGATCAGGATGCTTGGGAAGTTGTTGTCTCTGCGACTGCGGAGTTTCCGGCGAAGCCAGTAGGCCATGTTCGCGGGCTTGTAGTCGTTCAGCTCGAGGATGGTGCCGTTCCTCGTCAGCTCCTCAGATGGCTCGACACTCTTTTCGTTTTGCTCGCAGCAAGAGTCGTATCCGCTATCCTGTGGAGAAGGCGGGGAATCGTCATCGTCGTGTTTGCAATTGTCTTCCTCCGAGTACTCTTCGTCGCTCTCTTCATCGTCTTCCTCGTCGCTGTCATCCTCATCCTCCTCGAAGTCACCACCATCTTCGTTATCCATGTACTCCTCATCCTCCACTCCCTTCCCCTGCTCGTCAATCTCGTCCTCTTCCTCCCCATCTCCTTCGTCATCTTCATCTTCATCTTCCTCCTCTTCCTCACTGTCATCGTCATCGTCATTACCCTTCCAATACTCCTCCGCCTCCTGGTATCTCGGATCAAACACGCTCGGACGATTGAATTTGCCACCAGCAGAAGCTTGTTGAACAGCTCGGTCGAAACCAGAAAACTTGCCCGCCTTGTTGGCGGAGGTCTGGGCGCCGTAGGCTTCGCTGTACGTACGCTTGCAAGGCATGTCGTCGGGAAGAACGTGGGTGGTTGTAGTAGTATGTAGATGAGCTGTTGAGGCTCCTCAGAAAATCGTGATGTCGACGAGCAACGACTTCTGATATTCTTGAAAGTCTTCGTTGTGTGGCAGCTTGCGCTTGCGACAGTGTTCAGCAGCGTGTGCCCGTGGTGGTATGGTAGTGTGTACGTGATTGCAAAGCAGGTAGTAGCTTGTCAGAAGATCGTGGTATGGACTTGCGAAAATCTTGGAGAAGCCTTGGTGTGGTGGAAATGGAAGGGAGAGAGGAAGAAGAGGGTGAGAGAGCAAGTGCGACTTATAGGAAAGAATCATTCTGCCCTGCCTATTGTAGCTATTGTCCTCACATGCTATAGTCGCATGTTGCCATTGCGAATTTTCTGATTGGTCCGCTGCGCCGCAGCATGTGAGGACAATAGCTCTATGGGGGACAATAGGTATGACACATGGATTTGGCGGTACATTTTTGGTGGGCATATCAGATGCGTCTGGAGGGTGTATAGATGGGTTTCCGCTTGTATATCCTGATATATCTGTTCGAGCATGTTGCCGCAGTAACACGCGAGGGAGCGCGTGAAGTCTTGGCGGTTGGCATGTCGCGCTGAAATCCTGAGACCGCGTCGCCTTAATTCGAAACTGCATGTGCATGCAGCCTTTGGAAAGGGCAGTGACTAGATCGCCTGGGAGTGAACGAGAGGCCCGGCTGAGCGCCGTCTGGTATTTTCTGCAGAGCAAATCAACCAAGTATTCGTGTTTCTGCCAGGTATGGACCCAAATTCGATGTGGAAATTTGGCAGCGCAACTGGCAACGCCCGCAAATATATCCCCTATTAGCCGCAAGGAAAAATGCAAAGCGAGTTCGTGTGGTTTTCGAGGGGTGGCCACGTGAGCAAATCCTAAGGTTGAATCATGCGAACTTCGTATCATAGCTCGTGGGCATCAGAACATAGCCTTCGACGCAACACTCAAAAGCCAAGCGGCATCCTGCCATCCGCCGCCATCGCCCTGGCCATTCTCACCATCATTTAGAGGTGCCGGAGGAGGATGAGACACTAGCTTCGCTTTCTCCTCCTTCCTTCTCTTCATCTCCAGAGACCTCCTTTTCCGTGCCTCTTCGGCTGTTTCGTCACCATGAGTGTCGTCATCGGTTGTGTCCGTACCGTCCTCTGCCCGGAAAATGTCGACTTTCATAATGCGGTCCACGAAGTTACCCAAGCCGAATGTGTTGGAATTGCCCAATAGTTCTACTTCCTTGTGCTCGTCTTGATCTTTATCGGGATCGACAAAGCCAGCCTCCTCTTCAGGCAGCTCGGGTCGGTGATCGTCGAAATAGCCAGGGAAATCGCCTCTTCGCGGTGTTCTCGTTCCAACCGGGCTTGTCCTTCGTGAGGTTCTCCTGCTGACAGACCGACTACCGTATCTGCTTCCCCATCTGCTTACTCTTGTGCTCACTGGGCTACCTCCGTCGAAGCTGGCAAGCTGCAAGTTGGCAGTGCTAGCGCTTAGTGCCGCCATTTCTTCGTACTGATCATCATCCTCGTCTTCTTCCGACTCTGGCGGAGCTAAAGATGTAGACGAGGCGCGCGAAGCCAGCCAGCTCAGTCCTTTATCCTCTTGCACCAGTGCCGACGCAGCAGCTCCGGTATGTGTCAACCAGCTCTCGTTCTGAAGATCGTGCTCGTTCCTCGGAGTTGCGGCTCCAGATCTGCGCCCATACTTGTAACGTCGCGAAACCGGGACGCCTTGTCCAGAGAGTCTATTCTGCTTTTGCTGCTGTCCCGAAATCGCAGCCTCGCTCTTCGCCTTGGGAATTTGTCCACTTCCGAAATCTGCCCGTTCAGCGCCAACAGATGTCCGCGGCGGTGCAGCATATGAGTAGCTGATCTCATCATCCGCCTCGTCGTCGTCATATATCGAGCTCTTTCTGCTCAGTCCTGCTCCTAGGGATCTGCGGCTGGAGCTTCTGCTCAGGATGCCGGGAGTCGAGGGCGCGGATTTGCCCTGTAGATACGAGGAGTGCTGCCTCGTGAACGCTGCCTCTGCCGACTCGTCATACGTGCTCTTGGGAGCTTTACGTTCCGGCTCGGCGAATTTGGTGGAGAGAGGTGCAAGGCGGAGGTCGCTGAGGTTGGTTGTTGACCGCTTCGACCGGGATCGCGAGCGAGGTGTGCTGGGGATCGACTGCCCGTTGTTAGACAGATCAATACTGTGTTCAGTAAGTCTCACCATGTTGTCTGCCGGCCCAAAAATCGGATCAATGTTGAAGTGTACGTGACGAGAAAATGGGTGAGAAGTATGTTGAATCTCCAGACAAGACATCATGCCAACCAAGCGGGCCGAGGCAGGTGTTCAATGTGCTGCCGATCACCCCACAATCACATGTCAGGGAAAGGACTTTACTCCCCACGAACACCAACACAACAAAGGTTAGAAGAGACAGATGTCTACTTTCACGCTGAATTGCCATACAGCCGAGCCGATGAAGAAACAAGAAGACATTGGGCACGAAATCAGCTTAATAGTCGCCCAGCTCGTATATTCCTTGCCATATGTTCTGACATCTCTCCCGAGCGACCACGAGACAACGCGGGAGATGGAGCTGCTCAAGCTCACCAGACTTGGAGATATTGAACACTGTGCACCTTCATCGTGACGCAGAGGACTTGCTCATATTTCTACTCAGCGGCGAACACTAGCCCCTAGCTGCATCTTCTCTCCGCTGAACTCAGTCGTCCTTCTGCCCCTCATATCGAGCCAGCGTGCGCTTCAACATCTCATTCTCCGCCTTGATGCCAAGAAGCTCGCTCTCCACCGTCATCCGCTTCAGAGTTCTTCTCTGCAAGAGAAAGACGCGCGCCTGAATTTTGGCTCCTATTGCTTCCGGCAGTCTGGTTCATGCTTGAAAGAAGTTGTTCTTAGGAAAGGTATGTTCAGAGTTATTGAAAATGAGCGACGAGCGAAGAGCCGTGGGATTGTCAAAGCCTGGGACGACGGACGTTTTATTGGGAACGAGAGGCTCCAATACGAATTTGTCGTGAGCAGCGGCCATCTCTTCGCCCTGTCAGGCCCTGACAGCGACGTGTCGCCTAGTCGGAGCGGGGAGGCGCATCTACGACAGATGGCGCAATTGAAGATGTGGGTTGCGCTTCACCGTCGCCGTCAAGCTCTGATGCAGAGACTTTGCATCTCCGGGAGACTTTCGGATCCCTGTCCTTAGCTTTCCATGGTGCTGAGGCAGGTCTTCACATTTCTCGAAGGAATATCACTCTGCGCTTCAACCTCTCTTTTCCCTACTTGCCTGACGCTCCGCGCTTGTGGGTTCCGCTACTCCATTGATGTCCTCATCATCCATATAGTCCTGACGCCGTTCCCAAAGTATGTCGCGGTTCTTCTCGATGGCAGTCGAAATGCGTGACCGCTTCCACCGTTCGGTGCACAATTGTGGCGTGACGTGAACATTCTTGATGAGCTGGATGCCGTTCTTCTCAACTGTTCCCGTCTTCCCGTAGAGTAGATACATGTGTGTCGCGAGCGTAGCCGAAACTTGGCCCTTCTCGTGCTGGAAGGTTCGGCGAAGATCGTAGATTTTGTACTTGACCTTGGATGAGTTCGATTCGCGATCTTCGACAGAGAGCCTTGGGTATTGAGACATCCTGCTGGAACTTACGTCACGACGCTTGGTGTTTTGCGACGTGGACAGCCTCAATCTGAAGGGGTACTATAGCTTTTCCAAGGCTCACCTGCCCTTTGACATGTTTGCCAGACGAAGCTGAAGATTGTTTGCTATCTTCTGCGAAGTTTTCCGCTTTGACAAGGACCTTCGTTTATAGTACCGGACCGTGACACGGTCCAGTGTGCAGCCGAGCGGACCAATGTGAAAGATACCAAGAGCGAGCTGGTTCGAGTAGACCCAACCTGTATTTTCCAGGATGTTCGTACCGGAGACCTGCAGCCTTGGAGAATGAATCATGCAGTTGTTCCCTGTCAAGACAAACAGAAGTTGTATGAGTGGTTGGCACATGTACTGGAGGTTGCTATATCAGACACGAGAGAATTCTTCAGAGTAGTGCGCATTGCTACTTACGGAACAAGGATTACCGGGGCGAGTCTGATTTCCCCGTCTCTTGCCCCGAACAACAGGGTACCGCAGAAACCTCGTACGAGCGAACCGCAATTAGATCATCTCAGCGTGTGCTGATCGAGTCGTGAAGGTACCTTAGCCTTGTTGTGGCATATTGGACCAAGCGTTCTGCTGGCCGTCGTAGAACCCCGTATAGTAGCCAGCGTAGTACCAGGCCGTCATGATGTTCTTCAGCTGCTCGCTCTGCGCTACAAAGAGGTCAGGGTATTGACCAATAGCCTGTGGGGATATCAGTACCTACAAGAATTCATTAGCCCTTGCGGCATATTTGCAAGTCCTGCAGGTGGCATTGGCGGAGCGGGCGCCGGGTCTCCAGCGAAATTGGGCGGCGCATTCGGGGTCGTTTGCTGCTTTGAAGCGCCGTTTGGTTGCCCAGCGCTGGTGTTTGCGGTCTTGAGTGTGAGCAAGTTGACTTTCTCGCCCTTCGCAGCCATGCCATGATATTTCTGCGAATCACATGTTAGCTTCACTCCACCGAAGACAGTCTGGACGGCTGACCTGGTATTCCTTCACGGCGTCCTCCCACGAGTTCGTCAGCTCCTCATCATTCCACTTTTGGTCCTCGTCGTCCGCCATCTTGAATTTGTTGAAGATGTTGTTGCACCGTAAGTCGCAGGTAGAAGTCGACGAGATGAAGTTCACCAGTCCTCGGCAACACTTCGGCAAATCTTGCCTCCACAAACCTAAGCTTTTCTCGAAAAAAAGTTCCTCCAACTCAGCTTCCTCACCTTCACACCGTCAATCGCAGTATCCAGCCACCCTCAATGTCTGCCGATACGAAGACCCGCAAGCGCAAATCTGGCGACGATGTCGTCTCGAAAGCGAAGAAAGTCAAGACGACAACGACCAAGTCGGCCGAGCGACCTGCACCGCTGAAATCCGCACTGAAGAAGAGCAAAGTGGAGAAAGTTGAGGAGGAAAAGCCGAAGGGCAAGAAACCCAAGAAGAAGTCTAGCGAAGTCGTCGAACAACCGGATGACGAGGCAGATACCATCGTATCGGATGCAGATGAAGGCGGCGCCGCGCTCACCGCAGACCAAACCGCAGCGCTACTCGCTGGCTTCTCCTCCGATTCTGAGGAGGATGGCGAGGAAGAAGACGGAATCGAAATCTCCAAGCTACCCGCGGCCCCAACCACAGGCGAAGTACAGAAGCGTATCGAAAAAGCAGCCTCGAACCAAGACCCCGAATCAACCCCAGGAGTAGTTTTCCTCGGCCGCATCCCCCATGGTTTCTACGAACCCCAAATGCGCTCCTATTTCTCCCAGTTCGGCGTCATAACACACCTGCGCCTCGGCCGGAATAAGAAGACAGGGAAATCCCAGCATCATGCCTTCGTCGAATTCGAATCAGCCGCCGTGGCAGATATCGTGGCGAAGACAATGGACAAATACCTGCTGTTCGGACACATTTTGCAATGCAGACGCGTGCCAGCCGAGCAGGTGAAGGAGAATATGTGGAAGAATAGTAGTGGTGTGAAGAGAGGCAAAGTGCGACCGAGAAATAGAATTGAGGGGACGAAGTTGCGGAAGGGAATGGACAGGGAAGGGTGGGAGAAGAGGAATGGCAGGGAGGAGAACAGGAGAAGAGAGAAGCTGGAGAAGCTGGCGGAGATGGATTATGAGTTTGAGGTGCCGGAGCTGAAGAAAGTGGAAAGCGTGCCGGTCAAAGCGAAGGCGATTGAAGATACGCAGACTGGCGCAGAGGACGATGATGGCGTGAAGTTGATCGAGGGCAAGAAAGAAGAGGTTGCGCCCGGGGTGGAGAAGGAGGTTGAAAAGGTCGTCAAGGCGAAGCCAACTGAACTCGTCGAGGAAAAGACGATTAAAAGGAAGAGCAAAGCTACGGGTGCTACGACCACCACAACGAAGAAGCGCAAGACGAAGTTAGCTGCTTGAACCAGTGGTCGTGGACAGGTGATAGAGAAAATGCAATGGTTTCTTTGATTTTTCACAGGGCTATGCAAACTCTGTGTGGTGATACCACTGCTGCTACATCGTTTCTCGTCTCTTCGTCTCATCATGCTCCGACCCAGCATGCTGTGCAGCAAATAGCCGCGATCCAAAACGCCTCGCTATGTATGCCGACGAAACGTATGAATTTGACCAACGCATATCCTGCCTTTAGAAGGCTTGTGTATCGCCTCACTGAGCCTCTTGAGCTCGCACGGGGAAAATTTCCGCCGACACTACTTCACGTTGAGCATAGCACTGGGAACAAGCCCGCACTCCTTCAGCGTCATGCCGAAATCCTCGTATTTGAACTCCTTGCGCGGGAAGTTGGATGAGAATGCCGTGGCTTGGACGGCGATCTCAGCCTTGACTGCTTCCGCCAACTCGAAGAGGGTGGTCTCAGCGGGTAGGGTCTTCATGACAGTGCCATTCGCAGTCTGTAGCTTCAGCCGGGCCTCAGAGTGGTTCGCCTTGTTGACCTGGGAAGCGGCAGCCGCAGCACCACCCGTAGTAGAAGCAGAAGGAGCACCAGGATTGTAAGCTGCAGGATTCTCCCTCATCTTCTTCTCTTCTTCCGCCTTCTGCTTCCGCGCCAACTTGTCGGCCTCGATCTTGTCACGAATGCGCTTCTTGGCAGCGAGATCGTCCGCCTTCTCCTGCTTCTTCTTCTGCGCGTCCTTGATCTGCTCTTTCCGCTGCAGCTCCTCCTTCGCGTCATCGTTCTCCTTGGTCTTTTTGCGCTGAATCTCTTCATTCCGCTTCTGGGCGATCTTTTCCTCCGTTGCCTGAACTGCTCTCTTCTCCGCCAACCTAGCCTTCAGTTCTGCGAGTCGATTCTTCTTCTCCTCTTCCGTCAAGGGTGCGAGTTCCTCCGCAGACTCGGCGAAGTCAGTATGACCAGATTTTTCGGCGTGAAATTGGGCTTGTGCCATGCTGCGGAATTTCTTCTGGCATTCATTGCAGACCATAGAGCGAGCCTGCTCTCCTGCTTCGAGCTTGGGTGCGCCTTCCTCTTCCTCGTCCTCTGCAGCTTCTGCCTTGAGTTCTTCGACAGACTTCGATGAGTTCTTGTCTAACCAGTCGATGGCGCCGGTGAGGTTGCCGCCATTCTTCAGGGCCATTTCGGACTTCTCGCGGTCGAAGCCCATGTCGACAAGGGAGTCGAGGTCGCCTGCCATGATGATGGTACGCTCTCGGATGGAAGAGTTAGTAGTAGTTGGAGGTGTTGATCGGTGCGGCCGTTAAGGAAGTTGCAACTGTGTCGTGGGTAGAGAATGGCCAGCAGATGCTCTAGATTCAGAAGTGTAGATGCGGTGGAGAGGTGGAGGCAACTGCAAGAAAAGTGAATGATGGCATTGATTGATGAGTTAGTGCTGGAAGACGACGTGTGAAGGTGATCGCGGCATGTGGCATGTGGGAGCTCCGCGCTGACGTAGAACTGCATGGCCCGTGCGTGAACTGCGTCGCCTCCCTCGCCAAGTTGCAGTTGCAGCTGCGGTTGATTGCCAATCCAGATTCCCCCAAACTTCCACACTCGCAGCAATTCTTCTTACTCCCTCCTAGGAAAGAATCGCTCCATTCCACCCCCAATCGCCTTGCCGTCGCCGCTCCGCTACCGACTGCACTGCTGCCAGACACTCCGCCGCAGCCACTCCAGGGGACTTGCCGAACACTCCATCCTCGAAACACGTTTCGCTTCCGGGCGACACCACGACACTCCAACCCTCTGAGGAGCAACCACAGCTGCGGAGATATCTTGATCTGTTCGCCCAATATGAGCGTTGACCTCTCTCCACCTGAGTTGGGCTTCAAGCGTACGTGACCGCGGACGCCGATGCTATCTCAATGGCCAGCTTGCTAACAATGCGCTTCCAGGCCCCTTCACCCACGAGGTCAGCCAAGTCCTGCGACTGCGCAACCCGAATAACGCCCCCGTTGCCTTCAAGGTCAAGACTACCGCTCCCAAACAGTAAGTATACCCGTACTTCGAGCAATTGCGTTACCGAGGTGGCCGCAGGACAATTTCCGATTAAAAGCCTGGTGGCTGACAATGGTCAATACAGATACTGCGTTCGTCCCAACTCCGGCCGCATCGAGCCTGGCCAAGATGTCGAAGTTCAAGTGCTTCTTCAGGCCATGAAGGAGGATCCTCCGCCAGATGCCCGCTGCCGCGACAAGTTCCTCGTACAATCCGTCGGCATCTCTCCCGAGCAGGACGTCAACAATGTCACCCAGATCTGGCAAAATATCGAGCAGACTGCGAAGACTTCGATTCAAGAGAAGAAGATCCGCGTTACATTCCTGCCTGCTGACGGAACTGCTTCTGTCGCGACTAACGGCGTACACCACGATGATGAGCCCCCAGCGTACTCTTCACCTTCTCCTGCCGCTGTCACCCCGCAACGCTCAGCCGCTCAGATCGACCGAAGCCCGCTCGCAGACTCAACTGCAGATATCACACACTCTGCCATGGCCGCGGTTTCGAACACGACCGGCATCAGCCAAGACGATATGCGCCGACAACTCGACGAGGCGAAGGCGACGATTGCGCGACTACAGCAGCAGGCTGCAGAGTCTACGGGCCTCCGGCAGCGTAAGACGGGCGGAGAGACGACAACCGCGAATAAGACCCAACCGGCAAGCATGCAGTCCGCACCTCCAGCAGGCGGCGTGCCTGTACAGATCGTCGCCGCGCTCTGCCTCATATGCTTCTTGATCGCATACCTATTCTTTTAGGAGACTCATCGAAGCACCGAGGTCTGTCCACGGGAGAAGGAAGAAGGAGACGGTCCGTGGTGGTATTGGTGGACACCATATGACACACACAACTGAAGACTGCGGGCAGCGGTCTGGTTCATGAGATGTTCGCCTGAGCATGCTCATACTGTGAGAGAGGATGTGCGGATATGGAGGGCGATGAAAGACTGGAGAAACTGCTTTGGCTGCCTTTGGGCCTTCGATTGGGCAATCGAGAGTCATGACGGCCTAGTCCGGGCTCGCAACGACGATTGGTCGCGCGACCACGACTTGGCCTTTCCCTTTGTGTCGTTGTTGTTGAAATTGTGCTTTTAGTTTGAGATACCGTTGCATACATGAGCTTCTTGACCTCTACGATCTTTCTTGGCATTTCGAGGGTGGGTTTTGACCTTGCAGCCCAAGCAGAGGGCACCGAGTGGTAGCCACACTTGACTCACCTGCCATGTACGGAGGGCATAAACCTGGTCTCGGCGACCCACGTTCACATGCGAGCGGGGCGGTAGAACAGGTGTGCGAGAATCTAGAACAGGTGTGCGAGAATCCGGTCGCTCATATTGCGCGTTCCACTAACAAATCAGATAAAAGCAGCAGGATAAAACACGGCATCTCATCTCATCTCATCTATCCATCCCGGAGACCCCATCGCTCGCTCGCTCCCAAAAAAAAGCAAACAAAAAAACTTTCCATGTCCACGAAAAAAAACTCCCTAAATCTCGCGATTTGGACGAGTGGAAAAGAAAAGAAAGAAGGAACTAACTGACAGACAGCTTCCTTCCTTTCTTTCTTTCTCTTTCTATTTCTTCCCGCCATCCGTCTTCTTGGCATCCGCAGCGGCCTGCTTGGCGCGCATAATCGCGGCGACGTTCTCCTTCTCGCGCGCCTGTTGGGTTCCGGACGCGGTGGTTTTGTGCTTCTATTGTTTGGAAGAAGATAAATTAGTATACGATGTACATTGGAGGAGGGGTAGTAGTAGAGAGGGAGGGGAGTGGGATGATTATCATGGACGGAACGGACCTCTTGAGATAGCTTGGCCAAGTTCTTCTCACGGGCTTTGTCGCGCTGGTTACCACGGGCCATTTTCTCCTTCTTTTTTTGGCTTTCCCTTTGCTTGCTGGGACTGGAATTTGTCGATGTGTCGGGGCTGGTTTTTTTTTCCGAGGTTTGCCGCGACGGTACGATTCTGAGGTTCTCTGCCCGGGGTTGGGGAGAGAGGTCCGCAGTCAAGAGATGTGATGTGAGTGGGTTGTGCTTTAGTCTTTTGTGTGAGCGAGTGTGAAGCGTGAGAAAGAAAAGGAACAGGGCTCAGCCCAATTTGTGCCGCAAAGCTGGGAAGGTGAGGTCTAGAAGAGCTCGGACCATGTCTGTCACGTGACAGTGCGCTTACTATCAGGAGGCCAAGGCCATACCTTTGGCTTACTGGCACACCCTCCACGGGATTGAAGACAGACCTCAAGATTCACTTTTGGAGCTTCATGGTAAGAGTCATGCTCGAGAGGTAAAGGGGTTCCTATTTCCATCGCAAACATCTCGATTCCAGCCGACAGTGAACATTACTGTAGGAAGATTTTGTACATTGATCATTAGAAATTAGTATACACACATTGGTAGGATTCTGCAGCGTCCAAGATTCATCTCTCATGATCCCTTTGTTGATTCTTACTTCTTGACAACACCGCACTCGATCAAGCTCTTGCCAGAAGCGACGATCGCGTCCTCTTGGCTCCTTGGTGACCAGCCCAATTGGGTCTTGGCCTTCTCATTCGAAGCCTTCACGACTACACCCAGCTCCGGCACGATTAGCCCAATAGCCGGATCGAACAAGCCCATGAGTTTCACCAGGAAGTTCGGTGCCGTCCTGGTCGTAACTCTCCGACTTTCCTTCCCAGGAAGATTCTTCTTCAGGACGTGTGCTATCTCCTTCATAGAAATACCGGGACCGCTGTCTGCACAAGCCAGATATCTCTGCCCGGCGGCCTTGGGGTCGGTCATTGCACGCAGATGCAGGTCTGCGACGTCCCGTACGTCGACGGCGCCAATGGCGAGATTAGGACATGCAGGGATTTCGCCGTTGAGCAGACGGGAGACGACCTGCACGCTTGCTGCGAAATCTCCACTCAGAACAGGCCCAAACACGCCCACGGGGTTCACGACCGCCAGGTCCATACTGCCTCCTTCCTTTGCGATCCAATCCCAAGCAGCTTTCTCCGCAATCGTCTTGCTCTTTTGATATGGCGGAACTTTCACTCCCTTCGACCCATCAATGACTGACCAGTCGTCCTCAGTGTATGGCTTGCTCTGGCTCGCGTGTCCGTAACCTATCGCAGCGTAGGAGCTCGTAACCACCACTCTCTTCACGGACCCTGCTTCTTTGCCGAACCTTAATGCGCGTAGAGTGCCTTCTTTTGCAGGAACGATCAGCTCGTCTTCATGTTTGGGCACGCTTGGTGGAAAAGGCGACGCGACGTGCAACATGTAGGTGCAGTCTCTGCATGCTTCCGACCAATTGTCATCGGAGCCGAGGTCGACGGCGAAGAACTTGATGCTGGCAATTTGTTCCTGGGTTGCGCCGCCCGTTTCGAGGGCCTTTTTGACATGGTCGGTACGCGTGAGGTCGCGGACAGTCGTGCGGACCTGGTAGCCTTTCTGGAGGGCGAGAAGAATGCAGTGTGATGCGATGAAGCCTGAGCCGCCGGTAATGAGGACCGTCTCGTTGATGTTGGCCATCTCCTCTGCGTTACGTGAGGCCGGTAATGTAGAGTACTAAGAGATCTGATGCTGCCCGTGCATAAGGTACGGCATTCCAGTTGACGCGCCAATCCCCGCAGTCACGTGCAGATAGAGTGTGAGTGCAACATGGATCGCCGTCTGTGCAGCAACAGGGAAGGAAAGACTTCACCTCGTCTTCTCTTCTCACCTCTCTCTCTGTCTTCTCATCTCGGTCTTGCATGTGTTATCCTGCACGCTGCTCGTCAGTGAGATACCTTACGCAATCACCGTCATGTCCGACGCCCTACAAGCGCGCAGTCCGGTGGATTGGAGGAGAAGCTGCCCTGGGCTTGCAGTTGCGTCCGATGGCGGAGCGATGCACTTGCGATGCAGTCGCCATGCAGTCCTCGCTGCCGTGACGCTTAAGCTGCTTAGCAAGGGTCTCTCACACGTGCCCTACTACTGCTATTCTGCACACGCTTTGCTGACTGTCTTCATCTCATTCACCTGCAACATCATCCCAAACGCCCACCCTAACGTCTTACCACGTCCTGCCGTCCTGCTGGCCATCCTTCCTCGTACTCTTCCATCCCGTCCTCTTCTTCTATGCGATAATCACTCACATTCTCTACCATCTGCGGGACCAAGTGATAAATTCGATGCAATACCATGAGTTTGTCGAAACGGGATCCTGAAGATGATAAGCTCAGCCTGCTTTCCGCCGATCTCGATGCGCCTCACACTCCCAAGCTACAAGATACCCGGAAGCCCGAGCCAGAAAACAATGTCTTTCTTGCCCTGCCCTTGTCGGGACCCATCAGGCCTTTGTCTCCAGACACTCTCTCCAGTCTGTCCGCTGAGGATTATGAGCACATGCAAACCAGCAGAAGGCCTTCCCTAAACCAACATGGAGCTTCTCCGCCCGAACTACGCACCGGCTGGCGCGGAAAGCTGCACGCTTTTTGGGAACACAACAAAGGAATGATATACATGCTCTTCGCCCAATTCTTTGGAACCCTCATGAACGTCACCACTCGGCTTCTGGAAGTGGAAGGCAACAAGGGCAAAGGTCTCCATCCTTTTCAGATCCTCTTTGCGCGCATGGCGATCACTGTTGTCCTTGCGTCGGGCTACATGGCGTACGCGAAAACACCCTCCTTTCCCTGGGGCAAGCTCGAAGTCCGCTGGCTCCTTGTAGCGCGAGGCTTCGGTGGCTTCTTTGGTGTCTTTGGCATGTACTATTCCTTGCTCTACCTTCCTCTGGCAGATGCCACCGTCATCACCTTTCTTGCTCCTGGACTAGCCTGCTGGGCTTGCTCCTATTTCATCAACGAGCCTTTCACCCGCGTGGAGAGAATCGGGACACTCATCTCTTTGATCGGCGTCATTTTCATTGCTCGTCCAACGACGCTCTTCCAGGCTTTCCAAGGCAGTAGAAGTGACCCTCCTCCTGCGGGCGGAACAGGCGATATGGCGCCTTCAGGAAACAGTAAAATCCCCGATTCCGGCTCGGACGCTTCTGACTACGACAGCGTCACTCCCACTCAACGCCTGGCCGCTGTCGGCATTGCTCTTCTTGGTGTCGCAGGCTCAGTTTGCGCCTTTACGACCATTCGCTGGATCGGGAAACGCGCGCATCCACTCATCTCCGTGAACTACTTCGCTGTGTGGTGCACAATCATCAGCATCGTGATGCAGTTTGCTCTTCCGAACGTCGGCTTCTTGCTCCCCGCAGATCTGAAGGAGTGGGGATATCTCATCTTCTTGGGATTATGTGGATTCGTAATGGTAAGTTGGGCAGAGGTAGTTCGATCTTCTGTCTCCATTCGCTGATACCCGACTGCAGCAATTCCTCCTCGCCGCCGGTCTTAGCCATGAAAAGTCTTCCCGAGCGACCAACATGACATACACCCAGATGCTCTTCGCTCTCGGAGCTGATAAGCTCATCTTCGACCATGCGCCCAGTATCTTGTCAATCATCGGGTCTACTCTGATCTTGGGCAGTGCCATTATCGTTGCGCTTCAAAAGGGCTCTGGCCCCACCAGGGAGGCTACAGAAGGCAGTAGAAGGACCGCGGATGAGGAGGCGCAGCGCGGTCTACTGGGTGAGGATGTGGAAGTCGGAGAGGATCACGATCGGACACCGTTACAAGACGTGAGTGTGAGGGCTTTGAGGTAGTTATAGGTACGCGGCATCGGCAATCGTGGCGTTTTTGGGGAAATTCATACAGAATGCATACGTGCCGGAGAGGGATACTCAAGGACTGAGGCGCTTACTGACAAGACTGCCATTCTCTCACGGAGTTTAGTAAACGACATCTCGGTATGATCAGAACACACTGTCTTACTTGCAAGCTCTTTTGAGGATTCAAGGCCCTGCCCTTCCAAAGACCGACTCGCTCCCGTGCTATCTCGAAATATTCGCTAGCCATTGCTCCTCTGCGCTGAAAAATGAACCCGAACGCCATCTTGCCTCTCTTCGCGATCAACCGGTCTGGCACTTCTACTCGGGTCAAGAGAAACAGCTTTCGCAGTGCTTCTGTTCAGACCCAACCTCCTCGGCCGTCAGCAAAAGGTTGCACCATTCGTAGATCCAGCCTCCTCGGTCATACCGTCTTTGATCCGAGTAATCCGCGTTCACACGTGGCCACAGTGCCCGACCACGATCTGTTTCCTCAAACGGAATGAATGCTCCTCTGGACTGACTCACTTAAGCTGGCTGATATTCTCCGAGATTCCAAGACCTCTATCCCTGCTTTCCTGGTGAAGTGAATTAATACGGGTTGAGAGACCCAGTTGGCAGTTTCAATCTCTAGACGCCCGCTGGAAGCTGCTCGTGTTGCTCCGCGATAAGATAAGGTAATCAGGTGGGCCCAAGCTCACTTGCATGTGATCGAGGAGGGTGATTCTAGCTGCCTCCGCTGACTGGTTACCTTCTTCTTGGGTACTCGGTGGATCCTTTGGTAGGGGGACTGTAGGGGACTATGAGGATCCCCTTTGCAGCCTCATGGTGCAGCTCCATAGGTGAAGATGCTCGAGCTCAATTGCGAGCAGAAGGCGGAACCCCACCTACCCAGCCGTGTGCTCTCTCGGGTAGCCTGGCAATCTACGCCCCAAGCACAGACCGAGACACACTTACTGGTATTCCATCAGACCGCTCCTTCAATTGAACAATACACGACCGAATGCTGGACCGGGCGAAGCGACAACAAACTGGTCCTAAGCAGCAGGTTTTACCCTCGGACCTCTTCAATTCTGGGCATCGGGAGTCATGGCCTGGACGCTAGCCATTGATTCCAACGCAGGTCTGCTTCATAATCAGTGCACATCAAAGACTTTGCGTCGTCCAAGGCGCTCACATTACTCTCACTCAGCAAATCTCCGGAATACCCAACGTCCTCACACAAACTCCTCCCTGGCAAGGATAGCAGATCGGACACACAGTCTAGTGGTCATCACACATTCTGATTCCGACGTTTGTCGATTCTGTTCGCCATGTCGATCGATGGGTGTACCGGCAGCCAAAATGCCATGAGAGAGAGACTAGCGATCGTAGTAATGTAGATTGGCTTCATTCTCGGACAGAACCAGTAGAAATGCTATTGTTGATTGTCAACGTGCTGGATTATATATATATATATGAGCAATTCCAACAATCAGAGTGATAGATATATCCTGCAGGCTGCTTGATGTGACGTATCTATCGCGGACCAAGTTCTTGATGCTTGTGATGTGCAATGCAAGTAATCTTCATACTCTCCACACGCGTTTAGGGGAGGATTGATTCGAGGTTCTGTAGTGCAGCCGGGCCAGCGCTAGCAATGGTGGTGGTTTCCCACTCCTCTCTTCGCAGCTGATGTTCCGTGAGAATTTTGATAGAAGTCTGCGATACTCCAGAGTTCGTCGTGCAGGCAGATTGCTTTGTACACAATCATTAGACAGAGCCATTGTCGCTCATTTACTCTATCTGACCGGACCGATGTCTAGAATCATCGACCTCCTCATCTCCACCGATGCCCATCCCTTTCTCTAATAACTCCCGCCGCGTGATGCGCATAAGCATAGACGACAGCCTGCAAATGCGCCACCGGCGGCGTGGGAAACGTACTCGAATCCACAACCCTCAACCCCTGCAATCCCCTAACCCTCCATTCCTCATCCAAGACTTTGCCCAACGCCACGGCACCCAGAGGGTGATGAAACGTGGTAGCACTCTGCTGGATCGCCTTCCAGAGATCCGCATCACTCGTGACATTCGCGCCGGGGAAGACTTCCCTCACGACACTCTGTGCGGCGGAGGGATTCTGCATGACTTGGCGGAGTTTCTTGTAGCCGTAGAGGATGGCGGCTTTGTCGCCGGGAGAGCCGTAGTAGTTGGAGTAGATGAGCGGGTCGTCGCGGAAATCGGAGGAGTTGAGGCGGATGTATCCAGTCGCTTCGGGCTGCACGAGAGCAACAAAGGGAGAGATGATGCTCGAGTTGGGCGCGTTGGGCAGGAAGGGAGCCGGAACGTACTGGTAGAGTAATTGTCCACGATCGGCGGGGAGGGAAGGGTGGAAGGTGTCGTTGACGGCCTCGAAGACAGCATCCGGCACGCGCTCCAGAGCATAGCCACCACCTGGTACACCGAGGAAACCGCCTCCATCTTTGGCGTACTCTTCCTTGTTGATGGTCGCGAAGGTGGCGTTATTTTGCAATTGCCACGAAGTTCCCACGTCCGCAATCATCTCGTATTCGATCACGGAGAAGTGGTGATCGTACAAGTTGGAGCCGATAGCCGGGATATCTGCTATAACGGGAATACCTTTGGATTCTAGATGATCTTTGGGTCCGACGCCGCTCAGCATGAGTAGCTTGGGACTGTTGATCGCCCCAGCAGTGAGGATGATCTCTTTCCCGCAAATTGTATGAACAGTATCGTCGACGCTCGAGAGATACGTGACATTCGTAGCTCGCTTGCCCGAGAAGCCGATCTTGCTGACCCAGGCGTTGTCGATAAGCTGCACGTTGGGTCGATTGGCCATTTGCCACCCATAAGCTTCTAGGGCGTAGTCCCTTGTTCGATTCGAAGCCCGGATCGTAGCTGGTCCGAAAGTGATGCCTAGACCCTTGCCATCGCTCATGTCGACAAAGGGCAACCGAAGGACTTCATGGAGTGCATCGGCCCATTTGAGGCTGAAGTTGAAGGTGTACCCTCCGACCGTGACTTCCAGTGGACCGTTGCCATAGGCACTCTCGTCGATGTAGGAGTTGAACTTCTGAGGATCGCTGGTGAAACGCGAAGTCGCTTTGAAATCGTTGAAGAGGCTGCTCCATCGCAGACTTTCGATGCCGGATATGTTGGCCCACTGGTCGAACACAGAAGCAGCCCCGCGGGAATAGGCCATATAATTCACAGCGCTACCGCCGCCCCAAACGTGGCCTTGCTGCAACGCAGGAGTCCGTCCGTCCAGGTTGGCGTCTGGCTGTGACGTGAAGTTCCAAACATATCGAGTATTCACGTTCGCTTGGGCAGCAAATGCCGGCGTGTTGATATTCGGCTCATTCGTTCCGTCGGGACCGGCTTCTAGGAGCACGACATGTACGCTTGGATTCCTCGACAGCTGCTCGGCCATCACAAGACCCGCAACTCCGCCTCCGACGACGACATAGTCGATCTCGCCGTTGTTTGCTGGGTCGTTCGGTCCATACGGGCGCCAGCCGTTCCAGCCAAGACCAGGGCCATGTGGGACAGGATCTGCCAATACACTGTCGGCTAGAAAGCATACTGCCAACGCCGCCCTCAAAATGTTCTTCATGATGATGGAAAAAATGACCTTCCAAATCTACGTTGCGTTGAAATGTCACCGGAGGGCGTGATCGAAAGCGGATCTACTGCGCCCGTATCAAAGCATCGAATCCTGCAAATTATTAGGAGGAATGAGATGGAATTGTCTCTTCAAATACCGACGAATGGAGAAATTGCTCCCGGCAGCTGAGAGAGCTTCGGACATTGTGGTGAACGGCTGCACGTGCCATGACGTCTTGAGCAGCATACATTGACACCGTCTTCTGCGCGGCGACGTCTCTTTGGACCGCTGTACTCGTATCAGTCCCGCTTGATGACAGTACATGTAAGCGTCTTCTCATTGTCGCTTTCGCTTCCTTCCAGTCAGCACGACTCCAAACGAAGCGGAAACGATGGGTCTGTGAAGGAGAAGTACGAAAAGCACCACATCTCACACGACACCTACAATCCTCCAAAACGAATCCAAGTGGGGATATCTCCCCATCCTTCGGAAGCGCTCGGCTACAGCCCAACTGTTCCGGATTGAGAATTTGCACCGATTTTTAGGAAGCTGCTTCAGATAAACGACCTTTATTACAGTAGCATAAGCGAGCCGCGCTCGTGCAGCCAGCATGAACGCTTGCGTCGGTTGGAGAAACTATGGGGAAAATATATGCAGAGCTGAACATCGTTATTACGGCCGGGTAACACAACCTCTGCGAATCAAAGATACTGCCTCATCACAAGCTTCGGCGTTGTGCAGTGGACGCTGAGCTTTTAATGCTAGCCGTCGAAAGATTCTCTTTCGTCGCCGCGGACCGGAAGCCTCTTGGACAGTGCTTGCTATCTCTTACCTCCTCGAATGCAGACCACTGTCGCGGTATGGGTCCGTATAGCAACGCATGCAAGCGGTTAAGACAACCCTTACGAAGTACGAAGTGTCGTAGGGATAGACGTAGAAAGAGGCTTCCCTGTCAGAGGTAAAGGACCCATTCAAGCCAGTACCAGTCTTGCTAACTTGTTATTACGTCCTCATCAAGCCACCAACGTGTGGACTGTCCTAGGGCTAGATAGAAAAGTGGCTTCCTGACCAGAGGTAAAGAAGTCATCCAAGCCGGCACCAGCCTTGCCAACTTATTATTACCTGCTCATCAAGCCATTAATGTACGAACTGTCCTAGGACTAGATAGAAAGTGGTTTCCTGGCCAGAGGTAAAGCAGCCATCCAAGCCAGCAACAGTCTTGCTAACTTGTTATTACGTCCTCATCAAGCCACCAACGTACGACGTGTTCTAGGGATAGGTGCAAAGGGGCTTCCTTGCCAGAGGTAAAGGATCCATTCAAGCCAGCACCAGTCTTGCTAGATTATCATTGCCTCTTCGTCAAGCCACCAGCGTACGAAGTGTCCAAGGGATGGACATAGAAAGAGGCTTTCTGGTCGGAGGTAAAGGAGCCAGCACAGGGATTCGCAACTCATCGGTACCTCCTCGTCGAGCCACCAACGTACGAAGTGTCGTGGGGATAGAGGCGCTTCCATGCCAGAGGTAAAGGAGCCATTCAAGCGAGCACAGGGATTCCCAATTTATCATTACGTCCTCGTGAAGCCACTAACGTCAACATGGTCGCTACCAAGAATATCGCGCCCCTCGCCACCGCAGCTGTCCTCTCTTAAGGAAGCCATTTCCTTCGAGTTCAGGTGTCTCTCTACTCTCTCATCGATACACCCAAACCCGCTACTCCCATCAAAATGTTCTCCAGAGCTTCTCTCGCCGTCATCCTCCCTTTCCTCGCTTTGATTGGCACCAACGCCTCTCCCACCGACAATGAGAAACGTGCCGCCATAACCACCAGCCAGACCGGAACTTCAGGCGGGTACTACTATTCCTTCTGGGTCGATGAATCCGGCGATGTGCAGTATACCAACGGCAACGGAGGCGAATACAGCGTCACCTGGAGCGAAGGAAGCACCGACTTCGTCGCTGGGAAAGGCTGGCAGACAGGCAGTGCTAGGTGCGTAAGGGGCTTTTCCACGGATACAGAATGCGAGACGTCCAGCTGACACCTGTTTCCGAAAGGGACATCACCTTCTCGGCCGACTACGATCCCGCAGGCGAGAACACGTACCTCTCCGTCTACGGCTGGACGACCAACCCTCTGCATGAATACTACATCACCGAATCCTACGGCGACTACAACCCGGGCACCGCTGGCACGCACCTCGGCACGGTGAGCAGCGATGGGTCGACATACGACATTTACACCGCGACCCGAGAGAATGCTGCTTCGGTGGAGGGGACTCAGACGTTCACTCAGTTCTGGTCCGTCCGGCAGAACAAGCGGACTTCGGGCACGGTGACGACGCAGAATCACTTCAATGCGTGGGCGGCTGCTGGGCTGAAGATGGGCACTACGTTTAATTATCAGATTGTTGCCGTGGAAGGGTACAAGAGCAAGGGAACGGCGACGGTTACCGTTGGATAGAGGAGAGATTTGCTCTGGTGGTGGGAGTCGGAGAGGCTCATGTCGCTTATGTTGGTGTATTCCAGCTTCAGTGACTAAGCCGTTGATGTGGCCTAAGTCATTGATGTAGTTGTACTAAGTCGTTGATGTGGTCTTAATCATTGATGTGATCATTAAGATGTTCGGCAGCCCTTGTTGGTATATGCTTGCGCGAAGCCGATCATCCCTGTACCTTCCTAAAAGAGATTCACAACCTGCAACCAGATCTCTTGGCAACCAGATCTCTTGATGCACACTTGGACTGATTGATATTGAAATGATGGAATTGCAGACGTCGTTCGTTGGAATTGAACCCAGGGAACCGAGCCCAGCAGCGCCAAACAATGCCAGCGCCACCTCCATCACCGCAGCAAAGGCCCGCGTCGCGATTGCCGCTTAGTCGCTTTGGGACAGTGACCTCAGCGCGATAACAAGACCGGAGACTGGATCCTCATGTCAGGTGATACAGGTACGGGACACAGCAACAGCTCCATACCTCATACATTGCCGGCCTACAGATCGGCGACAGCAGAGCCTCATGATACACCAGGATGGCGCCGAATCCCATCATGATACCACGGAAACCAGTTCCAGGACGATCTCAGAAGACGCCAGATCCCAGTAGACCGTCTACAGCCAACTTCCAACATGCCCTCACCGTCGTGTCGTTACTTCTCCTCGTGGCCGCTTTTCCATGGGCCCGTCGATGGTTGCTGTCCGGTGCCGCCACGGAATCTCTCCTGGTCGTCTATGGCGCCCAAACAGGCAATCGAATCTTCTCCGACATACCCCTCTGGACGCTTCTCGCCACCTTCAACCTGCTCTACGCCATCTGTTCCACCTCCTGGCTTCTACATGGCCTCTTTTCGGCTTTTTGTTACCTGACAATCCTGATCACGAGCATCTGGCAGTTCGAGATCGCTGCGAATCTGGCGAGAAAGGTGCTCCGAAAGCTCCTCGGTCATCACCCGCATTTTGTTAAAGACAAGCTGGCCCTGTTCAACTTGCCCGCATTGGAAATCGACACCGACGTGGATGGGCTCTTCGTCATCCGAGGCGTGACCATCTCATTGTCAAACTTGACGCTCGTGGCGCATGGAATCGAACTTGGTGAGCCGCAGCAGGCGCACGCTTGGCCCTCCCCCTGCTAACGTCGTGAAAGGTCTCAAGGTCGCCGACGACATCGAGCTCGCCATTTATGTCGATGAAGTAGTCGTCCAATTCTTTCGACGAATCGAGATTGGAGATGTCTACGCCAATGTCAAGGGCGGCCAATTCGAAATGACATTTGCTGGTCTGGAAGACCCGACCGACGATGCAACTGGCGAGGACTGCGTCTTTCTCGATAATACACCGCTGCTTCGAGCCGCCACTGCAGGCTCCGAGGGTTTCAACGACCGACCAAAGCTTCGAGAGTCTTTGACCGGTGTCAGCTACATGCGAGACTCGTCCGCAAGAGCTGGCCTGGACATGGTCACGAGGCTCTCGCCGGCTGATGAAATTGCCGACAAGCAGTATTACGAGAGGCTGAACGAAATCAGGACTGGAAGTGCAGTCTTTCAGTCTCGACAACAAGTACGCCACGAGGCAAAGACGAGGCAGGGCTTCGCGCCTGAAGACGAAAAAGACATGCGTGCTGCGGTCAGCACAGAATTGCACAAGCTGCCTTCGGTGCCCCATCCGCCTTCACGATCAGTTCGAGTGACAACACTGCAGAAGCTATCGCCGCCATATGTCCGGAACTTTCTGCACAGACTACCGTTTCTTCTACGGCTGCTGCTCGCACCTCTCAGCTACTTCCATCCCGTCAACATCGCCAGCATCAATGCTGCAGGGTCAGGACAGTGGCTCTCGCAACTCTTGGAGCAAGAAGTCTTCAAAACCTATACATCCTCAAGCGGCGAACTCAGACGTCTACATCGGAGGATTTCGCAATGGCTCGCAGGTGCCAACTTCTGCGTGCAACTCACCGATGTCTACGGCCTCGGCCAAGTCCCACTCAGCACCTACTTCGACATCATCACGTATCTCAAATTCGACGATGTGCTGGCTTACCGGACCGCACCACAAACGGGGACCATCAGCCAAGTCGTCCGACTAGGTGGCGCGGATGCCACATTCACCATCCCTTCTTTCCTCCTCCCTCACCACGAGCACCTCGTACCACCGGAACCGACACGAAAAGACGAAAAGGACCTCAAAGTCGAAATCGACCACGCGGATGGAGTGCCCAAAGCAGTCCAAGCCGAACGAGATCTCAAAAGAGTTCAAAAAGACGAAACAACAGTAGCCATGAGCGTCCACGGCAGTCTCCCCGTCTCTTGTGATCAGAGCCTCCTCAATTTCATCGCGGCACTCGTCAAAGCAACCAAGATCATCGAACTGGAGAAAGAAGTCGACATTGTCGATCAACAACAACAGTCCACCAACGACCCCACTCCCTCCGAACCCGACCCCGACGAAATCTCACTCCCAAGCACCACCACCACCTCCTCAACCTCCACCTCAACATCCACCTCGAAACAAATCTCCGGCTTCCGCGTCCTCGCCCAGAACATCCGCCAGAACCTCCGCGACGGCACCACCAGCGCCAGCATCAAAGACCTGGCGCGCGAGATTCACCAGACCACGAAAGATGGAATCAAAAAGGCCGCCGTCGGCGGGCTGGTCAATGATCGCTGGATCGCAAAGATTGTCGGCAAGACGGCCGCCATGCTGCAGAAGGCCCAGGGCGATGTCGGGTATAGTGGGAGTATGCCCATTGCGTTGGCGCCGTATCGCGGTGGGGAGGGGTTGGCGGCGAAATTGTTGCCGTGAGGAGGAATGATACCCGTTCGGTGTGATGATGATGATGATGATTATGACAATAATAACAAGAGAAAGGAAGCTTTGTGGGGGCGGCGAAAATGTCGTCCCTGAAGGCCGGCCCCACGGCACCAAATCAGTCGCTGAAGGTGTCAGCAGTCCTAGTAGTGTATATAGGATGATGAGAATGAGAATGAGAATGAGAAGACAAAATCTGAATCAAAGAGTCATTTTATGCATGAAGAGCATACAGTCCTACTCGAGATACCGTGACTAGTAGTAAGTAGTGCTGCCCTCCCATCGTTCTCATCACAGTCCTCCCTCATTCAGGACAAGAGCAAAGCCGTTCCTGCTCACGCTCTCTTGCCACCATACCCGCCCGATCCATTCATAACCTGTGCAGCACCCGAGGGAGGCATCGATCCAAATGTGGGATATCCACCACCACTGCTACTGCCGCCAGATCCCCCAGGCTGTCTCGTCGCCGCGGCCGGATACGCATACGGCTGACGTGGAGTGTGGGTGACGAACTTAGCGCCGTCGAACCCGTCAGAGGATGATGAGGGTGGTGGCGGCTTTGCCGGTAACGAAGCAGGAGCACCCCACTTTGCAAGGAGACTCTTGTTCTGTGCCGTCTGTGGGCTCGGTCCGGCGGATGGGGGCTGCTGCTGCTGCCAATCGTTCTGCCGCTGCGGTGTGGTGCCTGGTTTCGGCGGGAGAGGTACGCTCGGAGAAGGCTGTCGAGGGAAGACAGGGCCTTGAGGGAGTGGATGTGTCATCGGTTGGCTCGGTGCTCGATTGCTCATCGCGTGCGGCGGAGTGTGGTGCGGTGAGCCAAAGACAGAGCCATGCGATTGTGATGAGCCCTGCCGCTGAAGCTGAGCAGGAGGGGCGAATGCGGACCCGTAATTGCCAACAGGCGCTGCTTGAGGTGTGAACGGCCGGCTACTTGCTTGACCTGGTATGAAGGTCTGGCTCTGCGGGTTGAAGTGCTTACCCTTGTAGCTGCCGGGCAGTGGATGCTCGTTGTTGGTGGGCGGACGTCCGGGAAATGCTTGGCTGGGTAACTGACCGTACGCATAAGGCTGCTCGTGCTGCGGCGGGGAAGCGGCAGTCGACGGATAGACTTGACCGTAGCCATAACCTCCGTGTGCCATCTGCGCTGGCATCTGATGCTGTTGTTGCGGCCAGCTCTGCTGTGCTCCGTAGTATTGTTGCCCGTAATTGCTGCTCCAGCCGACGTTCGAATTCTGCGAAGGCATTTGATTCTGGAAAGACATGCGCTGAAAGTCTGCAGACATATCGTAGGCGCCAGACTGCCCTTGTGCCCAGGCTTGGGTCGGATCCATGGGCTGATAAGATTGACTCCACGGTGCGTGTGCGGAAGTCGGCGTCGTCATATGGGACATGCTGCCGGGATGGTTCTGCTGGCCATAAACGGAGGCGAGCTGGCCACTTGCGCTACTGCTGTAATCTGGATAGCCATAACCTGAGGATGGCTGTTGATCAGAAGCATACGAAGACGTGAAGTAATTGCTGTAAGCCGAACGAGCCTCGAAACCGTCATCGCTGTCGGCGCGCTGCTTCTTCATGTTCTTCTTACCGGTTGCTGAACTTGACCTCGAGTCTTGCTTTTCTTTCGGTCCCTCGGGCGACTCAGTGGGCTTTGCAGATCCCATAATGCGGAGACGCGCAGCCTCATATCTCGCCTCCCTCTCTTCACGGGAGACAGGCGCCTTTAGTTTCTTGTCGTCCTCTCCACTGTCACCGTTCTCGGAACCCTCCTTTGAACGGAACCCGTTCGCAAGCGCTGGTCCAGTTCGATCCACGCCACGCCGCAAGATCTTCATCTGCGGAGCAGAAGGCGGCGGTGTGCTGGCAGCAGTAGACGGCGCTGTGATCCCGGTCAAGGGCGGAGGTATTCGAGAGCTCGGAGTCTTGAACAGCTTCACGGCCGCGGATGTATCATCAACCAAGTGACCCAACATGTAATAGTCGGCCATCTTGTGTGCCAACAAACGATAGAAAGAATGGCATTGTGGGAGAGTCAGCGATACTTCCTTTGGATCCTTCACAAAGTCAATCACATCTTGCTCCAGTTTCAGCACCCAAACTCGATCCCGAGGATTCTCCAAGGCTTCGAGCAGCTTCTGGTCGGGCGGAATATCAACGCTCGGAGCGTCGACAGGCTGACTGCGTGCAATGTTGGGAACAGCACCAACTCCTGGGCCTTGAGGGGGGACGTACAGAACTCCCTTCGGTGCGTTTCCAAAGACAAGTGGTGGTCCAGGGCGTCTCTGAGGTTCCATGGCAGAGATCTCACGTAGCTGGTCACGGAATGCACGAACGCCGTCGTCAGAGCCGATGCGAGACCCGGGTAGTCCGGATCCGGGAGGTGAAAGCATGTCGTCCTCATCTCCAGCCTTGACACTGGCGCTGTCATCAGGACGAAGTGAGTCCTTCTCGTCAAGGGCGAACGTGGTCCCAGAAGCTACGCTCTTGCCATCGAGGCTTTGCGGCTTATTCGAGTCGCTCGATGATGACACTTGCGTGCCTGCATCATCCGCAGCTGGCGCAAGCAGGCCCTCCGGTGCGTTCTCCTCTGTCCGCCGAGGAACAGACTCCACGATCTGAACGCGCACTTCCGGCCCGTTTGTATCCGACTCAACCGGATCTTGATGCTCTTTCGAAGCTAGCTGTACGAGTTTCTTCTGCTGAGGCGCAAAATTCTGCTGACCATTGCTGCTGGAAGGAGTGACAACTGTGGCGCCGTCTCGCGGCGAGGAAGGTATTTCGTGTTTCTGTTTGCTGTTTGATGTGATGTTCGGATTCTGTTGCTGCGCGTTCGGCGGCTTGATTCCGGCTGCGGCGATCTTCTCGGGAGTCAGCTCGAGTGCTCGCTGTTGTGTGCGCGTAGTGCGTGAGTCCCGGCATACCTTGGCAAAAGACGGCCTGTCATTCTTCTGATCCACCGTGGACGTAGCAGGAGCGGATGCCATGATGCCGAACGGAGCGGTATGAAAAACGGCGACGGGTTGCTCAGACGCGAGAGAGCAAATCCGAGAGCCGCGATTTCCTGAGGTTGACGAGCGCGATGCCGCCAAACGGTGAGATTGAGTGTGAAGAGACAATCTACCGGTCGGTGACTCAGGAAACTGGCGGCTCAAGGAAGATAGTCAAGTGCAGGGCCAGGAATTTGGACATCCTGTTGTGCGCGCATGGAGCCGGATCGTTGCTGTGAGTGAATTTTGGTGCGCTTTTGGGGCCGCCTGAAGTTCGCTTTCGCCGAGCCGTCACCTGGGTCGGGTCAGTCGTTCGAGCTCGCCAGATGTCCTGAGCGCGATGTATCCTGGTTGAGCGCCGTCGCTGCGCACGTTGGAGTGTTCGCGGCGGAGTGTGTTTTGTGAAGCAGGTGGTGTTGAAGAACGGTCAAGACTCAAGGTTTGCGGCAAGAGCCGCTGGCGCTAGCTTGGCAGCAGGCCCGATCCCGTGACTTCACTTTTTCACCATTACGAAGACATCAACACCAACCATCACGTACCTGATCATTCTTGAAATGAAACTGGAAGGGGACCACCAGCACTATTTTGCGAGTGCTCACAAAAGCCCACAATGAATCGCTACCGAGCTGGCGGGCCCTCGAAGGCGGCGCCAACAACTCTGTGCCAGAAATGCTTGAAGCGCGGTAAGGAAGGCCTCCTCTCATGAATGGGCGGCGTACAAGGCTGGACAATCATTTGGCAAGAACTCTTGTTCTTGCAGAGTGCTCTTAAATGCGGAAAGAATCGCAGACTTGAAAATTCTGAGCGCCGCGGAGACTGCCATTCGAGTACGCTGTCCCGTTATGAGATGGCCACATGAATTAAGAGCGTCACTGACTTCTTTTCAGGTCACTACAGTTACGAGTGCACGGCATCACAGCAAGAGAGGCCGTATATCTCACGTCCATCACGGAGTCAACAACTTCTCAACCCGAAATTGGCCCCACAACTATCCGCGACAGCGCCAGATCCAAAGCCAGAGACAAAGTCTGTATCACTCCGAGATCTCCCGGCTCAACGTAAGACTGACCATCTTCTCAGGAGTTCTACAGCTCCCAATGATTCGCAGCAAACCCGCAGTGCAGTCCGAGACAACTCACCGCACTCGAAACGAAGACGGAGATCAATCTCTTACTCATCAGACTCGGACTCCGTATCGACCATTTCCACTAACCGCTCCGCTTCGCGCTCTCCTCCACCGCGTCGAAGGGGAAGAGAAGACGAGGCTGGGGAGCGGAGCGGAGATGGCGCTCGTGGCGAAGGCACGAAAAGCCGCAGACGGGAAAGGCCCGATGGTGGTGAGGAACATGGGTCTCGCAGGGATTCATCTGCAGGGCGATATCGAGTCAGAAATGCGTCTCCGCCGCGACCGCGGAGCAGTCGAATGGTTTCCAGGTCTCGGTCTCGGTCGCCGTACAGAGCAGCGGCCAATCCAGCACGAAGTTCTCGAGCTCCCATCGACGGGCGGCATGCTCGAAGCGACGTTGCCAGAGAGCGATCGCCGGTGCGAGAACGGAGTCTGAGTCCATACAGTCGCAGAATGGCAATGTCGCGAGACATGAACAAGGTAGCTTAGCCGCGCAGGCATCCCAGCCCCGCCACGCTCCCGAGCGAACTACTGTTGAAGGACAGCAAGCAAGCAAGCAAGACGGGGAGGAGGAGGAGGAGGAGCTAAGGTACCTCGGTCGCCAGAGCTGGAGCTGCATCGGGCAAGACCGCACACTACCACAGTACCACAGATGACATGCAAATGATGCGCAAAACTTTATTTCAACTGCAGATGCCACCTCTCAATCATCAGTGCTCGTGGTACATTGAATGCAATGGAGAAGGTCCACGGGATAGGTGATTCGACGTCTCACTTTTGGTCTTGGGTGGGAAACGGTTCTGCAGTCCGCGGTACCGAGCGCGCGCGATAGATTTTCCTCAGCGGCGGTCACAATCTCGCACGGCGCACAACAAGACATTTCTGGTTGTCTGTAGATAGCGGTGTCAACAAGGATGCTTTGTCGAAGGCTGGACGGCAGAGCACGGGAGGCCTCCGCAGAGAGGTGCGCCCGCGCGGCAGCAGGGTACCGTGCGCGAGAGATGCAGATGTGCCGCTGGGTTGTGACGTCTCAACGCTTCTGCTTCTGCTTCTGCTTCTGCCGTCCGCATTGCATATTTCCGTTTTCCTGTCACATACAAGCGTCGGTGATGTAGTCAGTAATAATCATCCGAGATGCAGCTCTGTGTTCACGTTCCGACCGAGTTGCAGACGGCCGGACCGCTGCGACGGGGTTTCGCGATGGCCGGAAACGGCAGTCTGGTGCCCAGGCCGAGGTAGGATTTGCTTCTCGAGTCTCGACACCGGAAGATGCCTTGCTCGTGGTGACAATAATATAATAATGCTCGTTGCGTGATGTGTAGCAGGGATGGCGTGGGTGCGGAGCGTTCGAAGGCGTTGTTTGTAAGCCGCGCTGCGACAGCAGTGTTGATCGAGAGACAAAGCGTGGAGCTTAACTGGGAAAAAGAATCAACACAGGTTATTCTTTTGAGTTGTAGCTAATACGTGAGACTACTCTTTGTATAGTAAGGCTTGCTTTCATGGAGTTTTTCTCTACTCTCTGATACCTTGCCCACTACTATGTATTAGGGCCGAGGGCACAGGCGCTACGGTACCGGGCAAGCAGCCTTGGTGGATTGCGTGGAGAATGCAGAGGAAAATGCAGAGGAAGAAGCGTTGAGAGGTCGAGTCCTGCAAGTGGCTTTCGGGTGGTCTCAGGATGCCCGGATGGTACAGTAGATTATCAGGTCGATACCTTGGCGGTTTAGCCGCCGATAATAAAAAGGGCGGCACCTTCTCCCATGCACACACACACATGCAGACAAGACAGGACGCAGCACACGAGCACCTTCCCGAAGTCTCATCGCGCGATCGGCAAGTGCGACTGGGGTGCTGTGTGCGGTCGGCACTTGCCAGCATCCCGTCTTCCTTCACAGCGACTTGGCCGCGACTTCCCTTTGCAGGTTGTTCTTACCTTTACCTTACCTTGCCCTCCACTCACTAGTCCCTCGACCTCACCCCTCCACCATCACCCGGACGATCGAGGCACCTCCCGTCATCTCTGCACCTCTCCCTCCACTCTCTTCAGGTCTCGTCCCATCCTCACTCCACCAACAATCCACAATCAGGGCTTACGAATGATCCCATCCGCATCCTGCCTGACAAAGGCCGGCCCATCCATGAGAGTTTAGCCCGGCCAGCGCCCATCCCCACCTCAATGAAATTTTACCTCCCTCGTCACGCCGCACCAGTGCACAATCATACCGCCATGTTGCGCCGCTAGAGGAATACAATACCATCGCCTGCCACCACATCCATCCATCCATACGCTATCCCCGACAAGAAGCATGAAGTACGGAGAGACGCTCCGCCAGCGCTCAATCCCCGCCTGGAGCCATCGTATGTACTTCCCACTCCCCACGCCAACTCTCCCGAATCCCCTCCTACATCAACCTCATCTTGCCATGCGCCACTCATTCCTAACCATTCGGCGTCAGATAACATCGATTACGACGACGTCAAGAACTTCATCAAGGAAAACACAACCCCCGGCCATGGAAAGACCATCTCCGTTCCCGGTCGAACCGACGACAAGCTCCTCGCCTTCGAGAAGGAGCTCTTCCACATCCTCGCCGAGCAACATTCGCGCATCGGCCTCTTCGTGAAGAGTAAAGTGTCGGAGATCCAGCACAGACTCGGTGAGTAGTCCAATCTCAACACTCTCCTCTCTACTTCACCGCCAGATCCCGCGAGACCGAATCTGACAGGCATGTGCCGAGACATCCTCGACACCTGCAACATGGGGCTCGCGCAATTGTTGAGCGAGCCGGACCCTGTTATTGCATCATCCTGGACACTCTGCGCAGTCAATAATCATCAACGTCAACCACCTTTCTGACTGTCGTGCAGATGATTCCAATAGGCGCCTACGGCAGCTCGCCGCTCGCAGGACTGACGCTGCCGATGGACGAATCCCAGTTCGCAGGTTGGAACGCTACGGCTTACTGGAAACCGGCGTGGTGAAGGTGGGTGACGAGATAAAGTCGCTCGCTCGCTTCATCGCCACTCAACGGACTGCGTTCCGGAAATTGCTGAAAAAATACCAGAAATGGACCAAGTCGGGGACCCTGGAGGCCCGCTTTCGCGACGAGGTACTGGAAGACCCCAAGAGCTTCACCAGGTTAGATCTCGGTTTCATGTTAGACGACTATTCCGCCACGCGACAAAGCATCAGGACTCTGTATGAAGACTACGTGAGGCAATCGACCGAAGCGCAACGTACGCCGGCCTCGTTGGCTCCCAAATCCGGCTCTTCCACAATACGGCAGTTACAAGATGCGGTGGACACAGCGTCCAAGGTTTCTTTCGATACCAGCATTGCGACTGTTCCTCTAGGCCCCAATGGCACCCTCGCCAGCTACTTTGTTCACAAGGAGAACGTTGTTGAATTGCAGGTCCTCCTGTTGCAGTATACGCGATATCATTCATCTCGGAGCAGGTCCAATTCTATCGCTACGCCTGTCTCGTCTGAACCCCACACAAGACCATTCAGCAGCAAGGGGACCGACTTCGCAGACTTCCATCTCCTTGCGGCCGATACCTTGTCTCGCTTTGCGCAGGAGCAGAGCGCCTTGACCGTCAACGAACGCGAGCATCTCCCTGGTAGCTGCCCACAACGCGCTAAAGCATCGGTAAGATGGAATAATGATGAGGATGCGCTGGCCTGTCTGCGCTCAAGATCCAGCGATACGAAGACGGCGTTCCTGAAACGGAAGTACGTCAACGACTTCTTCGATACGTGCGTCGAATTCACCCCCAAACAGGAAGTCAGCTTTTCCGACAGCGTAGAGAGAGTGGATGACCTGCGAAGGGAGCTGCTCAGAGATGAAGTGAAACCTCTCTTCCATTATTCGAGCTGCAGATCGCGATTGATAGGACTAGATGATGGCGCAGAGGGAATGGTGCTGGCCACTCTGGACACGGGCGTCACGATTGGGAAAGCCGACAAGGCCAGCGAGCCGAAGTCAAAGGTAGAATTTCCATTTGCTTTACTGTCGGTGCGGCAGGAAGGTTCTCCCAAGTCAGATCTCGTTTCTGTACTCGATGACAGCTACCTGGTAAGTCGGACGACTTTGAATTGTTCCAGACTCAGTACTCACAAAGCTACAGGTCGAAAGAGTCCGCGGCTTTTCCATTGAGTATCATTCAGTGTGGCAGAACCACCGGCCAGAGAACATCCCGCCTCCATATTGGCTTCCTATCCTCGATCGCGACATACGCAAACTGCCGCCCCCTGCAATGAAGCGCAAGAGCACAGCTGAAGGCAGCGGATCCGGCACACTCTCTACCGTATCGCCGGCATCGGTTGGAGACAGCACCACTGCGGCGGAGAACTACAACGATCCACCAATGGACCTCCAGCAGCCTCCACTACGCTCTTTCCGAAAGAAGAAGCGAAGACACTATCCAGAAGCACAATCAAAGTCGGCTCCACAGCAGCGGTATTGGAGTGAGTACGACCACCCCGAGGACGATGAAGGCGAGGCATTCTACATTCTCATGGATCCGAACGACAAGAATGCCGTCGATCGCTTGTTCGACCGGGTCGGTGCTCTGTTCCGCCGCAAGAACGCCGAGGAAGAAGCTCTGCTCCCGTCACCAGACTCACCGCACGATGACGAAAGCTCTTCGGACGAAGAAGCCGGCACGCATCGGATCAAGCACAGTCGAGGCTTCGGCACCTTCCCTCGCCCATCCAACGCCACCGGCGCCCAGAAGAGGAGTCTCGACCACCGCTCCTCCCTCACCCCCTTCGCCGGAACCTGCTTCGTTGCATCCCTCGCCATCCTCTTGTTAGCCTTCATCCTCCACACGACAGCTCGACACAAATACATCCGCCAAGTCCACTGGGGCATCCTCTTCGCCATCATCTGCAGTCTGGCTTTCGTCCTCGTCGGTTTCCTGTCCGTCCTTCGCGGCGGAAAGCATCGAGATCGACATCCCACCCTGCCCGGCTGGGCCATCAGCGTGACCGTCTTGCTTCTCGATGCTGTCGGAGCTGGAGGGCTCTTGGCGTCCATGTTCGGATGAAAGGGGGCAGTACAGACACGGATAGAAAGAGGAGGGATTGCATCGCATCGCACCACTTATATTGTGTTCTTGATGCCGAGGATATGCTACGGCAGGGAGTGGTGGTATTTTCTCATGCTGTCCGTTGCAATGTCGATTGGCGACTCCATCAGTCGGTTGGGAGGATAGCGAAACGTGTCCTTCATTGCAGCTCAGGAGTCTTTGGTTGGGAGGCGCCGAGCGAGTGTGATGATTTCAATGGTCTTTCCTTTCGATTCGAATGACCCATGTCTTAAGAAAGAAATAAAGAAAGGAAGAAATTATGCCTTGGTCTTGGTGGGGGAAGTGGAATGCAATGGAATGGAATGGGTACGAATTGTGGTCATGGGGCGGGCACCAAGGAGCTGGGCTGAGCTCAATGATCCATCTATCTGTAATGCTGCTGCTATGTGGGTGGATAGACCTCAATTGGTTGGTTCACTTGCAACAACAGCAACAACAATCATACATGCATGCATGACGGGGTCCAAGTCTTTTTCCCCCCCCGTTGGGCAACGTGCAAGCGACTCGAGCTTTCCCCCAATGTTCACAAACGCCTTCTGCTGAACGATTCGCGGCATCTTCTCTTGTGTCTGCCTCGCGCTCTTCTCCAAGGACAAGACCGAAGACGGCATGCGGATGAAACTCGCAAACACACAAGGCCCTTGCGCGCAATACCCTCAAAAGCTCCGCGCCGTGCAATTGGACCTCCCTTGATGAAATGCTCCCTACCCTACCCAATCCCAAACTCGTGAACAAGGCGTGACCGGAGGGGGCTTCACATGCCCGGTGGAGGTGGCACCTTGGTAGTCTTAGTGGAGGCGCAAGCGGATGATGAGGGAGTCGGTGGAACTTACTGCACTGTAGCCTTGGCTTCCGTTAGCAGCTCCTGGGGGTGGTGGAGGTGGCGGCGCGCTGTCATCCGGTGGCGGTGGTGGAGCGGCGCCGTTGCCGTAAGCCCCTGGTGTCTGTGACTGGCCGGCTGCTTGGTAGCCCTGTTGACCGTAGGCAGCGCCAGCTTGCATGTACGGGCCCATGACGGCAGCATAGCCACCATAGGCGGCGTATGGGTCGGCGGAGGGGTTGGCAGCGTAGTACTGGGCCCATGCTTCGAACTGCTTCTGCTGCTCGATGGGATCGGTGGGCGCTTGCGCTGCTGGGGCTGCTTGAGCAGCCTGAACGACGGCTGGAGATTGAGCAGCGCCATAGCCTTGAGCGGCGTAGTCGGGAGTCTGAGAGTAACCATTGTAGGCGCTGGCGTTACCAGCCCCGTACGCGCTACCTCCGCCGTACGCGCTTCCACCACCGTAAGATCCAGAATTCTGGCGATCACCATGACCGCGTCGGTCGTCGCGGGGTCCGCCGTAGCCACCGCCGTTTCCGCCACGATGCTGAGGTCCACGCTCCTTGAAGGCCTCGTAAGCCTCCTTGACGGAGTCGAGGAGGGACAGGCACATCTCTTCGGCGGTGTCAACCATCGCCTGCTCAGGTCCACTACCATCACATTAGCTCCTGCGTTTCAACAAAGAAGAGGTCTAACATACGCCACGTGCAGATACATCTGCTCGTCACTCTCTTGACCCGTCTGCTGCTCAATAAATCCGCTTCCCCGGCCCTTGATCTGGACTCGGCATCTCGTCTCTTGCTGAATGTGCTTCACGTAGCTGCCACCATGACCGACGACTTGAGCGCGCAGATTGAAGCCTGGAATCGGCTCAAGATCGATGGGAATGCGCTTATCGGGCCACTTGCGGCGACCAAACTCGTCCTTCTCGACGTGAGGTTGCTCTGGGGCTTCGCGGCGACGGAATCGGCGCTCGTCGATCAGGTTGGGGAGCTCTTGCTGCATGAGCTCTTCGATCTTCTTCACGGCCTTTTCGAGACCATCCTTAGTGGTGCTGGTCACGTGGAGGTAGAGTGGTGGGTTCTGTTGAAACTTTCAGCATCAATTCCTACTGGCCTGTGTGTCCTCCACTTACGGCTGCAGTGGCCATGCTCTTGTCGGGATAGTAATTTCCACGAGTGGTGACATCTTTAAACAAGTAAGCGATTCGTATTCGGGACCTAAAGAGTCAAAATCTTGTGGTGAACGGGTGAAAGCGTACCGGCGCCAGTTTCCTCTTTGATCTAGGGGTCACACTTGGTCAGCTTATGCAAATGGATGTCGCCGGCCGCGGCTAGACAGCGCTAAGTGTAAGTCAAACTGCTCTCTCAACATGTTTTGTAACAAACCCATTCTGTTGGTCTGAGATGGTGGATAGGTAAGGGGAAAGTAGATTGTGCTCGAATGCTATGCTAGACAGATGGCCTAGGTGTATCAGTGGGCAACGAATAACAAAGTGGATATTTACCGTCTTCTGGGTGCTACCTTTAGTCAAGGTGTAGCGGTTGCGCAGGTCATTGACCTCGATATCCTTGATGAAGTCGCCGTCCTGCTGGTAGATCTCGGCGTTGAGCGTTCCGCTGGGAGTGGGCGACTTGGCATTGCCTGAAGCTGGACCAGTGCTTGGACTCTGTACGAACCGTCAGTACCCAAGTCGACCAACAATCGCTGGTACGCAGAGGCTGTAGGGCGTGGCATTGGCAAAGTATCGTCCTTACGTTTCTGATCGGCGGCACATCGACATGCTGCGGGGCCTTCTTGCTCTGGAGGGAAGCAGCAATGCGAGCTGCCGCCTCTGCTGCTCTGGCTGCCGCATCGCCGCCCGGACTCTCCGTGCTCTTGACTGGGCTGCGACTGCGTGCAGCATCACGATCCTTTGGAGCGCCAGGCGAGCGCGAGCGTCGATCGAAGCGGGACTTGCGCGGAGCGGCCTCCTCTGGATCCTTGACGTCGAAGCGCGAGCGCTTGCGCGGTTCCTCGCTCATGTTGACGACTTTGGTATGTTGATGATGTATGGGTGTTCGTCGCACAAGCGTGGGCTGTTTTGAGGGGGGGGCGGGGGGGGGGGCGCGCGGTTGACGAGAAGCGTCAGCGATTGCTCAGAGCTGAAGGTCAAGGTGAAGATGAGGCTCGGAGTTCAGAAGAACTCGAAGTTACGAAATTGGAGCACGGACCACATCAGCCCCGTCATCTCGGCTGTCTGCCGACTGATCCATTTCACTTCATCACGCATGTCTCCAAGACAGTCCGAGATACCATCTTGTTGTCCTTCATCCGGGAAGAGAATCCATCAACAAGACCAAGTCTGCTGCGAGACCAGTCGTAGCTTCAGCCATACTTATATTGATTCGAATGCCAGCATCACAGCTCCTTTTTAAGAACCGCGACTATTCTGTATCCGCGCCATTATCTCCTGTAAAGACTGGTCTTACAAGGACTCATGGCGGCAGATCAACTCGCTTGACATACATGACACTACCACATGGACGGGAAATGCCTGTACTGAAAACAGAAGCTGATTCCGGGACCTACCTACAACGATATCGAATCCCGTGCGCAACAACAGTTATGTGTGTCTACACTTCGCCAATCAACAACGACTGCATCATCTCAGTTTGGAAGTCACGCGCGGTGAAAGGTCCACTGGCCGTGTCCAATTCGAAATGAGACAGCAGTTGACGACGTTGTCTACCATTCATACCGTCTTGGTGCTTCTGTCTACACAAGAACGCCCCCTGCCTCACATTTCCTCTTTCCTGTCAACTGCAGCAGGCCCAAGCCATCAACATCGGTGAGGAAAGCAACTAAAATGATCAAATCACGGCGGCCATCGCGCCTTATATGCTGTCCTCGCGGAGCATCGCAGCAGTTTTGCCTTTTTTGTCTCAGGTAAGAATGTCGGATGGATGCGCATCGAATGAATATTGCCCCGTCTGCGACACATCGGAGCTCGATATATAAATCTCAGGAGAGCTTGCAGCCCCAGATTGATTGCGAAAGACCCTTGTTCAGGGACGTTCAAACTGCGATGTCGTCCAAGTCTTCTTCGAGACCGATCCCGACTGCAAGAAATACGATCCAACACTGTGCAACTCGATGACTGGGATTGTCCATTCAATCATGACGGGGACAAGATATAGCGACAGACCAGAAAGGACCATGGTTCAGAATTCCCGAGGTCGTCCTACAAGTCTTGATTCTAGATGGCCAGGCCACGAGACACGTTCAAAGATATAGCGTTTGATTAAATGTAAACAGGGTTCCGTTATGTGTCAATGGTAGAACTACTTAATCGTCTACGTGCAGATTACACGGCACGACATGGCTCTTCACCATCTATATTCCCCGCAGTCTGCTTAAAGGAATCTGACTTTGAGCCTGCAGTCTCAGTCCCGGATGCTGTCTATGTTGATCTGCAAGCATAAACACAGTGTAAAGATCGCTGCCTTGTATCTGGAAGGATCTAACTTACCTGTGGGTCCTTGATCTCGGCGTATAGGCTTTCCAGGACATCAACGTAGGCATCCTCTCCTTTAACTCTGGGACATTGCCAGTTTTGTGTATCGGCGGTGAAGTTGGGCAAGACATGCTATCTCGCGAGGCGTGCAAGGTTCGGCGTTATCATTCTAAGAGAGAAGAGGCTCGGCTCCCCGGATCGACCATGGCTCGGAAAAACCTTGGGCCGAGTCACTGGAGCTTCCCAAATCACGGCAGCCCTTGTTCAGACTCACCACGTCGCATTGTCTCTCGCCACACCATCCCAAGCACATCCCCACGACTGGCACCGCTGATACTGCACGATCAGTCTCCGCAGCAGCGCTTTCGCGGCTGATTCTTTCCGGATCTCCTCCACAATGGCTTCCAAACGCGCCCTCCGCGCTCTGCAGTCACAGATCCAATGCCTCAGTCAAATGCAGTCTCGTCAGCAATCCTCCTCCACCTCTGCAATGGCCTATAAGGCTCTGCATCGCCGTATCAATCCGCTGCCAAATACACCAGCACATAGCGCCATCTCGCCGGCAGCAGCTGTATCGAGCATCCTCTACGAAACGCCAATCCCTTCCTCAAACCCGAAAACCGCCCACGTCCTCAACTGCCTCGTGCAAAACGAGCCCGGAGTGCTCTCCCGCGTATCAGGAATCTTAGCAGCGAGAGGCTTCAACATCGACTCACTGGTCGTGTGCAGCACAGAGGTCGCAGACCTGTCCCGGATGACAATCGTCCTACAAGGGCAAGACGGAGTGGTGGAGCAAGCAAGAAGACAACTGGAAGACCTCGTGCCAGTATGGGCTGTATTGGACTATACCGCCGCACCTCTCGTACAGCGCGAACTACTGCTCGCCAAAATCTCAATCCTCGGACCCGAATACTTCGACGAACTCCTCGCCCACCACCGCGAAATGACGGGTGATTCGGATCCAGCAATCATTCCCGAGGACACGGAAGAGGGAGCTAACGTGGATTCTACAATGCACGAAATCGATTTCCACCCAAAGAACCTCGCACCCTCGGAAGCTTTGCGATTGAAGCATCAGCATTTGGAAACAATCACGTACCTGACACATCAATTCGGAGGCAAAATGCTAGACATTTCGACGAACAACTGCATTGTGGAACTGTCTGCGAAGCCGAGCAGGATCGATTCGTTCATGAAACTGATCACACCTTTCGGTATTTTGGAGAGTGCGAGAACAGGTAAGTAAGAAATGCCACGTCCTGGTGCTATATCTTTTTGGCATTGCAAGGGCATCCCCGCGGAACACGCAGCTGCCATGCTACTGGCCGGCTCCCTGTGAGCTCTGTACTCGTTAGCACGCTCGGCATGAAGGGGACCCTCCAGAAGGAAACATGCTGCACTTGGTTCAAGAAGCTAACTCTACGCCCAGGTTTGATGGCCCTCCCACGCTCGCCCCTCAACGGCGGAGAAGTAGAACAGACAAAGGAAGTCGAGGAGATCATGGATGCGGCTTCCCTGCCCCCTTCATAGTCGAGCAACGGCACGGAAGTCTACTGCTTTTTTTGTGTATAGCATATGGCGCGGCGTCTCTCAGGCAATTGGGTCGAAAAGGTACTTTACCAGCTCTCACGGGCTCTGAACTTGACATAGAGCGTGGTTTCTCTCCAAATGCAACGGAAATCCCATTTTTTTAGATGCCTACATTACAAACGAGAGCATGAGTCAGGAGGGCAGCAAGGATTTGACTCCCGCTGAACAGAGGCCGTCTCCTCGCGTGGAAACCCGGCTTGCCGGCACCGAAGTATCTGATATCAGACACTCAGGGCGGTGATCCCTCTGACTCGCAAATTTCATTCCTCCATCGCCCACAGGAGTCTCGCAGCACTCCTCCTTCACGCAGCCTTGATCTCTCCCTTCCTCACAACAAAACTCTCAATCGCACTGACAGCAGCCCAGAGCCTATTCTCTGCTTCCTGGAACACCAAGCTGGCCGGGCTATAAAACACCTCATCACTCACCTCTTCCGGATGGCGTGGCAAGCAATGCATGAATTTCCAACCTTCCTTCGCTCCTCCCCTGTGAGCAAGCTCCTTGGTAACTTGGAAACCCTCAAAGGCCTTCATCTTCTGTTTGGCTTCCGCTTCCTGACCCATGGAGACCCACGTGTCTGTTACGATGATGTCGGCGTTTTTGACGGCCTCTTCGGGGACGGAGGTCTCGCTGAGGAAAGGTTTGGTGGAGGAAGAGGTGATGATCTCCTTCATGAAGGGAGGGATGGAGTAGCCTTTAGGTGTAGCGACGGAGACTTCTACACCGAGTTTCCCTGCTCCAAGCGCCAGGTCGTAGAGCACGTTGTTGGCGTCTCCTACCCAGGCAATCTTCATTCCCTCCAAGCCTAAGCTGGAAGGGTTGCTGGCAGTCTGTGTAGAAGGGAAAGCTTCGAGGATGGTTTGGAAGTCCGCAATGGTCTGCAGAGGATGATAGAGATCTGACAACGCATTGATGACGGGCACGCTGCTGTGCTTTGCGAGATTGGCGACGTCGTCGTGGGCGTTTACACGCGCTACCATGGCGGAGACCATGCTGCTTATGACCACGCTGGTGTCGTAGAGAGATTCGTTGACTCCCAGTTGGATGTCCTGCGAGCCCAAGAACATTGGGTGGCCGCCCATCATTGCTATTGCGCCTTCTGTGCTGACTCGGGTCCGAGTGGAGCGCTTCGTGAACATTATCGCAATTGTTTGGGCGAGCAAGGCATCTTTGAGATGGGCTGGAATGGTCCCTGACTTGGCGGAGGTCTTGTACTTGGAGGCATTGCGGACGAGGGCGCTGAGTTCTTGGGGCGTGAGATCATTGATCGAGAGAAAATGCCGTGGGGAGAAAGGTGAGGTTGGCGGTTGCGAGGCAGTCGAAGGTGAAACGCTGTAGAATCGTTGTGACTGCTTGAGAGCTCGGAAGCAGTTGGTGAAGGAGCGGGGAAGGCGTGTGGATGCCATTGTCGAGTATCTGCGGGCCGGACTTATGGATTGTAGCAACAGGAAGCCCTTCGGTGGTTGTGTCTGGTCCAATGGCAATGGGGAATTTTCCAGCGAGAAAATGTTTCTTTGCCTTGCAGCAGCTCCACAGCGGAGACGTCGCGTGCCTGCAGTGGCAAGCGAGCTCCACACGTTCACCCGCCCGACGCTAGAGTGAAAGCGGTTGTGGGGTGCCGCAGCAGACGGGAGGCGACGCCTGGACGCATCATTCACACATCCACAATCCGTACCTCTTCCCGTGTTGTACTTCTACTTCCACTCCACCACCTGACAGAGCAGCACTTTCCTTTTCTTTGTGTCACACCGCCAGACGACGGCCCCGATTCGAATGTATCACGATAAGCGAACATAGCGCAGGCGAACCGCATCCACCACCTACTATGGCCGCCAGCAGCGGCGAGCCAAGCCGGGCCAGGCAGCAGGAAGAGGATGGACGGGAAAGAGATGTTGAGGATGAGCAGTCGACGGAGGATACACCGCTTCTTGGTGGCACTGAAGAAGTTGTAGAACGGAACGATCGGAGTCGGCCTCAGAGACAGACATCTGCTCTGTCGGTGTTCAGAAGACTGCGCGGATCTGCTGCTAAGAGTGGCCGGAGGAGATGGCCGAGTCTGCTGGCATTGCTGCTGCTATGTGTCCTTGCGGTGCTCATAATCGTTTTCGCATTCATTGCGCCCAGCGCGGTGGAGCAGTATGCGCAACAAGCGATCACGTTCGAGCCGACGAGCTTATCGATAGACTCCTTCCTGGATTCGGGAGTACGAGCAAGGATACAGGGTGACTTCACAATGGATGCGAGCAGAGTGGAGAAGAAGTCTGTGCGGGATATGGGAAGGTTTTGCACATATATCGCGCAATGGGCAGAGACAGGACCAAGCGAGTTGGAAGTGATCTTACCAGAGTATGGGAATGTGTTGCTGGGGACGGCTAAGGTACCTGGCATCAAGCTTTACATCCGCAATGGACACACAACTCGCGTCGACTTCTTGGCCAACCTAGAGCCTGGCGATATTGATGGGATTAGGAGGATCGCCAACGACTGGATCGATGGCCGTCTAGGTCAACTGCGGGTCCTGGGCAAGGCGCAAGTCCCGCTCAAGAGCGGTCTCATCAGTCTAGGCAGGCAGTCAATCCAGCAAGAAATGGCATTTGCGGATAACGACCTGCCGTCAATGCCAGGATACGAGATCAAGAAGTTGCTGTTCCGGGAAGTAGTGGATGTCGATAATGGAAAAGCAATGGCCGCGGATGTGTCCCTCAAGGTTGAGAATGATTTTCCTGTCGACTTTGAGGTCCCACCACTTCGCTTTGGCATCCTGGTTGACAATTGCGAAACGAGCGATGATTTGATTATGCTTGGAGATGCTCTGACAGACGGTATCCACATCCAACCAAAGACCGACGTCGAGCTCAATGTAACTGGGACTGTCCGCCGCCTCCCTTCTGTGCTCACTCAAGACTGTCCGGGTACCACCAAGTCGCCATTGGACAATCTCTTAGGCAGATACATCCGTGGCAAAAAGAACACGGTCTACGTGCAGGGATCCGACTCTCCCGCGCCAGAAACTCCAGCTTGGGTGACGGACATCATTTCAGAGATTACTGTACCAGTGCCGGTGCAAGGCCGCACATTTGGTCATCTGATCAAGAACTTCTCTTTGGCCGACACACACTTCAGTCTGCCAAATCCATGGGCTGAGCCCGGCACGCCAGAGGCCGACCCTCGCCTTAGCGCCAAAGTGAAAGCCCTCGTTGCTTTGCCAGAGGAGATGAACTTCAACATCTCCGTAGGTCGTGTCCGTGCTGATGCAAATGTCTTTTACAAGGGCAAGAAACTCGGCCGTCTGGATCTCACCAAGTGGCAAGATGCCAACAGCAGTCGCATCGACGCTACTCCAAAGGAAGGCCCAGCCCTCATGGTTCAGAGCCAGGTAGAGGATGCTCCACTCGAGATCCAGGACGAAGACGTTTTCACGGACGTCATTCAAGCTTTACTGTTCGGGAAGGAGACAGTAATCATGAAAGTCGAAGCCGAAGTTGACGTGGGTGTGGAGACTGCACTAGGCGAGTTCGCCATAAGAAAGATTCCCGCAGACGGCCAGGTGCCGATCAAACGTAGGTCATCATCCCTACTAGCCAACGCTCAGACTGTTTATGACTTGCTCGTTGGATGAGTCTATTCTTGTGTTTAGAAGAGTAGATAGGCTAAGATGACGAACTTCTAGCTTTCTCACCACCTTCGCCATCTGATCCTCGCAAACCTGGAAAGCCTGGACTACCGCCTTCGATGGGAAATATTACTGATCGTGTGAACCCGAAACTGGTGGATTTAAGGATTGTCAATACTTCTGAGACTTCTTGGACGATTGGAGCCACCATCAATGCAACCAACCCTACCAACTACTCCGCTTCAATACCGTATATCGACGTCCATCTCTTGAAAAACGGCTCCCTCCTCGGTCATGCGACCGCCCGCAACCTCTCAATTACTACGGGTCGAAACGGTAATTTACAGGTCGTTGCACACTACGAACCCTCAACGCTCGGCGGACCCAAAGCCCGCGCCATCGGAAGAGAAATGATATCTCAGTATATTTCTGGATGGAACACGACGATCACGGTTCAAATGCACGAACAATCATTCCCCTCTACGCCCGTTCTCGGAAGAGCATTATCGCGGTTCCCGATTGAAGTCGCAACCCCAAGAATTGGCGGCGGTGGAGATGGAGATGATGAGGATGATGGTAACACCCATTTCATCCGGGACTCGACGATGCATCTCCTCTCTTCGTCCGCTACGTTTCTCCTCCTCTCCCCCTTGAAGCACAGCACACTCTACATCGAAGGTCTGCACGCGGTGGCGATGTATAAAGGCGATGAAGTCGGCGTCATCCAATATGATGAGCCTTTCGGTGTTCCACCAGTGAGCGAGACGCCGGACCAGGAGGGCTATTTGACGGATCCCCTGCCTGTGGACTGGAGTTTCGGGTCTATTGGGTATGACGCAGTTAGGAGGGCACTCGGAGGGACGTTGAGACTTGCTGCAAAGGCGGATGTGAATGTGAGGCTGGGGAGGTGGAAGGAATCGTTGTGGTATCAAGGGGAGGGTTTGGGAGTCAGTATCAGGTTGTGAGGTGACGAGAGAGCAGCGGGTTGGCGGCCAAGATCAAAGAAGGTCATCGCGGCGTTCAAGGGGGAGACGGAGGATGTACAGAACGATCGCACGTGGCGGCAAATCACTGTATCATTCGATCCGAGGAGAGGGAAATTTTTCGAAGCGGGAAGTATGCTATGCCATACAAAGGACAGCAACAGCGGGAACGGACTGCACGGCTTGATGCGAGATGCAAGGAGAGGATATAGAAAGAAGGGAAACATTGTTATTTTTCGACTCATGGCTGACGCTCTGCAGTTCTGAAAGGACCATCATCACCAATGCTAATTCCTTGAGGGCTTCGGGAGTCGACTTGGTCTCCTTCCATCTCTGCGTCCACATTCAGACCTCAACACGCTTCCAGGCGAAGTAGACGACCGACTTTGCTAATCGGAGGCTGAACAGACCGAGGGCTTTGGATCAAAGAAATGCCACACTCGTTACAATACATGTTTTGGAAGCGGATCTCATAGATTTCCACGCGAAGCTCGATGGGCAGGTGCTCCACAGTAGCTTTGAGGCCGGCCGCTTCCATCGCGGAGCTTTTCTCCGCAAACGGGATACAGTGTCCTCAGAGCGGTTCCATCTGTGTTAAGAGAGGTTGGCTTATTCTTCGACAGGGACAGAGCGCAGGACGACTACCGGGGCTTAGGATACCGAGGCGTAGAGAGGCCAAACACAATCATCAGAGGTGAAGCGAGGTAAGAGAAGCTCCAGGAAGCTTAGCCATTTTTCATATGTTAATCGGGGGGCAGGGATGCACCCGACGTTATCGATACCCTACTAGCGTAGAGCTTCAGAGCCGCGCATTCGCTTCCCTTGTTCTTTCCCTCTCCATCACTACAATCACAAACACCAACAACAGCAGCCTTACGCCCAATCACGCCAACAACGCTTCCTCGACGCGATCAACACCATGGTTCAATTCCTCAAAGCTCACCCAAAGGCAACATCCGCAGAAAACTACTGGATGCCAGAAGAGATTCATGACAGGGGCCGGACCTCTATAGGAAACTTCGTCCAATGTTCTGCCCTCCACAATCATGGTCTCCGCTTCCCTCATCACGCGCCGCCAGCACGCCTCGAGAAGATGTTCGAGCGAGGACAGCGCGGTCTTCTCATTTACGACAACTGCGACACATGGGAGCTGCGTGGCTTTTGCGTTACCAGATTGCTGGTCGTAGCCCGCCTAGCCCATCGCAACAGAGAAGAACTCATCGCATTTCTTGAGAATGAAGACGAGAAAGCAGAATTCCAGTACGTATGGACTTCGAAGCTTTGCCAGAGCATGGATCTAACATCGAGCAGTCTCTTCGAAGACCTGCTACCCGAGCTACGTATACAGATCTATGCGCACTACACGAAGAGTCTAGAACGTGAGCACTACGGTTCACCCAGGAATCGTATAGCCGCTGAGCCACCAATCACCAAGGTCTCGCGCCTGCTTCGCCGCGAAGCTTTGCCGGTCTTCTACAACGTCTTCGAGTTCGCCGTCGCCGTCCCGAATCTCCTGGATGATACCAAAGATGCAGCAGCTCTCTTCTTCGAGAGAGCACCAGTCAGTGTGATGGAGAGAATAGGAAAGTTGCGTGTGCATGGATTCGTTGTCCGTCCCGGCCATGACTACAAAGTCTACCCATTCAAGTTCAAGCTGGGTGACGGCCAGGATGCATTGCGCGTCAAACAAATTGACGCCAAATATGTCGAGGAGTGGCCCAGCCACGTGCAGGAGAAGATGCAAGTCAGGGTTCAAGACTTGGATATTCAAGGCAAGGAGGACAATCTTCGACTCCAGCGAGGCGACTTAGACAAGCTGTTGGCCATTTCCAGGAACATCTAGAGGGATCTGGACACGAGTTACAAGCACCGGCTCCCAGTCTCTACGCTTGCGAGAATAATGACTTCACCTCATGATTCGGAAGCTCGAAAGTCGCACGTCAAACACTACAGAACGTTCAATGCAGACAAGCAGCGAGAGTATTAACTTCCCAAGTAGCCCTAGACCATCTTGAGAATCGAAATACATAAGTCGACGACATATCTCAAGCCTTAGCTTCTATATGTCCTTTGACATGCGTTCCAACTCGTCATGATGTGCCTCGTTTCCTCCAGACCTTTCACCTACCGAAGCTTTCTCCTGCGGAGCCACAAGTCCAGAGGCGCCGCACTATCAAAGACCCCCCAAACCACCGAGCAATCGACCAACCGCCCAGATCTCCCCCAGTCTCCTGGAAACCGATGCGCCGCCGCAGCTACCAAAATCCAAACACAAAAACTTTCTGAACGAGGAATAATGTCTTCTACAGAGTACGAACGAACGACCGATGTAGGTAAGGTAGCCCACCACCCTATCTGCGCACGGACGTCACATTCACAGTACAGTGTAATAGCCGAAGATTTTCCGATTTCAACGCTGTTTTTGGAAATAATGTCTAACCGTATTTTCTGTCTGCGTTTTCCTGGTAGATTTGGATTCTAGGTACGCGTCTCGAGGCTGCGTCAATATGGGATGGCAGGATTTTGGCTTCCTATATTAGCCTGATTTGTCGAGATTTGACTCGGTCCAGCGTCCTGTGACCTGTAGTAGCGCCAGGAAAAACGTGTCCAGATCTTTGAAACAGTTTGAATGGCCAGTCTGTCAAACCAGTAGTATTTAAAGAAGGGGCAATCTGGCATCGGTCTTCCAAAAAGAAACGATACATGAAAGTATCTTTGTGTTGCGAGCTCCTATAAGAATCCGAAAAGAAGGATACCGGCCAGTGTCGGAGAAAGAGGGGACAAGACAGCGCTAGCGGCCTTGATCGAAGGAAATCGAAGAGGGTGCATGATGCAAACGATATTGGATGTTCTTGAATTGGCCTCGTCGGAGATGGGGATGCGGGTTTATGAGGAGTATGCGAGGTGGCTACTGGGCGATTTGGTAGATGGCGCTGACGAGGCGGGGTCTCAATTGATGCGGAAGGAGAGATTGCTGCTGTCTTGGAAGTCGAAGCAGTACAATCAGCTACTGCGAGATATTTTCGGCATGCCAGTAATCTAGGAGATACGGGGCCAGGGACTAGGTTGGTGAGACAAGCTGGAATGCAAGAAAGGGTCTTCTCAGTGAGTACTGGCATCTATTTGCTGCTGTCAGGGTAGAAATTCTGTGCTACGCTGAATAGTCTTCGAGGACCTTGGTATCGACGTCTTCAATCCGCCTGTATTTTCAATCAGCTGGGGAGAAAAAGAGGTAGAAGATACTAGCACTTACCACATGTACCACATGAACAGCGACCTGTATACTCGTCAGCAATGGCACACGATAGTTTGGGCGCAGTCTTTACCTGTACGGGGCAAACTTCGCACTGATCTCGAGCATCTCCTTCTCACTCATGTACTTCCATTTCCCACCTTTCGCCTTCAACTTGCCTGTATCTCTGCCCACATACGCAGCCATGCCCCTCTGCACGCCCAAGTCGCCTGTTGAGAACATGTCCATACGCTTGAGCCCAAAGCACATGAACATCTCTACACTCCACGCTCCCAATCCCCGGACAGCGAGCAGCTTGTCGAAAACCTCCTTATCAGACCCTTCCATCAGCATCTTCGCATTCAGCTCGCCGGAGTCGAACTTCTGAGCCAGGCCTTGGATGTACTCCGCTTTCCGCTGGCTTAAGCCGGCAGATCGCAGGGTTGTGATATCAGTCTTGGCTACGATTGAAGGCAGTGGGAACCCGTTCGGACAAGACTCCGCTGCGAACAGAGCGATGAATTTGTTTTTGATCGAGTTGGCTGCCGCGCCTGAGACTTGCTGGGCAATGATCCCGCTCGCCAGGGACCGGAAAGGATCGATGGTCTCTGCGAGACCCTCTGGAGCGAAAATGCGACAGTGGTGCTTATCGACGACGGACTTCAGATTCGGGTCGACCTTGATTAAATGGGCACAGGCGTCGGCGAGAAGACTCTTGGTGGTGCTAGCCTGGACGCCGGCTTTCGAAGGCGATTCCTCAAAGTTGCTGTATGTCGGTTCCACCTGCGTGCCCCTCGGTGTGACCAACGTAGCATTTGTATGTCGCGGTTCAGCTCGTCTCGCTGCCGGAGGAGGGCTCGCATCATCAATATCGCCCGTGCTGTAGTTATGTGCTGGGGAAGTGCGGGTCATGAATCCAATAGCGGAGGGCGTTGGAGTGAACGGCGGCGGCTTCGTTTCCTCGGTTTTGGCAACCCTCCGTCTTTTGTTCGGCGTGCTTGGAGGTGGCATCTCCCGGGAGTCCAGTTCCGCATCGTTCATGTCTCCATCTTGCGCTATGGCGGTTGCAGCGACGTCTTCAGATAGGTTTGACTTCCTGCCTCGCTTCTTTGATGGTGGAGCAATCTGCTCTGCAATCTTGCCATTTGGTACATCTTTCTCCGGTGTTGGCTGCGCCTGGACACGAGCGGAGCGTCTCAGAGACATTGCGATGGATCTGAACCGTGTTTGCGACGGATACTTGAAGCCCTCCCTTGCGAAGCGAGAGGGCACGTCGAACCAACGGCGCAGGAGAGCCAGTTTCTTATACCACCGGTGATGATGGGTTGTGATGTGAATCTAGGACCAACTTGGAGAGGAAGATGGAGAGAAGTTTGGGTTCAGCCGAGTCATTGCGATGTTCGGTCACAGGTCTGTGGTCAGCTTGTAAGGTGTGACGTTCCCGCGCAGCCTGCTTGGCAGGGTGCAGCGAAGACGATGCGCGGTCACGTGTCAAAATGGATGATGCAGGACTCATTGGACTGCATTGACTTGATGACCTTCGATCATGGCATTGAGGAGCGGCAGCTGGATGACAGGAAGCGAGACAGCATTCAAGTACGCACCGGTGCGAATGGAGTCGAGGAAATCTCGCATTGACATGGTACATTCAGTGCCTTCTTGATCTATGCCAGTCACACGCGGCCGCGGACTCCCCGTTGTTCGAATATATGTACAGCCCGTGTCTCGTCAACCTCTCCGCCGACTTGTTATTGATCAAGTTCCTTTCGCTGCGTGCTTCCGGATCTGGATTGTGTCGAGATCTTCCCGCTCCTTCTTCGAGGTCTCGATCTCTTTTATGATTGGTGACAGGTATGGGTAGTCCTGGACCAAGAATCAGCCAACACGATGAATTGGGGATCACGTCGCGACATGGATCCTAGAGTCCTTCACATTTGTTTTCGGACATGTAAAACGTACCTGTTCGTCGGTGGTCCACTCGTGTCTTGGGAGCAGTTGATGTGCGAGTGAGCACTATCTTGCATCAGCATCCGTCCTGCTTTCATTCATCATGCAGCCTTCGAGAGATACCTGGAATGCTCGTCTCATGCGGAATACGCGGTCGTAGGCCTCCTTTGGCGACAGACGCTTCAAGGCGAGCTGGACCTCTGGGCTCTCCTCCGGGATCAGGTCATCGGCCCTGTAGAAAAGGCGCATCAGCCATTTGTTCTCACGGGCCTCCACGACTCGTATATCTTCTCGTCTGCCTCCTCGTTCTCCCACTCGGGATCGTACCTCAATCCCAGCTTTCTGTATCCCGAGTTGTCGAGGTACCACTTGGACAGCGGCTGCATCCAGCGCTTGAGCCAGGGACGCTTGTTGATGAAGGGCGCGAGCGAGGGAGTCGACATGGCGGGCGAGCGGCACCAGGTCGTGGGTGTGGGGGTGGTGATGTGGGCGTGTTTTGGTGTTGTCGGCGCCAGCAGAATGTCTCGATGTCACGCCAAGCTCCTGCAGCGAGGCTCTCGCCAAGCCTTAGTCAGGACGGCGCATGGAACGCCATTGGGCCGGCGAGCCGGGTGCACCTTCCTCGTCTCCACAAAGCTACCGAGCTCGCGGACAGACTGACGTTCGTTCTCAGCTGTTTCCCTCCTTTGTGTGTGTGTGTTTGTGCCCGGTTCAGCGCGCACGCAAGAGCAACCTCCGTCCCACACCCACTCACTCACGCCCTGCGAAACAATTGGCAGAATTCTCGCGCGTCGGCGACATCAATTGTCTATACCACGCAGCCACATGGCGACGACGGCCTGAGCCGCGGAAATCCGGCGTGCTTGGAGCGGCGGGGCCTTTTGCTGGGTGAAAGCAAAGCAAAGGCCGTACGATAACCGCCTACGCCTGCATCCTCCCATATCTCGCTCTCCTCACCGCCAACTACACCTCACTCACCGCGCCGTCCGACAGGAGTATGACATCGTTAGAATCTCCTTGCTACCGGTAGCCTCCCCGGGCCATGCAGAATACCGCAAATTCTGCCATGTCTTCCAACTCCGACGGCCCACCTACCAATCCCTCCCTCACAAATCAGACCAAATCGGCCCTACGACATCACACTCCCTTTCCAAAGCTCGCGGTATGGACAATCACGCTTTCGCCCGCGAGCGTCAACTCCTTCTCCGGCGCAATGGCTGGCATGGCTAGCGGCATCGTCACATGCCCACTCGATGTCATCAAGACGAAACTGCAGGCGCAAGGCTCCTTTTCGTTCCCCGATCTGGCCCATAAGAATCCCAAAGCTACCACGATATACCATGGCCTGATGGGCACCGCGAGGACCATCATACACCAGGATGGACTCAAGGGCATGTACCGGGGGCTGGGTCCAATGCTGATGGGATACCTGCCGACGTGGGCCGTGTACATGGCCGTGTACGACAGCAGCCGGGAATATTTCTACCAGCATGGATACGGTGAGAAGGATCGCGACAAGTGGTTTGCTCGGGTGTACGCAGCGCTCGCTGCTGGCGCGTGCAGCACTGTCACTACAAATCCCATTTGGGTGATCAAGACCCGCCTGATGTCTCAAGTCTCCCGGACGGCCTCGGACGGAGCCCGGACCCCTTGGCAATACAGCAACACGTTCGATGCTTTTCGTAAGATGTACCGAGCCGAAGGACTCGCCGCATTCTATTCTGGACTCGCACCAGCCCTTCTTGGACTCACCCACGTTGCCATCCAATTTCCGCTATACGAATACTTCAAGCAGCAGTTCACCGGCCTCGAGATGGGAGAGACGCCCACAGAGAACGGCAAGGCAGCGACCAATACCGTTGGCATTCTCGCGGCAACCTTCCTGTCCAAGATCTGTGCCACGTCCGCGACATACCCGCACGAAGTGCTTCGAACACGTCTTCAGACCCAGCAGCGGGTTCACGTGGAGGACACCCACAATGGTGTAGGGGTAGGCCACCATAGTCAGAGCATATCCAGTTCTAAGCGTATCGGAAACACTGACGGTGTGCCTTATCAGCCGCGATATCGAGGCGTTCTGCACACATGTCGAATCATCCTGCGAGAAGAAGGGTGGAGAGCATTCTACAACGGCATGGGCACCAACATGATCCGTGCAATCCCGGCGGCGATGACGACGATGCTGACATTCGAAAGCATAAAGGGAGCAATCGGCAGGCTGCAGGAGGAAGGGAAGGAATTATTGAAAGAAAATGGCTGAGAGGGAGCTGGAGCCCACAAGACCATCAGAGCGTTTGGCGGGAAAGGGTTGTCCATATGGGTTGGCGTTGTGAAGGACCGTTTTGCGGCCTGCGGGCACGCGTGCTATTTTATATTCATGAGCGGCAGATACACCATGACCTGCGACGAGGAGCATTCTACGGAGGCATTGTGGGGACTTTGAAAATTGCGAAGCATGGCGTTGGGCGCAGCAGGACTGCCGCTGAGAGGCGGAATATGGGAGGACAAGGGGGAATGCCTGTGAGAGTTGAAGATTCAAGTGTACGTACAGACCCTCGAGCGAACAGAGACAGACTCACATGATTTCCAATGTTCTGTGAAGCTCACATGCCGCTGTTGGCCCGCGTGGTCTGAGCTTCCTCCGCCTTCAAAACCAAGATCTCTGCGCCTTTCCAACACAACATCTTCTTCAACCACACCACCTCTCCCCACAACACAGTCTTCCACCAACACGAACCTTCGCCAGAGTCTTCCACCAACACATCCTTCAACAAAGCCTTCCACCAACACGAAGCTTCACCGGCACGAGTCTTTCGTCCACGACAAGGACACGACATTCCGACCAAGCCCTCTAGCTCGCGCGGCCAGAGTTTCCTCCGCCTTCAAGGCAAGATCTTTGCGCCTTTCCCACACAACATCTTCTTCCACCCAAACACCTCTTCCCACCACGCACGAGAGAGCCTTCCGCCCACGCAAATCTTTGCCGAAGACAACGACGCAGCATTTCGAACCAATCCTGTGGCTCGCGCGCCCAGAGCTCGCTCCGCCATCCAAAGAAGACCTCGAGCGCATCTTGATATTATCTTCTGCTACCACGGCAGTTCTCACACCGACGCATAGCAAAGCCTTTCACCAGTGCGCATCTTTGGCCGAAGACAAGCACTTCCAGACCCCTTCAGCCCATCATCATGGACAGCAACTTTGGGTTGCCAAATTCTGTCCAATCGACTTGGCGCAACTACGACAGACCCAACGAGTACTGGAAGTTCCATCTGCCCAGTTTCATCCACCTTAGCATGAAGCAGATGAAGCAGATGATGGACGATCTTGGCGTCTCCTACCCAAAGAGCGGCAATAAGGAGCAAATCACCAGAGCCCTGTTCCGCGCACAACTCGGGCTCACACAGTACCACAACTGCTCCAACACACAGCTCCGGAAGTTCATCCACGACAGAAAGATCGACGCATCCGGTGTGATTGGGGGCAAGTTCATTGGCAATCATAGGGAGCTAGTGTCGCTACTCGAGCGTGCCGACGAACATCCACAGTTCCACAAATTCATGGACCTGCCGGCCGAACTTAGGAATCGGGTCTACGAGTACCACTTCTCCGACATGCGCACTGCATACGCCCCGGCTCAGCCGCCGATTAGTCGAGCTTCTAGGGTCCTGCGCCAGGAGTCTCTCTCGATGTTCTATAGCATCTGCATCTTCAACATCTCCTTCAATGTATCTAGAATTCGTTCTAGGCACGGCGATTCCTTTGGTGCTCCGCTATGGATTCCGGACAAGCATGCACTCTGGCTTGGTGCTACGCCCGAGAAGCATCTATCACAAATTATGCATCTGGAGATTCGGGTTATTTGGGGGATGAATACACTTCACACGTTTTCCTTTGATATTACCAAAGGGGCCGTTAAGTCTATAACGGTAGACCACAACTTCGCCGACGCTAGCGCCAACGCAAAGCTCCGGTCCCTTTTCGACCTACTTCTAACCTCGATCTCTACTCGGAAGGAAGACGGCGAGCCTAAGCTTTCTAGGGACGATATCTATGCGTTTAGGAGAGCGATTGAGAAGGGGCTCGGCTAGGGCCTAGGATGCTTATATCTTCTAAGCGAAGCGGTCGGACTTTTATAGTATTCGGCTAGCTCTCGAAGCTACTGTCCTCGGGCGATATATACGACACGAAATTCACTTGTTTTCTACGACCAGAAACAGCAGGCATGCTGTTGCTAGCAGATTGTTTTATGATTCTTTCCTTCATACTTAGCATTGGCATGCAGTTATCGGACAGGACTTTGTGGAAGAATGTTCTAACTAGGGTTGAGTAAGTAGCAGGTAGAAAAAATGGAACGACGTGTTTCCAATATCTGAAGTCCTATGCAGGACGCGATAACATCTTCTTCGCGGGATGCCGACCTCTAGATTGACTTATGCGGCTTCTCAGATCTTTAGGAATTGCGGCATAGTCTGCGGCACCTTCCAACTGCAAAGATGGAAGCCTCGACCGACGCTTTACCCTTCTTCCTTCTTCAGTTAACAACTCTGCTCGCGCGGTATCAAACACTATCAACACCAACACCATCCCTAGTGCGCAACAAGATGCAGTTCAACAGACTCGACACGTACTGGGGCATATTGGACCCTGCCGAAATCAACGTCAAAGTTCTCTGGAGTCAAATTCTGGCAGGAGGATATCACATTTATTGGGCAGTTTCACGGGAAACAATCGTCCATCTCAAGCAAAAAGTCGATCAGGGACTTCTCGTGTACGAGAAATGCCCTCTCACCCTTCTTCGTCAATTTGCCGCCGACAGGCTACTCGTACCCCCTACCGACTGCGCGAACGGTCGTCGGCAGATGGTCAATTTTCTCACGGAAGCTGACGACGACGCCCGATTCGAGAGGCTCATGGATCTCCCCATCGAACTGCGCAACGAGATCTTCATGATGTATCTCGCCGAGTTTCATCCCGCTCACAATCACCCCAATCAGCCTCCACTGGCTCGCACGAGCAGACAAGTCCGTGCCGAGATCCTCCCCTGGCTGTATGTCAAGCGCGGTACTGCCACCATTACTTTGGACTACCACAAGGAAAACGACCTTCGGCTGCATGTACGTCCCGCCGTCCAAGGATATTTCTCCCGCATGAGCGCCGAGAGATTCGTTCATATCAGGCCCTTCGAATTCCCGGTGATGAAGAGACGGTACAGAAGGGGCTACGGGCCAACGAGCAACGAGCTGGCCGCCAAAATCATCTTAGAACGGAAGAAGCACGGCAAGTTCAGCATCGAAGTATGCTTCTGGTCACTTGATTGGAATGGGCCACGCCGCCGGAATGCCATTACCCGGGAGATTGAGAAGGCATTGGAGATCTCCGCCGATGAGTCGGGCCGCGAGCAGAAGTTGACGCAGCTCGATATTCCCGTCATTTGCGAGAGGATTGAGCAAGCGTACCAGTGAGTGGGGAATTTGTGATGTATTGGAGAAGATTTACTGATTGCTTCAGCTCGGTTCGTGCGTCACGCTGAGCTATGGCTCTGCGACCCCGGCGTACTCTCTGTACAGGGAGCCAAGGCACATCTCTACACATCGCCAGCGTTGCGGGCTGGATTCTCAGATTTGACAGCCCGTGGGGCTTCAAGCGACGGGAGGTGGTGTTCCATTGCGCGACAAGTATATTGTTGGAGTTCTCACATGACTTTAGGCAGCTATCACGGCCTCCTTATTTCGCATGGATGTTTGCCTTGACCTTCGCACGTGCAGACCGGTATTCACATGCTTGCTGACTAATATTAGCGCTAAGCGAAAGCCGCAGCTCAAGCTTCTTCCTCTCAGCGACAATCGACTTCCAACATCAAACCAGACACCTCCATCACCAAGCTCGAGTCTACTACAACAACAACCGACCATTGTCACAACATGGATTCGGGAGGACTGAACACATATTGGCGACCAAAGCCTCACCCACACTCTCCGCGCGAATTAAGATGTTTGGTGCGAGTAGCCGGGTGCGAACTCGATAGGTCAAGAATTTCCATGCAGGATCTCACTGAACTCGCATTGAGAGCCGCCAACGGCCTACTCTGCTACGACAAGTGTTCGGACCAGGAGCTGATGCAGTTTGCCTCGGCTCGGCGTGTCATACAGCGTTCCAGCAAACGCGACCGAACCTCACTCACTCGCGCTCTTCTTCACGCGGACCGAAGCCCTAGATTCCACGGGCTCGCAGACCTACCCCCGCAGCTGCGAAACAACATTTACCTCATGTACCTCGACAGTCTCCCGGAAAAGCTGATCACTCCTGCTCAACCGCCTCTCGCATTGATCAATCGACAAGTCCGCTCGGAGTTTCTCGGCCTGTTCTACAGCGAGAAGACGTTCGCGTTTCCCTTTTGAGCCCGGTATCGCAATAGTCAAGCGAGATCGACCAATCTCAAGCTGGACAGAGATACACGCGCATTCGTCAACAGTCTGAAACCCGAGTATGCCGGCGTGATGCAGAAACTCGAATTTGTGGTCTGGTTATCGAACGATAACGATGAGATCTCCATCACCAAGCAAGAAGACAAGTACATGGTCAAGGCAAAATCCTCCAACGAGCGTCTGCGCGCGACATACGTGAGCACAGTGCAGAAGTTGGTCGATCAGGTCGCGGCCAGATCCGAAGGTGGCAAGCTGGAGACGGAAGACATCTTCAAGATCCGACGCGCGATTGAGGAGGTCTACCGGTAAGTGTCTTTCTCTTCCGTCGCTCAGACTGGATGCTGATCCTGCTTCAGAGAGAGATACTAGAGGTCATCTTGACACAACGACATACATCGATTTCCATCAACGGACGAAACGGCCAAATGAGCGAATGCGTCTTACATGGGAATGAGCCTCCACTTTACGGCTTCTCAAAGGGCTATCAAAGGAACAGGCTTGGGGAGAGAATAGAAAAAGCGAAAGATAATGATCACTGGAGCGGCTGATACCACGCGGCTTCGGAGTGAAATTTAGTACAGAATTCCAGTAGCACTACTCTCAATCAAGCATTCCAAAAGACATATTATTATCGATCCAAATCGATCCATCCGTCTACCGCAGCACCATCACTAGAATTCAGATCTGCACTGCAGCCATCTCTGACTCCACCGGCCCTGCATTCCAGCACCCGGCCATACCATCTCCGATACTCTTCTACCCATCAACCAACCAATCTATAGAGATCTTATTCTCACATCTAGTTCCCATCCGATCCCTCTCCCGTCCTTCCAGGTAGAAAGCATTCCATCCCATCCCTTCCATAGCTAGCCGCGTGAAAATCGTAGATCTGACTCTCCCTCACGTTGATCAAAATCCGAACGACAACGGTAATCTCTCTCAACGGCACGAGATCGCGGGGCGAGAGTAGACTGCGAAAGCGGAAAGTATCGCCGCGGTGATGAGTCTGTTTAAGGGGGTAGATAGATAGATAGATAGATAGAAGCAACTCTGGGAGGAGAATGAATGTGTGAGGTGAGGTGATTTGATTGAATAACTGGTTCTCCAGTACAGACTGTCGTGGAAGATATTCCTTGCTTCCTAGTGTATGATAGTGGTCTTCAACACAAAATCAAGCAAGGGATTTTGCAAATCTGGACTAGCTGTTCTGCGCTCAAATCGCCTTGCAGAGGCCGGGAGATCGATCTAGAGATGTTCCCCTGCAGGAAGCACGCAATCGCAGCTTTGCTCAAGGCTAGCCTTTTTGATTCCAGACATCGCTTTCAGCTCCTCTTTCTCTTTGGCCATGTAGTCAGACTGACTGAAGACACGGTGTCCATATGATCGACTGTACTGCAATCCTGCTGCGGCCGATACCGATAGCCTGGGCTGGAAAACCACAGCCACTCGACTTCTTCGAGGCCATCCGGATTGATTCTGTCCTTCTGGTCTACTGCGGTCTCTGAGCATGGCCGGTTGGATCATCTCGGGATATGCGATCTAGCAAGGCTGTACTTCTGACGTGTTCCGAGAGAGGATCTATAGTTCTCCCCTCTTCGACTCTGAGGGGGGGGGGCAACGATTGAGAAGTCACTGCTTTGGGATCGAGTCATGTCTCGGCAGCCTTCACGTATGTATCAGTATGCGACGCAACGCGATGGTCAGCTGATCGAAAAAACCGAGCGAGTAAGCAAAAAGTGCGCGCCCAGCGAGTAGTCTAGCGAGAATGCCGGTTCTAGAGCGAATGAGTATCTCCCAGAACGGGTGGCGTGGCTGGACAAGAAGCCGAAGAGTACATCTTGAAGCTGTATATAGCGGACATATGAGCACGCTAAATCTTGGAATCTCGACCTTTTCTCTTCGCTGTGCAAGGTCAGTCATGCATGGATCTCATCGGATTGTTTGTCGAGGCGAGGAAACTCACCTGCCAACTCCGCCGTCTTAGCCTTCATCCGCTTCGTCGGCTCACCCTCGACAAACCTCTCACTCAGCGCCTGCCAGCTCTCAAACAGCGCCAGAATCTGGGCATCCCGCTTGCCCACGTTCTGTAACCGCTTCATCTCCGTCATACTCTTCCCGTCCCGCTCCTTCAGCATCTCCACCAGGAAATCCTGCACGTGCTGATGGAAACCTTCCTTGGGGAAGATCCGGTTCACCATGCCCAGTGCTTTCAGCTCCTCCACGCTCGCCTTCTCGCCGAACATGAGCCATTCGTTGGCGCGGTGCACGCCCATGTTGGACGCCCAGTTGAAGGCGCTGCCGTTCTCCGGCACGAGGCCCATCTGCGAGAAGGACACCTGCAGCCAGGCGCCCTCGGCGGCGTAGAACAGATCCGACGTCCCCTGGAACCAGGCCGCGCCCGCGCCGACGGCGGGCCCATTCATGGCGAGCACGAGGACCTTTTTGTGGTCGATGATGCTGCGGACGAGCTCCATGCCCACGGCGAGTCGCTGGGCCCAGAAGACCTTCTTTTCGCCGTCGTTCTTGAAATCATTCGATATGCCCGCCACCGCTGGGAGGAGGAACATACAAATTATCTCAGATGGATAATAATGGTAGCGAAATGAGTTTTTTTTTTTTTTCAGGACCTACCTGTCACGTCTGCTCCGGCGGCGAAGAATCGGCCTTCGCCGGTGATTACCGTAAAGGTGGTGTCCGGGTGGTCGTTGAGTTCTCGCAGGGCGCCGATGGTGTCTTCGACCATGCTTCCTCCGAATGCGTTGAGGGATTTCGGTCGATTGAACTAAGCCTCTCAATTAGTGACGTTCAAGTGGTAAGTCTTTCGAAGTGATGTTGTTAGATGCCTTGATCGTCCCGACGCCATCTTTCACCGTGACAATGATGTCCGCGTATTTCGCCGTCATGTTCGCTGGTCTTGCCACCGGAAAGTCCGGTACAGATTCTTCAATGTCTAGATGTATGAGAATTCGTGGATTTGAAATGGAAAATAATCTTGGATGGATGTTGGCTGATACAATTACCCGTGAGATTACCTCGGCTCGTGATGTGATAATCATGCATGATGACATGTGCTGCCGTGCTGAAACTTTCGCGCACGGCTGCCAGACTTCACCTTTCCTTGGTGAAGAAACACCCGACCACTTGCAGGCAAATCCTCCCATTTCGTCCATACTATCCAACATCTGGTAAGGACGGCGTGTGTCGTCTACACGTAGTCTAAGCCGCTGATGGAATATCGAGTCGGAAATTGACGAACTGAATGACGACACACTTAGCCGTCCGTCGACATGGTACAAAAGGCTGGCTACTGTGAAATAATCAGGACCAAAAGAGGAGGAAAGGTAGAGGATTCGTGAGCCATCAAGACTCACGCACAATCCCGATCTAGCATCCCGATATTCGCCCTCCTTCGGCACGTCCTAGCTTCCCCTTGTGGCCAGCACGAGCTTCTCATTGGACGTTTGGCAGAAAACTGTGGGGATCTCTGCATGTGCAGCGGGCAACGCATCTTTGTCAGATAGAAGAGAAGCGTCTTTGTTCGAGGATGTCTCATTCCCGCAACAACAAGAACAGCACCTCAACACCATCCTCGAAGCCCGTGTTACCGCGATGGGGACGGACAGCCCCACGAGCGCCTCATCATGGCGCTCCTCGACACTCCTCGTCATCTTCACCGCGACATTGGGACTGTTCACGGGTGAGTTGACCGCCATCTCACGGCGATCGATCAGAGCTGATGAAAAACACAGAGAATTTCCTGTATGGCTTCGTCATCCCCATCATGGCGTACATGTTCGAGGTGCGACTGGGCCAGGATCCAGCATACACCCAACGCTACGCCAGTGGGATGCTCTTCATCATGGGCTTCATCTGCGTCTTCGCAGCTCCGGTGATTGGCCATTTCGCGGATCAGACGCCGAGCAGACGGATTCCGCTGTTGATTTCGCTCGTGGGATGTACGGCCGGGACGGCGTTGGTGGCGGCCACACCGAATGGTAACTCCCCGTAAACAACTCTTTCCATCATGACGCTGACTGATTCTTCCAGTATATGTCGTCTTCATCGGACGAGTCATCCAAGGAGCCGCGGGCACCGGCGCCTGGATCGTCAGCTTCGCGATGCTGACCGATAGCATCGACAAGAAGCACTTTGGCAAGACGCTGGGATTCGCCTCGTCCTTTGTGACCGCAGGAGTTCTGACCGGACCTGCCGTCTCGGGCGCCCTGTTGGAATGGCTGGGATACTGGCCCGCATGGTCTGTCCCTTTCGCCCTTCTCGCGATTGATCTCGTCGCGCGACTGCTAGTGGTTGAGGTGAAGAAGCCCCAGAAATCCTCCGCAGCAGATCAACGGAATCCCAACGGAGAAGAGGTCGGAGAAAGCACGGGTCTCCTGGCGGCCGCCGAATCGTCCGCCAACGACGACGACGACGACGAGGCACCGAAACAAGATCATACCACCACAACAACATCACCTCCTTCCAAGAAAAGCTCCGCTTTCTACACCATCATGCTCACCAACCCTTCCATCCTCGCCGCCCTCGCCAACATCATCACCTTCTCCCTCATCGTCGCCGCCTTCGACGCCACCTTCCCCCTCCACCTCCGCCAAGCCTTTCACTGGGGCCCCGCCGCCGTCGGCTCCATCTTCCTCGGAATCCAAATCCCCGCCATGCTCCTGGCTCCCCTCATCGGCTGGCTGCGAGACCGTGTCGGCCTCCGATGGCCCACCGCGCTCGGATGGCTCCTCATGGCTCCCGTCATGTGGTTCCTCGGCGTGCCCGGGGGATCGAAACTCCCGGGCATCGACTCCGATGCGAGAGGCGAAGCGGCCTTTGTCGCGGGGATTATAGCTCTGGGCCTTGTGAGTCCCCTGACGAGAGGCTCGGGGGGATATCAGATGGTTGGTGAGTTGCTGCACCACACCCACCAAACGTCTTTTCGAGAATCGCAACATCGCTAACGTTTTCCCACTATTTTGTTGTTTGTTCTAGCCACCCTCCGCGACCTCGAAGCCTCCGATCCCGCCCTCTTCGGCCCCCACGGCGGCAGCACCCGGCTCTTCTCCCTGACCGAAGTCGCCTTCAGCGGCGGTCTCATGCTCGGGCCCATCGTTGGGGGTTTCCTCTCCGATACCGTGGGGTTTTACTATATGATGTGTGTGCTGGGTGAGTTTTTCCGATTCCCTTTTTTTTCTTTTTTCCCAAGAATGGATGAATGACTAATGATTTGGGGGGGGGGGGTTTTGTTTCTGATAGCTGTCATGTGTCTCGCTGTGTCAATCACTTCGGCCATGTTTTTGACTACTACGACCAAGGGACGGAATCGATCAGGCGAGGTATGAGAAGAGTCTAGATATCTAGAACGGGTGATTGTCGCGAATTCCCGATTTTTTTTGGAAAGAGGGGGTTTTTTTTTGGATCTTGACCAGACCTGTGAGTGAGTGAGTGAGTGAGTGGTGCCATGGCCTGCTTGCTGCTGAGGGAAGGCAGGACGGAATGCAAGGATAGTAGGAGGAGAGGTTGATCTCATGACACGACACGTTCGAGAGGCTGCATGCATGCAGTGCGACGGACGCCTGTGCCATCTTGGATGGCATATGGTGATGGAAGGAATCTTCCGATTCGCATAGTAGAAACGACAGATCGGGAATTTCTGCAATGACACTGTTTCGGATTTCTTTCAAGAGATTTTAAGACTAGGTAACACGCGCCAAGAACTTTCTCCTCCCCCCCCCCCAAGACTTCAATCCCCGCCTAGTGATTATCCTTGATATCGATGACGGTACCCTTGAACTTCCTGGCGGAGACCTTCCGGTTGAACATGATGTCCGTCTCGCGGTAGGAGCGGTGCTTGAGCTCGGGCAGGCCAAAGTAGGCGAGGATCCAACACACGATGGCGGTGCCGCCCCAGACGTATCCGCACTTGCCGGCGAGGTTCCAGCCGGTGGGGTTGAGCAGGCGCGAGGCGAGGTAGATCATGGGGATCTCGGCGACGTAGTAGGCGGCGCGGCCGACGCCGGTGGAGAGGGCGCGCAGGCGGACGGAGGAGGTCTCGGCGATGATGGTGTAGGAGACGGGGCCGAGGGCGAAGGCGTAGACGAAGGAGATGATGACGCCGAAGCAGGCCTGCGCGTAGTTTGTGGATTTCGTCTGCGTGATGGAGGCGCAGATGCCGAGGATGAAGAGGAAGGCCGCGTTGGTCGCCGTGCCCCAGAGGTAGATGGTGCGTCGGCCGAACCAGGCCGCTAGGAACCAGGAGCCGATGTTGCCGACGAACTGCAGGCAGGTCGTGATCAGGTTGAGCTGGAAGGAGAAGTCGGTCGACATGCCGGCCTCTGTGTGAGATGTTAGTATTATTGACACGGTGTGCGAAGGGGGGGGGAATGGTGTGCTATGGCTTACGCTCGAAGAAGAAGGTCGCCTGGTTGGCGATGAGATTGCCGGCGAAGTTCTGCGACGCATAGACCAGACAGGTGATGATGGTGCGTCGGAGGTCGGTGCCCTTGACGAGATCCAGCAGGGAAGGGGAGCCGCCGAGCTGAGCCTCAATCTCGACGGTACGCTCAATCATGGCCAGTTTGTCGTCGGCGTCGATCTGGTCCTTACGGCCGAGACGCTCCAGCGATCGCTTCGCTTCCGCCTTGCGTCCCTTGCGTACAAGCCACCAGGGAGATTCCGGCGCGAAGAAGATGAGGATCATCAGTGGTGTCTGCAGAGATTAGCGGATGAGTATGAGCAGAAGGAGAGGAGAGGAGAGGAGAGGAGAGGGTGGCTTACGGGGAAGATCCACTGGAATGCCAAGGGCACACGCCAAGCCCACTGGTCGTTGCGTTGGTTGAAGCTATAGGTGACACCCGCGACGATGATGGAGCCAATCGACCAGGACATCTGGAGAGTAGCCGTGGTGGCCGCGCGCAGGGAGATGGGGACGACCTCGGACGCGTAGGCGGGCGAGTTGGCGATGAACAGACCCCACGGGACACCCTCAAACGCCTGGCCAATGGTGAGGACGGCGAGGGAGTCGGCCTGTGGACCGTCAGCTGGCACACACTTGGGCAGAGAGGCGCTGGGGATACTCTACTCACGAAGAAGGAGATGAAGATGGTGGCGTTCATCATGACCAGACCCAGGAGCGCCGTCCAGCGGTATCCGATGCGGTTGGTGATGGGACCGGCGAGGAAGACACCGATGAAAGCACCACACTGTCCGGACTGGAAGAGGGCACTCTGCCATTTGGTGGGGATGGCCTTTGTGCCGTCCGAAGCGACGACGCCGTATCTCTCGATGAAGGCGGGCAGGGCGACAAAGTTGCCGTTCAAGAACATGTCAAAGGACTCCATGACCTGCGAGACATCAGCTCATACTCTTCGCCGCGAGTTACGTACGAGTTAAGAGGCTCGACTCACGATGGTGAAGCAGAAGATAAAGGCCCAGAAACAGGCCATGGGATGGGACTTTGCCGCTTCCCAGACACCCTGCTGGTGCTCCTTGGTCTCGGCCTCGAAGGCGTTGTTCATGAGGTCCTGATCGACCAGGACCTCGGAGTGGAAGACATCCTTCTCCTTGAGATCCTGGACGGACACTCGGCGTTCGTCGTGGTCGGAGTCGTGGGCGATACCCGTCGACATGCCCACGGGCTTCTCGTCGTTCGCCATGCTGATGACGGACGGTGCGGCGACACGGTGGGTGTATCGACGTGGGATCGATACGATACTGCTGTGTATGGATGCAGTAGCAGCAGCAGCAGCAGTGAGGGGGAGCACGCGGGACAGACCAGGATGTAGGTGAGGGAGAGGGCGGTTGGCAGGCTTTGTATGCGGTGGTAGTCGTCTCTTCCTGGAACGTGAACGGGAAGTCGGCCACGCGATTGGATTCCCCACCCACACCCACATCCCGACCTCGCTCCCCGCCCGGGGCCCCAGACACGTCCAGTCGTCCACGGTCCCACTCGTCGGGTGCGGCTATTGGCGGCGTGCGCACCGCACTACACCACCTCCGCATTCCGTCTCGCCCTGCTAGAAAGCCCCTCCGTGTAGCCTTGGACAGATAGATGATCGCACCTGCCGGTAGAGTCGAGACAAGCCGTCTCTCTATACTATATACAAGACCTGATCCGATGCAAGCGCGTCCTGGCAAAGCTTCGTGCGAGCTGCACTGCGCTGCGCTGCGCTGCCGGTTCAAGCCAAGCTCAGCCGCGGCATAGCTTGTAGCGACACCATCATGTGCTACAACACGGGCGTGCATTGGACGAGAGGCAGCTGTGCGCGCGCGTGAGTGGTGGGAAGAGTGCTTCGTGCATCTCGTTCGTTAGCGTCTTGGTATTGCTGCTTGTTGCTAGATCGCATCGGCTTCGGCTCCGGCTCCACCCTGGTCAACTTTCCTTTTACGCTCACAGGGGTTCGCAAATTAGGATAGATTGACGCTAGTTGCTTGGCATACCACTCTGTATACAATCTCTACCAAATAGAGTCTTTTACACGCTGTCTACCATTCAAAGTAAGTTGTCTACACCTCTATAGCATACTCTATATCCTATGCCTGATTTGCTCCATTGAAATCTTATTCTAAACACGTATACAGGCTGCTTTAAGAGCTTAATAGTCCATTTAATATAGGGCCTCTCTATATACCTTTTTTAGGCCTTCTTCTACACACCTTTAATTAGATTAAGGTTAGGGCTTTGTACTAGGTACTAGTAAAGCTGGATTAGCTGTTCTTGCCTTGTCTTTTTAGGTAGATTGTCCTTTGATCTATAACTATATAATAGATTACTATCTTCTATTAAAATAGCTAGATAGCCTTAATTCTTTATACTTTTAATCCATTTAATATGCTTTAGAAGGATATACTCTATATAGTAGAGCTAGCTTATTAAATTGCCCTTCTTCTAGGTATGTTAGTACCTATATTCAATCCTAAGCCTCTTGTTAGTTTGTAAGATCTATGTAGTACTCTGCCTCTTACTACGTAGTATTAGTAGCTACCTTTCTTTTATCCTCCTTCTTAAGGTTGTATATAAGCTTTGTGAATGCTTTTGAAAGAAGCTATAGTCCTACTTCCTTAGATCTTAGGGCCCTTTAGCTATTATCTTAATCTAGTAGCTAATATCCTTCTTTTTAGGTCTAGGGGCTTCCTTTCGTAGTAGCCTTCGGCTAGGGGATAGCTTAGCTTCTACTCTAGGTCCGGTACGTTAGTAGAGCCATTTACTAGCTATTAGGTAGGTAGGGTACCATTCTTCGTGGTTATATAGCTGGCAGAAGTATTTGAGTGTATATTGGTCTCTACATGCTCCTAATAGTCAAAAAAACGGGTTCTACGTAGTGTCTTGAATTGCCCTAGTCTCTTTGACCTTTCTAAATGATTTCTAAGCACAGGAGGCATAGTAGTAGTGATACAGAGCCTTCAAAAGTGGTGTTGGTGGGGAGGTTTGGTATGCCAAGCAACTAGCGTCAATCTATCCTAATTTGCGAACCCCTGTGCGCTTGTGCTTCCAAACGCCTCACGTGGTCAACACGAGTCGAGCACGTTGTAAATGCTGGAGCGCTGGGATCACCCCTTCCGGTTAGTGGCTTGGTAGGGGTAGGCACACAGTATGTATATAGCAACAACTTCCACAGCTCATGTACAAGGCAGTCATCCATCTGAATGTAACTCCTCCCTCTCTCCCACCAGGCGGCCTCTTCCTCCGCATCAGACCACTCCGACGCCAGCGATATTCTCCATCTGCAGGGGTTCAACGTACGGTCCATCCATCCATCCATCTTATTGTCTCAATGGTGTATGTAATCTCCGAGGATCTCACGATGCTGCACGTCCCAGATTCGTAATGGAAAAACAGACACGACGCTGGAGACATCGTGATGATTCCAGGATGGCACTGTCGATTCTTCCTGGGTAGAGCATCTCGACAGTCTGGCCGTTGTGTTCGAGAGAGGACAATGCAACAATCAAGACGCTCCACCATTCACCTACTCACGCCCGCCTTATATCCACGATCAAGACATGAGACAGACGGCTGTCTCGCAGCATGACACAGAATTTCCGTCCAAGACATTCTCAGGTCCCAACAAAGAGTATCCAAACACACAATGAGCACCCAGCAAACATCCTCCCCGGTTAAGAATCTGTCGCCGTCGTCTGATTTCCGCTGGCGTACTTCCCCACTCCAGTCAATCAAGTCAAGAGGAGCAGTAAAATGAACAGCCCAGCCCAAAGCTCCCCCAAGCAAGAGCCGACCTCGGAATCCGACGACACCAAAATGGCACCGAACGACAATTCCACGAGCGACAGCGACAGCGACCCACCAGCTCCCTCCTCCCACAACAACAACAACAACAACAACAACAACAACAACAACAACAACAACAACAACAACAACAACAACAACAACACCAACAACAACAACAAGCGAAGACCCCACCCTCGTCCCGCCCGCACGACTTCTCTCCCCACCAGCAGCACCGCCCCGAGCGACACCAAGAAAGGCTCCCGAAACCCCACCTTCAACGCGCGCACCGCCGCCGACGCCACCAACGCCGCCATCTGCCAGCAACAGAACCGCGACGGGACGATTCCCTGGGACGAAATCTCCGAGCGCGTGAGCGCGCCGCCGGGGGCCAAACCTTGCTCCCCCGTCGCGTGTGCGGACCGCTGGCACCGCAATCGGATCATGTTCGAGGCGCTCGGGGGACGCGATGTCCGTCCGGATTGGCTGAGGGAGTGGGTGACGGAGCTTTCGCCTCTACCGGCTGCGGCTGGGAGGAGCGAGGAGAGGGCATGTGCGAAGGAGGTGAAGAGGCGGCTGGCGAGAGGGCAGGATGTCCCCGCGGAGGCCGTCAGGGGTTGTAGCAAGTGGCTTGTGCGGTGTGTGAGGGATGTTGAAGCGGCGAGGAGAGGAGGTGGGACTGGCGGCGAGGCGGGCGGCAGACGCGTCGTCGTCGGGGAGCGTCTGGACGGCGACGAGGAGGAAAGCGGCGAAGACGAAGACGGAGAAGCAGATGCCCTGTCTACTGATCCGGCCATCGCACGGCTCGAGACGCGATTGGCGAATGTCGAGGAAATCGTGGACGATTTGAGACGCGAGTTGGTCGTGCTAAGGGCTCGACGATAAGGTAGCATGTCCTGACCTGTGTCTCTATTCGACGGAAGCATACCAAGATTCGCTGCGATTAAGATATCTTGTTGGAAGAGTTCCGCAAGAGCCGTCAGCGAATGCTTTGAAGATTCGGGATAGCTTTCCATCCTGGATATCAAAAGACAATGGAAGCCTCTCCATCGATCCACCGGGTATGATCGTCGAATCCTCGTCAGCAACGTAATCGCATTCTTCATCCATTCAAAGTCCCCTCATCTTCCATCTTCCAAATCCAACCCAACGACCGGAGAAGCCCAATTCTTCGAACCTCTCGTCAAGGCTCCAGGAACACCCGGAACAGTTCTTCAAGTAGCAAAAATTCAAGTATCCACAGGAGGAGACATGAAGAAGCAGATCGCGCCTGCATGGAGCACTCCAGCCTGTACATATCCCTCGGAATATACAACCATTCACTCGACGTGGGAACGGATTTCCGCATCGGGAAGCAGCCGGCAATCCTTCCTCCATTCCCTGGAGAGGGAAGGAAAGCTACCCTAGCGAGCAGAGATCAGCAGGGCAAGCTCGGCGAGCCTCCGCTTTAACCGTACCGAACCGTACCTCATCGACCTCACAAACGGTACATGTAAAGTGGACCACCACCAGTCCACCACCCTCACGTCACCGGCTAGACCTGTAACCTGCAGAGGTAGAATCATTGCCAACACCAGGCTGTCACCCACAATCCAACCCGCGCTTTCAGAATTCTCTCCCACACACAATAATAATGGCAACATCCATCGGCCGCCTGTCCAACAAGGTCGCCATCATAACCGGGGCAGCGTCCGGAATCGGCAGAGCGATAGCGTTCGCATACCACAGAGAAGGTGCACGCGTCGTGTGCGCCGACATGCGAGAACGCACGAAATATACCGGCAGTCGCGAAGAGGATCGCACGACCCACGAGAGCATCAAAGATCTGGGCGGCAGAGCCATCTTCAGCCAGGTGGATGTGTGCAAGCCCGATTCCGTCCGAGGTTTGGTGGAAGCGGCAGTCAGGGAATATGGTAGACTGGATGTGATGGTGAACAATGGTGAGGCGCATTAGCATGTAGAGATCGATTAAGAGGACCGCTGATGGAGTCCCGTAGCTGGCGTCTCATTAGAAGCCCACGCCGGATTTAAACCGGTATGGGAGATTTCGCAGGATATCTGGCAGGGAACGCAGGACGTCAATTCCACCGGCGTCTTCCTCGGGGTCAAGTATGCCGTTCAGCAGATGCTGAAACAGCAACCACATGCCAGCGGCGACCGAGGCTGGATCATCAACACATCTTCCATCCTGGGGTATGTTGGCGCAGACCATACAGCAGCTTACTGCGCGAGTAAAGGTGCGGTGTTGAATTTCACCAGAGCGGCGGCATTGGATTGTGCTCCTCATCGGATCCATGTCAATGGTATCGCTCCGGGATATACGGAGAGTTCGATGACCGGGCCGATTTGGAGGGATGAGAAGAGATACGCGCAGGTGGCTGAGAAGCATCCATTCCGTGGTCTGGGACAGCCGGAGGATCTGGCCAAGGCTTGCGTGTTTTTGGCGAGTGATGATGCCCAATGGATTACTGGAGTAGGTCGATTCGTCTCGAATGTTTTTCCCGTTTTACTAACGTTGTCGCAGCATACTCTACCGGTCGAGGGCGGTTATCTTGCTCGGTAATGGAGCAGTCTCTGGTTCAAACGTAGTTGGAGGAAATGTCCCCATGGAGGCTGTGTCTCCGATAGACCGGCGCTCACTTGTGAATGGTGAATGATTGGATCCGATCATGCCGCATCTCCTTGCATCTTCCCAAGGAATCCGGCGAGAACCCGAGCCATGGTGAGTGGGACAGCACGAGACCAGTGGCGGCTTTCGAAATAACTGCCCAATCTGACAAGACGCCTCCTCTCATGCTCGTCAAGTCTGTCCGGCATCGTGTAGCCGTATCATTTGGAGAACACAGAATTTTCCACCGTCCTTTCGTATTCTGTTACGTGTCTTCGGCCGCAGGGTGATCTCCGCGTTCGAGTGATTGCCACTGAATCTCGGGTCCTCCAGTACAGCATTTCGTGTCCCCGGATGCATTGAATGCTCAACATCATCCACACCATCTTCTCTCTATCCACCCATCAAGCCATACCACCCCGAATTAGAACCCCATTCAACTCCCGCCACCCCTCCTCCCCTTCAGAGCCCTCAACCTCTCCTCCTCTTCACTCCTCCCCACCCCCACCCCCTTCTCCCCCTTCTCCCCCTCCTTCCCCTTCCCCCCAAACAACTCCCTCCCCAACTCCCCCACCGTGCCCCCCATCCCCTCCCCCTCTTCCAACCTCCTCGCACCCCCCAACCCATGCCGCCTTCGGTGCTCATTCAACAAACTCAGCCCTTCCCCGCCCGTATCCGCGTCCCGATGCCGCTGCGCGTTCGCTTTGGCCGCGCGGATGCTCGTGCGCGTGTACACGAAGAGGATTAGGGCCATGGTGAAGGCGGCGGCGGGGGCGACGATGGTGCGGGAGTTGATGCCGCGTGGGAAGGGGTTTTTTGGGTTGGGGGGCGGGGCGGGTTTGGTGGGGATGGAGGATTCGGTTGTTCCGCCTGGGGCGCGGGGTTGGGAGAGGCGGGCGCCCATTTTCGGATGCGGAAGGGTGATGGGAAGTTGTTGATGTGATGTGTGTGGGGAGAGAAGTGGGATGGAGATTGAAAGTTGAAGGTTGAAGATGTCGAGGTGATGGGAGAAAGATTTTCCGGGGAAACCAATGTATCTCATACAATTCCACTGGTCTCATTACTCATTTGTATTGAACTTCACGTCCGCTCAATTCCTTCTAGCTTTTGTATGTACAAATTTGGGTATCCATCCATCCGTCCCGTCCCTTCAATCAGCTGCCATTCCATTCCATCCCATGTCTCAGCATAGGATAAATTCACGAAGATCGCCTCTCCCTCCCTCGATCCTTCAACCCATCAGGCCCCTGACCCCAAGCGCCAGCTCGACCCGGCCACTTAATCGTGCCCCAAAAGTGCGTCCAGGAGATCTTCTTCGGCGGCTCTCGCGCCCGCTGAAACGGCGATTGGACCTCTTTACTTCGTTCAGGCCATCGGAAGCTCCTCTCATCCCTCGTCTTATCTTCCGTCTCGCCCTGGAGCTGGATTTCCGTCCTTCCCCCCAGCAGCCTCCCAGCCGCTTCGGAGTAATGCGGTGCATTCACAACCTCCCCACCAATACTCTCCCACCTGCGAACTTCTCTGGGAGTCGGACGATGCCAGTCGGGCTCGCTTCGGTCCCACCAGCGTTGGCTGCACATCTCCCACAGCCGGCTCTGGGCACGCTTATACGCGAAGCGTTCGTCTTCGCCCGTGAAAGCGGAAGTCTTCTGGAAGTCCGGGCGAGCCGTATAGCGAACCTCATCCGGATCGATGGGTTTCCGCTCCATCTCGGCATCTGTCTTGCCAAACGAGCGGCCAAACGGATTACCCGCGGAGCCGCCCTTTTCTCCTCGCGATCTTCCGGTGGGTGCACCGTCTTCCAGCGAATCCGCACGAAGCAGGCCGGCAAGCCGAGCGTGCGTGTAGTCTGGTTCCGTCTCCGGCTCGGCGTAGTTGGGGTTTTCCGTGAGCACGTTGGGCCGGAACGGTGCTGTGGCGTCCTGATAGACCTCTGACAACGTCTCGGAATACACGGAGTCGCCGCTGTCGCCTTCGCCCTGTTCGCGTGCTTTCATCTGCTCCTCGGGGAAGAAGATGTCGTCCGGTCCCGCAGCCGCGCTCACGAAGAGCTTGCACCTGCATTCGTACAAGGCGTCCAGTAAAGTGATGAAACGACGGGCTTCGTTCTTCATGAGCCAGGTCAGTACGGGCACGTCCGTCAAGATCAGGGTGTGATAGGTCGATGCAAGGGTGATGTAGTCTGCCGGGCCGAATGTTGCTTTGCAGAGCTCGTCAAACGTCCACATTGTGACGCCTTGGAATGTCCTCGGCACGGCGATCTTTCGCCCGTATACCGAGAGCGTCTCGGCAGACCAAGTGACTCGGTCCACGCCTTGTCCATCCGTTGCCGCGATGAGCGCAGAGTCCAACGGGTCTCCTCTGCCGTCCAACTGGGTGGGTACGATGTACCTCTTTGGCATTGCCCTATGCTCTTCTGACGTCTCTGCCACAGTAGCTGGTTCCTCGAATGCGATGTTTCCAGCACTGTCGGCCAGAACCACCTCATCGATCTCTCGATGAGGCGCCACACTCCCACTCTCAATCCTCCTCCAATCCTTCCCGCCCTCCATCTCCCACACCTCGCATCTCGCTCTCAACACCTCCAGAAACGCGACAAACTCATTATACTGTCCAGCCCCATCATCCCTCCTCCGGAAACCCAACTGCCAGCCAAAATTCCTCCGTGGCGCCGGGGCAAACCCAATCCCCGCCGCCTTGGCCAATTCCTCGGGCATGCGATTCGAAGTGGCAATCAACACACCTCCCAACTGAAAGAAGCCCGTCATCAGATTCGTCAGAATCTTACTGGCCACTCGATCCGGCATCTGAAACTCATCCAGGAACAGGATCGGACTCGTCTGGATCATATCCTTGGCCAGCCACAATAACGAATAGTCATCGTCGGCGAACCGCGAGATCGACGACCGCTCGGCGCGCAGCGCTTCCAGTTTGGCAAACGTCTCGAGCATAAAGGTGTTGAAATGGCTCCTCCGCTTCTTGCGATTGGGGAGCGTGTCGGCGAAGAGATCGATGAGCATACTCTTCCCGGTGCCGACGTCTCCGTGCAGCATCAGGCCTCGGGGGGAATCCATCTGCAGGGCCGACTCGTGGGAGGTCAGCTTCCGGGTGAGAGCGAGTGTGTCCCTCCTCTCCTTCTCGGCAAACCATCGTCGCCAGGCGCTCGGTCTCGGCGGCGGCGGCGGCGGGGAGGCATCTTGGGCGGTGAAGATGCGTCGTTGGCGAGAGCCGGCGTTTACCGCTCTGCTGATCTGGTCCAGACGGTGGGAATACTCCAATTCCGGCTCGTAGTCTTTTAGGCGTTCGTAGAGCTTTGCCAGATGGATGGCCAGGCGGTGTTGGGAGGGGTCGGGCGTGATGGCTTTGGTGGCGACCAGGGCTCGGTATTTCACGAGGGGGTTGGTGATGGCCAGGCCGGTGGATGCTGCCGCCATGACATGCTGGAATCCGTCCCTATTCGGTGTTGATGTTGGTGTTGGTGTTGATATGAAGAAAGTAACGTCGGCAATGGCGTCATGGAGTGAATCCATTCCATTCCTCGGCTCGGCAAGATTGTTGATGCCTGAGGCTTTTGAATTGCCGATGAGGCAGACGACATTGACTTCTCCTCACGACAAGATACAGCAAAAGTCTATCAATGGCACCTCGACATCGTCTGCATTCCTCGGCTAATTGGATAGATAAATGTCCTGAGCAAAATTCCTTATTGAAAACTTCATACAAGTCCAAGACAATCCATCTATCCATCTCACTCAACCAACAGCACCGGCTACTCTATCTCTATCCCTTCTTCTCCAACCCGACCAACTGACGACCGACGACCAAGATCCGCAGCGCTCCCCCGAAAGCCATCGAAAGCTCTCCTGGCCCGGTCCAGTTCCTCGCGGGCCTCATCCTTTCCAGCAATATCACCAACTTTAGAATCATGCTTCTTCTCGTCACTATCCCCCCTCTCCTTGACGTCTGCTCCGTCCTTCTGCACGACATTCGCTCTAAGCCTCCGAGCCCTCCTTCTCTATGTCTTTCTTACTGGACTCTTCCCCTCGACAGAAACAACCACAGACTCCACCTCTCCCCTCTCATCTCTCCCTCCCTCGCCTCCCCCAGAAATCCCACCACCTCCAGACTTCTTCCTCTCCGCTTTATCATCCCTCACATCCCGAACGCTGCTGTATTGCTTGTCTCTTGTCTCGCAGCTCTCTTGGTGGGTAGGAGGCAGTCGAGTCGAGCCGAACCAGCTTTGATTATTGCCGGTGAGTCCTCCTCGCATGACGGAGAAGATAGAGACCGCTTCGCTTCGTCGTCTTTGAGATTGGAATGCTCTCCTTGGTAGTCTTCTCCTTGTTGTTGTTCATACTTGCTAACTAATCCCTCAAACTCGATTCCGCGTGGCTGCATTGATGTGATGTGTCAAGTCGAGTCGTCCAGGAGACACTTAAATCCAGTACCGACCCTGTGGCTACCTACCTACCTACTTTAGACGGTTTGTTCACATCGCTACTATAAGTCTCACTTCCCTTTCCTTTCATTCAGTTCAAATTCCCTTCGTATGGAAGCTTTCCTCATACTTTCCCGAAGATGTGGACCGCTGTCAAACAGACATGTCTCACGCATTTCGCCAAATTCGTTGGAAATACATGTGTCCACAAACAAGAGAAAATCTCGATTACGTTGCATGCAGATTCCCTTGTGGCGTAGACGGGCTGCGCGGCCGGTCGCTTTCTTGCTCAGTAATAACAAGGTCCGAGCTGCAACTAAATCAAGAGATTTAATCCCTCCAGATGAAGCGTTAATCCATTCGGTCACTTGATTTTCAAACTTCTTTTACGATTCATCAAGCATAGAAATAAAAATACATCTCATACATTCCACCCCTCCCGTCAACTTTCCCTCTGTGAATTTGTGAATGGTCTAGACAAACTTGCGCACAACGTTGACGCTCTGGCAGCTGGGGTTCTCCGGCTTGGCGTTCCCGAGGGCCCACGTGAGAGCGGTGTAGGTGTACCCGCTGTAGTAGGTCTCGCACACGAACCAGCGGTAGAGCGCGCGGGGTTGGGTATACTTGGGTGGGGTGACGGTGTCGTCGACGGAGGATTGGATGTTCATGCGCGCCTGGCGATCGAAAGCCACGTGGACGTTGGTGTAGGATGGTTCGAAGAGGGGGAGGGCCACGTTTGTGGAGGGGTCGTAGTAGAACGACATGGCCTCGGAGACTGTAGTGGAGATGAGATGTGAGATGTTGTGTTAATTTTTTCAGCATTTCTCTCTGCAGCTAGACTTACCGTTAATGGGGCCATTTGCATTTTGAGCTGGCAGAGCGTAGGTCAGAGTCCCGGGAGTGCCGGCATCTGGAGCTACAGTCTGGCCAGAGGTGGTGTTCAGTTGGTATTGGTCGGAGCCGTAGCCAACGCAGAGAGCCTCAATGGCGGCACCCTCGTGGCAGGCAGCGAGGCCCTGGTTGTTGTATTTGCCGTTCGGTGGCTGCTGGACGATGAGCTCGAAGGGAGCGGATTGCTGGTACGTCTGGGCGAGGGCGCCCGTGGCAGAAAGCAGCGCTGCGGAGGTTGCGATGAAGGACTTCATTTTGGTGATATGTTGGACGTGGTAGAATTGAGTATTTCGAACTTCTGCTGGTTGCTGGAGGAGTTGTTGGAGCTGTTGATGATTCTCTCGATACAGCGTCCGTCGAGGAGATTATATGTTCCTACTGCTGCATCGAACCTACGACCGGTATTCCCATCTTCATCCAAAAGCGTCAGGGTCGCAGAGTGACGTCCCATTGGGAAGCTATGCTAATATGGTCGATGGTCGCGCGTGATGATGCTCGTATTCCTGCCGATCGCTAGGCGCAGTAGCGAAACCTCGACAAGCTACCTGCACGGCTGGTACGGCCAAGCTAACTCGACTGGGCAGTCCGATTGCTGGTGTTTCTCCCTCGGAGTCTCGTTCCGATAATAGATAGAACCAATGAGGTCGGATTCAACTCCAGCTCGTTCCTTTCTGGAAGGTGAGAGCCAAGAACTCTTCTCATTCGGTCCACGACGGCGTACAGCTGAACGTCATGCCCGTGGTTCACTGAATCCTTCGAGCCGGTGTTCCGGAAATCTTCTTGTCGCGGAAATCTTCTTGGCGATGTGGAAGACGATCCATCATGTTTGGTTGCCAAGAGGGAGGTGGAAGGTGGAGGAGTGCCAAGACCTCACCCCGTACTCCCTCAGCCTCCTACGTGACTTCACCGACTAGTATCTAAAATAACGTCTGCAAAGACCCAATAAGTACGTTCGCTTCATCCTTCGCACCAGCACCCGAGCCCTCTTCACCGACATCACCTCCCCACTTTGCTCGAGCACGTGTCGGGTTCGTGTTCATTCGGGCATGATTTTGGAAGAGAGCTTGATCGCATTCCTAGCCTGGCTTCCATTGCCAGTCCGATTCTTGGGGATGTGAATGACTCGGCCGTCGATTCGAGATCCCCCTTGCGCCAGATCCGGATGTGTATGTAGAATTCCGCTTCGTATTCCGTTCGGCAGAAGGATGGCGTGAGATCGTAAAGCGGCATCCTCAAGCCGATTCAATACCACACCTCTGCCTTGCTATAGCCTCTACTCCCACGCAGCTCGCCCTCCCACCTTCCTCCTCCTCCCACAGAAGACCAAAACCTCCCTCCCTATTCCTCCTCCCCCTCCCCTCCCCACTCTCCTCATCACTCATGAATTCCCACACATCCCTCAAAAACCACCCCCTCCTCTCCTCCACCGTCTCCACCGCCAAACTCTCCTCCCACCTACTCAACACCTTACCCCAGAACTCCCCACTCGTACCCTCCGGCCAACACCCCTGATCCAGCCCCGACGTGAAGCAGTCCTGCGGGCTATACGGCAGGTCATCGTAGTACTCTGGATCCGTCGTGAATTTGGCTCGCTTTCGCTTCTTCGCGCTCTGCTCGAATGTGGACCGGTCAATCTCTTCGATCTCCGGCGTGCTGCTGCTATGGATGGATGTGCCGGGGGTGTCCGCGTCGATGATGATGATGGGAGAGGAGGTGGTCTTCCCACTCCCCTGCTGGCGGCTGCTGCTGCTGCTTTTCGGGCGCGGGTGAGCTGGTGGCATCATCACGACCGCCCGGGTGAGGACGGCCGGCGCGGAAGAAGAAGTCGAAATCTCTCCAAACTCTCTCTTCCGGGACCTGCCCGGAGAGGCTGCTGCGTGGCTGCTGGGTGGCATCGAAGCGCTCCGTCCGGCGGAGATGTCTTGGTACATTTTTTTTTGGGAGTTGGTTACGGGTTTCGACTTGCTTGGGTGAGGCGGTTGTTCTGCAGGTGGAGTTGATGGAGGGAGTAGGTCTGGAGAGGAAGGGGATGAGAAGATATATCTCTCTTCTCCCCTATTGTCGATGTGGTGCTATTGTATCACCTCTCTATTGTGTTGGTGGTATTGTCGTGAGGACATTGTTGGAATTAAAGTTTGTCGCTATTGTGGCTATTGAGGTGATACTCACTACAATAGGTGCAAGCTTGCGATGCGTTTCATGTTCGTCGTCTATTGTCTCTATGAACAATTTAATCGTCATTTATCCATTGTCGTATCCACATACCGCATCAACGCCAAGCCAATCACATGTCCATCACAGCTGAATGTCATTGTTGACCAGCCTGACTTCTTCACCGGGCTTGAATGCCGGAAGACCGATGTATGGACAGCCATCACAGCGGAATGCGTCTCCAAGTGCGCAGTTCCCGCATGAGCCAACCTTGCCCTGCACGGTGAAGTCGACTTCGGTCAAGTCGTTGGCGTTCAGCTTCGCCAGATTCTGGTCCGCTTCCGTCCGCTTGGCTTGATCTTCAGCCTCGATTCGCTGTGCGAGACCGCATGTGCAGTCCTTGCAGGCCCGCCGTCTCTTCGCATTTGGCTTGCATGCCTCAGCTGTGTCACATGTCAGCACGAGTCGCGGGGATCTCGGAATTCAACACTCACGTATATTGGTCGGCTTCTGCCTATCCTCCTCCGTCAACAGCGTATCCGGGTCAATCCTCTCCGCATTCTGGAGAGCCTCATCGCTCGGAAACTCATCTTCATCCTCGTCATCGTACCCCATGTCCAGATCGTCAGTACTGTCAATGAAACCCACTCCCGCTGGAGTCGCCTTCACCACTCCACTGCCACCATTCGTAGCCAATCCGACTCCACTCGAGATATCCTCGCTCTTTCTCTTCGCCGTGTTGGCCGCTTCAAAAGCATTCGCAGGCACCGCAGCAGCATTCGCCTTCTTCTTCTTCCCAAAGCTCAGCTTCACCGTCTGCGTCGCTTCCTCCGCAGGCTTCACCATGCCGTCTCCATCCCCGCTCACCAACCCCGCCAGAATCGCCTCCGTCTGCTCTGCGTTCTGTGTCGTGCCGAAAGTCCCATCCTGCGACTTGAGCCTTCCGGCAGGCTTCATGGACTGCACTATCCTCTCCATGACATTGCGATCTAGTATCCGCGAGCTTTGCTGTAGTGTCTGATCGACGTCCGAGAGAATGAGGACTACATCGTAGGTGGCCGCGGGGAGGGCGACGAGGCCGAGTGCGAGGCGATCCAGCATCTGCATATCGGTAGCACTTCGATCGTAGACCTCAGTCACTTTGGTGAGCGCGTCAGGGTGCGAGGCTACCGAAGGAGGGGCGAGGAGGAGAGTGCGAGGCGTGTTGCCATTTGCATGTTTCTGGACGGCGGGCGCGGGGGCTTCAAAGTCCATGGTGTCGAAGTCGGGCGTGTTTTCGATGACTACGCCGGGCGCCATGTTGGGAAATACTGTTCGAGGTCGTCGCTGGAGGATGTCGAGAGAGCGTGTTTGTTTGGGGAGGAGTCGTCGATTGTTAAGCAAAAGCAAACTGGCCGTGCTGGTGTCGAGGAGACGGGAGGGTCACCATATTTGTCGCGTGTAGCCCCACGGCGAATTATGTCATCATTGGCTTCAAGTGCCGATGCGATGTCGGGACCGAGAGCGAAACTTCACCACTTCACAGCACGCCAAATGTCAGCTTCCCTCTATCCATGCAAGAATCGCATCAAAGTCAGAGAATGCCATGTAGAGGGAGTTCGCTTGTTAGAGAAGCATTCGCTATGCAGATTACTCTATCTCAACAAACTTAAGCAGACAAAAGCAGGAAAGGACAATGCGACACCTGCAACCACACAATAATTCAATCGAGACAGAGCAGTCTTCCAGCATCAGCAGATCCCACATATCTCTACCCCGTCGAGTGTACAGACTTGTCATTCATCCAGCCCGCAAGAAACCACCCCACCAACATCGCTACAACAGCAAGCCTCAAACTCTGCACTCCGTGATTGGTGATGTGTCTGAATGCTTGTCGAAGCGTCAACAAGAACAGCACGCATGTCAAAGTTGCCACTTCCAGACGAGCGAGCTGTAGATGGGCGTACCCCGTTTGCAACCATCCACAGAGTTTGGCGAACGCTCTGCCGAGCTTTCCCTTCGGTCTTGCTACATCAAGGCTCGAATTGTGGGTGGGTTGAATTCGTGACTGCGGTTCAGGCTCAGCATCAACGAAAGCTGTCTGCAGTGTTGGCTCGTCTGCTCATAAACGTCAGTTTGACTGCCCATTGTGGGATATTGCTTGTATTCTTACGGTCAGCGTCCTTGCGGGCCCGAGACGTGGTCCTGGGAGAACCGTCCTTGGCTCTGCAGACCTTGCGACCTGCTTCTGGAAACGCGGATTCCATGAGAAGACGATGTGTGTACCACACGGCCGGTTCCTTTCGCAAGCTTCGCCAATCGGCACCGGAATCGAACAGGTACCTCACAACACTCTCGTGGCCATTCCGCGCGGCCCAGGCGAGAGGTGTCCGGTATTGTTCCATCACTTCCGAGGCGAGAGGTGGCCAGTACATGTAGCGTCCGTCAAACGAATCACGCGGCCTGGAGGGCACATCCAGATTCGCGCCTCCTTCTACCAATGCAATGACCGCGTCCAGATCACCTTCAGATGAAGCCAGGCCTAAAGGAGTACATCCATCATCGTCGACCGCATCCACGCGCGCGCCTCCTCCCAACAGCGCCCGGACCATGGTCCCCTTCGTTAAAGGGTCTGCATACAGGAGGCATTGGACAAGTGGCGTTGTACCATATTCATCCTGAATGTTGACATCGGCACCATGGCAAATCATCAGCTCGACCAGTGGAAGGTTGGCACAATCCACAGCCTCTATGATAGGCTTCGAGTCGTATTCTCCATAGTAATTGAGCCCAACACCAGCTTCTACGAGTGCTGTCGCGATTTGCCAATGCTTATGCCGAATCGCTGCTTCAAGCGCACGACAAGTTTCATGATTATCCAGATCACATCCTTGCTCCAAGAGCCTCTCAACCATGTCCAGGTCTCCTTCTCCACAAGCCGCTATAAGCTCGTTACCATGAGCGCAATTTGGCTCCCCTCCGTGAACTTGAAGCGCACCTTGCTCGTCAAGTAGCGGCTGGTCCGATGCACTGCAGGCTAGGTCGTCAGAATTGTATTGCTCGTCATGTAGCGGCTGATCCTCGTCCCTCTCGTCCAGTGCGTCAGGAATATAGGATAACACAAGGTCAGAGATCTCCCGAGAGCCTCTGGGTGAAGCAAGCATGAAAAACGGCATGTTATCGTGCGACAGCATGTCATCGATCGATAGATCTATGTGCGCACCCGCTCTCAGAAGTACGGAGACAACACCGGCGTGGCCCTCCTCGACTGCTAACCAAAGCGCCGTGCCATGGCCCCCGCTGTCCTCGTTGAGCTCGGCTCCTAACTTCACCAAGGTCTCTACAGCCTTCAATTCGCCCCATCTTGCTGCCTTTTGAAGAGCGGTCCAGCCGTCCTCGCCGCTCTCGTCCAGTGGAGCGCCGGCGTTGAAAAACGTTTCAATCATCTCTGGGTACACCTTAGCCGCGTGAATAATAGCGAAACGTAGATCCAATCGATCCTTTGCATGCGTAAGGAGGTAGTCTACCATGTCACGTCGACTGTACGACAGTGCACGATACAACGCGCTCGTGACGTGATTGTCCTTGCGGTGAGCTCCGTTCTGCGTGAGAAGCCGGATCATGTCTAGATCATCCCTTTCTGTCGCCAGAGAAAGTGGCGTCGCTTCCAATCCCTGCCAGCAGGACACGTCGTCAATCCCATCTTGGCCCTCCCCAATTCCGACGTCCACCAGGGCTCCCTTCCTAGTCAGCATAGATGCAAGCGGAAGGTTGCCGCTTTCGACTGCATAATGCAATGCCGTGTATCCTCTCTCGTCTTGGCAATTGATGTCGCAGCTTCCGCGCAGAAGCGCGTCCACTAGGTCCATGCGCTCGTCACGGCAAGCCTCATGCAGAAGAGAATCGCCGTAGACGTCGAGCTCGTCGGATCTAGCGCCACTTTTCAGAACATAGTCGATGGCACTGACTTGTTCGACGGTAAGAGATCTAGAAGACTCTGCCATGTCCGGAGGGTTGGCAAGATGATACAGAACACCTCGATGGGAGTTGTCCTTGGCATCCACATCGAAAGGGAATTGCTCTTGTCCATGCAAGAGCCACTTCAAGAACCCTGCCAGGTTTTTTGGAGCACACCTGGCTCCGATGGACAAGATCTCGAAGATAGCATTCAAGCCGTGCTCGTGGCTCTCGTCGGGGTCGATTCCAGCTTGGACCAGGAGCTTGAAGACTCTGACGTGACCAAAATGGGCAGCCAGATGCAGCGCGGATATGCCACGAACCCCTGTGGCGTGAAGTGATGCGCCCTGAGCAATAAGAAACCGACAAGTGTCGATGTGCCCGTATGCAGCCGCGAAATGGAGAGGCGTCCATCCAGTTGCAGTGCTACAGAGCAGCGAAGCGTCGCGGCTTGCTAGACTATCCTGTAGCGCGGCCAAATCCCCTTCGATAGAAGCCGAGACGAGTGGATGATTGTCTTGCACAATGTCCAACAGCTGTAAGCTGAAGCTTGGAACCACAAGAGAGTCTAGACGTGCAGTCCACTCAGCATGTAATGAGATTCTTGTTTGCCAAAAGAGTGCTGACGGGATGAACGTAGCGGTCACACGCGAACGGTTCGCATGCGATCTTGTTGTGTTTCTGCGCACAATCAGTTTTCCAAAAGAGAAATTGAATCGTGTCGTTGATCGAGTCCAGTGTGCCCCAATACGAGGCCTTTGGGATGATATTGCGAAGTCGCTTTGTCGTGTGGTCTGACGAATTTCACAACGAATGGCCTGTCGCAATTGAGAGAATTGCTCTTGTAGGAGGACAGATCTATCCGAGCTGTCAAGCAAAATCTGTTCGGCGTTTGGCCTGTCAGCAAGAATGCTACAATGGCGTGAGGTTTAGACATACTTTGTGCTAGAGTCTGGTTGATTTCGTCTATGCCGCGATGGATCGGGCTGGCCTTGTTTAGCCTGGAAGCAAAATATCGCATTCCCGAATGCACCGCGCGAATCCTACCTCATGTCTAGCTGGGCGAGTTTGGGGCCGTCGATCTTTCTTCGTAGCCTTTTGAAGGCATCGTCGCCTTCTCCATATCTGAGCGACATGCAGACGTTGAAGATTCCCAGGAGACAGTATGCTCGGTCCTCTGGTTCCTTGGTAGATCGAGCTTGTGCCCAATGCATGCGCTCATCGACGGAAAAGTTCGATAGTGGTTCGCCAGTCAAAGCCCTATTTGGGATGCCTGTGATCTCGTGCAGTAGGTCTGTCAGATCTTTCTTGGTGCCCAGCCGGTCGCCCTCTTTCGAGTAGAACACCACCTCTTTCGGAGCGAGCAATTCTTGCAGTGTCCAGCCACGAGTGAACCAGCGACTTCTGCGGAAGCCTGAGTCTAGCTTGTCCAAACCGATATCAGCCGGATCTCCTTCTGGATCTCTTTGGCAATCGGCGGACGCAACATCGGCCAGGTAGACGTAGCAAACTCGAGCATTCCGATACCAACGATACATGCAAGTAATCGCTTTGGAAAGTTCAGTGTTGTTGGTCTTGTCGATGCAGCACGTGTCGACCCAGAAGTGTTGTAATCCATCTCTTGCGGCCTACATCCCACAAAACTCGATCTTTCGATAGCCGACCTTTGATTGATAAGAATCGGACGTCAGGTCAGCGAACGTGATCTCTTCGTCGTCTGCACCCCAGGTGTGGGAGAGTATGGCATATGGAGGAGCATCATCGTCCGCTCTGTCCCGAGAAACCTGGAGCTCGTCGCAGCTGTCATAGGAGAGAAGACGCATCTTGTATTAGCGGTGGCAGGTGTTCTCGTTAGCAGATCATTGCGAAGCTGCACAGAGTGACATGATATACATGCGCTCCGTAAGCGAGTGGGTTACACAGAGAGGCGCAGAGCGGATGCATTGCCTCAGCCTGCCTCGCTTGCGGATCGTCTTGCTCGTCGAGCTGCAGAACAATTGCCTTGGTGAGGCTGAGGTTTGGTACCCGACTTCATGAGGAGATGCATCTCCCAGAGAATACATGGTGGTGGTGTTGAAAGCTCTTCTACGACGAGATCATGGATGTTCAAGATGTGCAAAGTGGAAAGAAAGGAAGGAACCTGATGTGGGAACTTGTTGAAACGCTTACTCATCACGCACGTGACCGGCAGCGATTCATCCGATCTCGGTCTTGGTGCAAAATACTTCCAGAACATCAACAATCGTAGTACAGACAACCACAACCACATACTTCGTTGTACACACGCTCCTTTGAGCTGTCCCTCACCATCGACACGTGGCCGGCGCACAGCATCGACAGCAAGCAACTCGCCAGATCATGTCCTGGCTGCCTCTGCACTGATGCAAGAATCGCCGTTCCCCACGAGGCCACCTTCCGCCTTACGCGCCGCGGTTAGAGGGAAGAATTTCAGGAGACATGCCATATCATCGCCCAGATCCAAGGCATGGCCCCTACTTCTCCTACTCTCGACTTTCTTCCGTGTCATGTGACTCTCACTCACTCCTGCCTGTTCCGTCCGAGTTTGATATCCCCATCTTCACTACTGCAGCATCTGATTGACAACATCGTCACAACCGGCGTCACTGCTGTGCACCAGGACATCGTCCAAGGGTATGAAGCAGTCCACGGCATTCTAATCGATCTCGGCTATGTTCGCCAACGACACCCTCCCAACTCGCGAGACGGTATTCCTATCGCTCCATTCAGCGGTCGACACGATGAGGCGAGAGAGGTTGGCGTGGGGCTCTTGGAGGGGAAGAACTGCTACCTTACTCCGCCTTCAAGATGACGTCCACTTGAAATCCAGAAGGATACTGTCTGGCTTATGATCTTAGCGACAGTAAATCCGTCTCGATCAAAGTAGAAATCTGCGCCTGACCAATCTCATTCAGAGACTGTGTTCACATGGCATCCTGACAACTGGGGCAAGTGCCCCCGGATTCCCGTTCCCCAATTTCTGGGGCAATGGACGCACAACATACGCTCACTCCACTGGCTTTCTTGACAAGACGACATGGGTTGGGATATGGAGGTCAAGCGGAATGACGGCTCCGACATTCTGGCTCATCCTGAACCTCCCCTCGTTCAGGGTCAGATCAAAGACAGCCTCACCCGGCAGAAATCGAATGGCAGTGGACGTGCCGAAGCGATCGAGAACACATTCGCACAGCATCTTGCTTCCAACGAAGTGTCTCGCGATCGTTACTGGGCACGAAAGCACATTTACAAGCGATGCGGCTGGCCAGACGCCTTCAATAGAGATGAACTTCTGAGACGACGTGACGAGTGGAATGCCTAGGTCAGAGAATTGGGACCTACGAACGGCGACTGTGAGAAGCCTGCTAATAACGGCGCGGATGCAAGTGCTGAACTTGGAGATTTTCCATAGAACGACATCTGGGGAGCGCGATTGAAGATATCAACCACCGCCTATCTTGCCGCTACCCCATGTTTGGCCCACGGGCAAATACCCCTGTCTGGAGTACCAAGGACCGATATCACATTGGTCCTATCGCCATCCTGGGTCTTCGGCCAAGCAGATTCAAGAACCCGTCCTTGAGTCCATCTACCGCGTGTATTGAGCTGGCTACTGGCGGTAACCAACCGCACCCCGGCAGTACGAATTGCGACCACTGCGCTCTCGGACGGAAGCTTGCCTTGAGTGGCTCAGTAGGCGAGCACTGACTCCCAATGGATCTTTACGCCTATTATCATCTGCCGATCAAGTCTGCAGTGGCCATTATCTCCCTCGTACGTAGTCTCGAACAGCCTTGCGGATCTTCGCAGCAATGATAGCGCGATAGATACTAATCAATCCCGCTCTCCAGAGGGCTTCGTCGTTGTAGGTCTTTCTTGGCCTCTCCTCAACTTCTCCGACCTCTTTTTGACTTATTCTGGCCTCACTGAGACCGGTATCCTCGTCATGGCTGTAATCCAGTCCCTCCGCAACCTCAAGCATGAATTCTCTCGCGAACTCACATGGCCGCTGGTGCTGGTCACCTTCTACGCTTCCGTAAGACACTTCCAGTCGTCAACCATCCAACCCGCTTCGACGAACTGACATCTTGTTTCAGTTGGCGGGCATGTCCTACGGCATCGACCTAAACTACTGGTCCGGTCTCCTCGGACTCGCGCAATTCCAAAAGGATTTCGGCGTCTACGATGCTTCCACACAGAGCTGGATTATCCCCACCGTCTGGCAGAGTGTAGGATCCGGTACTCCCACAGCTGGGATTGCCGTCGGCACTTTGATCGCTGGATGGCTCGGAAACCGGTTTGGAAGGATCAAAGCGTTCTGGGTTGCGGCTGGGATCGCTCTGGTGGGAATTCTGGTGCAGAGTACTGCTGGTGTTGGTGAAGGGAGAGGTGGGGAGAGGGGCTATTGGCAATTGATTGTTGGGAGGATCGTGAATGCTCTGAGTATGGGGATTATCTGCAAGTGAGTACGACCCAAGGAAAGATGATGATGGATTAGGCTGATTTTGTGAACAGTATCATCCCGATCTATCAATCCGAAGTTGCGCCTGCGAAACTACGAGGCTCTTTCGTCAACTCCTACCAGTTCATGCTGCTGTTTGGCGGCTTGTTTGCTGTTATTGTCAATTGGGCTCTGAGCGAAAGGACGGATCAGTGGGCTTATCGGGTCATTCTGATTGTCCAGCTCGTCATCCCGACGATCATGGTTGTTGGTGGTTTCATTCTTCCAGAAAGCCCACGCTGGCTGATTTCCAAGGGGAGAGACGAGGAAGCGGTGAGGGTTTTAAAGTTCTTGAGAAGAGGAACAGCGGATGCGGTTGTGGAGAAGGAAGTGCAGTTGATTGCGCGGAGTGTCGAGGAGCAGCGCTTTGTACTGACGAGAACTGGTTGGATTGATTGTTTCAGGTGAGTCTTTTCAATCCGGCGATGGTTAAGAGATGTACTGATTCACTCTTCTCTGCAGAGGGCCCAATCTCCGCCGCACTCTCATCGCCGTCGGCGTACAATGCCTCCAACCTGCTCAAGGCAATTCTTACATGACGACTTACTCGATTGTCCTCTTCCAGGCAATCGGCATCACGGACGAGTACAAGACGCTCATCTACCTCTACTTTCTGGACCTCGTGGCCGACGGCTGCGCTTTTATTGTTGCGGATAAAATGGGCCGACGGCCGCTCATGTTCACTTCTTCCATCTTAGTCGCGGCATCGCTCTACACCGTCGGCGGTCTCACGGGCTACGCGGACTCTACGAATCCAGCTGTACAAAAGGGTACCCTTGCCGCCATCTTCCTGTGGTACTTCATCGACGCCGTCGGATGGGCCGGATGTGTTTGGATCACGTGTGCCGAAGCTCCCACCACCATTCTCCGCGAACGGACCATGACCATTGCAACTTTCAGCGGCTTTGTAGTCAACTTGCTCATCCAGTACGTCTCTCCGTACCTACAAGATGAAGGGTATGCGAATTTGCAGGGCAAGATTGGATTTGTTTGGGGTAGTTTTGCTATCGTTGCCGCTGTCTGGGTCGCTCTCTTCCTGCCTGAGATGAGCGGGAGGAGTCTGGAAGAACTGGATGAGCTGTTTGAGAAAGGTGTCAGTGTATGGAAGTTTAAGAACTTCACGACGGTGGGTGTCGGGGCGGAAGTCCGGGAGTTGGAAGATGCTGGAAAGGAGGCCGTTCTGGACGAGAAGAAGGTGATTGTCGGTGTAGAGGTGGAACCTGTTGAGATGGGCGACGAGTGCGAGATGGATTCCAAGAAGAAGATGGACGTCTGAATGGCTCTGGACGGATCGTAAGCATCCCCCGAGTGTGCGCACCTGGGGTTCGGGCTGGTATCACATTAACACCGACGTATTATCCGGCTTGGAGAGCCGCAAAGTAACTCGACAATCCGATCTTTCCATACCAGCATGAAGCATACCACCTCGACGGCTTTTTCGTAAAGTTCTGAGGTGCCGTACCTGGCACGTGTTTCGCTTGGCCGTTTGATGCAGGGATCATGAATTTTCGAGGTAAGGTATTACTCCTACGTGGCCGAGTCAGTGGCACGTATATTCTCGACTATAAGATCTGAGAAATATCTTGCTGCTTATGCTGGTAGGAGGTTGTCGCAAAGGGTTTCTACTACTATCTACTACTACTCTTCCAGTATGTACGGTGCGGTCTCCAGACTGTCAGCGCTGCTCGCAGCCGCCAAGGCTCGGAATCCACCTCCTACGGACTCGACGTCTGCAGCATCGCCGTCTATCTACAATGGAGATTGCTGCTCACTGAACATAGGTTACAGTCCCGTAGCTACTGCTGATCAAGCCCAGCGTCTCTCAACCCACAGCTGGGAATTCGGAACAACTTCTGAAGCCTTGCTCGAACTCTACAACCCGGAATATTCTGTCTTTTCGAAGGGAGCTTTCCCCAACGCAACAGCCCCAGAAACTGACGTTGACGCCGTTCCAGCTCTGTGCTATGCGAGAAGATACATCGAATTGGATAGACCAGACGGAAGTCTCATCGATGGCCACGGAGCTACGGGTGATGCTGCAAGCCTTGGCATCAGTGCGATCCTGATCGGACAATCGGATCACAGATATCTGGACGCAGCACGACGACAATTTGAACATTTCAACGATTCGATCCCTCGCTGGCCGAACGGGGCAATGTCCGCACGTGAAGAGCATGCTGAACTCCGGGCGGATTTCATCTCCATGGCGCCTCCTTTCCTCGCATATTACGCCTTCGGACTCAATGAGACGGACGTCATCCGGACGGCTATCATGCAATGTCTGCTCTACCGACAAGTCCTCCAGCCGAATGACACTAGTGCTAGCAGCTATGGGCTGTGGCAACATATTGTCGGCGGCCCTGGAAACGAAGATCTCGGATTCTGGAGTACGGGCAATGGGAGGGCTGCGTACGGCATGGCGAGAGTCTTGGCTTCCACGTTACATTTCCCGCCTCTGCAGGCGGATAAGAAGGCTCACATTGCTATTGCGGATCTTTTCAATTGGATTGGCCTGATCTTACATGGAGCGATGAGAGTGGGGAGGGACAGGTCCGGACTGCTGAGGAATTATCTCGATGACGTGAATTGGTTTGGAGAGACGAGTGGGACGACTCTACTCACCGCGGCTGTCTATCGATTGGTAGTCTTGCAGAAAGAAGCACATCAGCTATTCGTGCAGCAGACGAAAGGAATCGATGGAAAGATTGTCGAGAGGCCGGTAGGGGTTTTCAATCACATTCACATTCACAGAAAAAATGCAACGATGCTGATCGATCATAGGTTACGCCGGAACTTCTCAAATGGGCAGATCAGAACCGACAAGCTGTCGCGGCCCATGTCGACGAGAACGGGATTGCTAGTCCGGCGGTCAATCCCCTTGACTGGACGGATCGCACGCCATATACGAAAGGCAGTCCCGAAGGGGAAAGTTTTCTGGTCATGTTATATGCTGCTTGGAGAGATTGCATACAAGCAGGTGTTTGCCATGATGAGAGCCAGAATTCATGATCGAAGTATGGTGCCCCATTCTGGAAGGGTAGCAGGAGTCTTTTTTTTAGCAGAAAGCGTATAACCCAAAGTCGTTTGAGCATGTGATTCCGTCGATCAGTCTTTAGAGCCTACAAGTATGGACAAGTGAATGGTGAATCCGAATTTACCAGCGGGTGAGCGGCCGGATCCCGTTCACATGTCACAAGGCACGGGCAGCACTTTAGCGCTGTTTCCCAAGCACTCAAATCAGGACCGCAAGCCTTGGGTAACCGCACTAATGAAGAGTCCCACACATCGGAACCGCCAGCCTCGAAGACCCTCCATGCCCGCAAACGCACAATTCCCTCCCCAGTCCAGCACCGCGGAATTGCAATCTGCCATCTACCGCATCCAACGCGATTTTATAGCATCCAAAACATGTCCAACTACAACAGCTACGCAAGCTCTGCAGAATGAGAAACCCTCATCCCTCCCAAGACGAGAAGAAAGCGCCATCGAGATCCTCGAAGATTCAGACGAACGAAAAATCCTCCTCTCATCAGATTTCTTCGACTGACCTCTGGAGTGGAGGATTTGAATTTACAAAGACGAAATTCTTGAACCCAATCGATGGGTACGTATCACCCCGTCTCGCTCGCGTCTCGCGTTTCGAAATAGCTCCGCAAGGACTTCTACGTTTTTTTGTCCGTCGAATTGGTGTTTTGGGAATGCTTTCTCCTCTATTGCGCTGGAGATGCACACCTTCATTTTCCGCCAGCGTCTGTTTTCGCTGAGACGATGCGGTTCGCGGGCTTTCAGACCGCTTATCAAGCTGTCTGGAGAAGGGGGGTGCATAGCAATGGAAAGGTGCAAGTGTTGTGGTGTCACGAACCTAGGGCGGTGGATAAGCGGTCGGTGGAGAGTGGGTGCGGTAGGATGATGGCGGATCTGACCAAGGCTGTCGTTGGCATTCTGGGTCGTTTGGGAGATTGGGATGACTTGTTTGCTGTGCCTTGTGCTTCGTGCTTTCTGGGTTAGAAAAGAGCAGGGCTCAGCCATATGGAACTCCCTCTTGCAGACCTCCTCCTAATTCGCACGTCAAATTCTAGTAGAGGAACAGAAGTCTAATCATATGCCATGAGATTCATTTCAAGTATCTGTACAGTCTCCTCTGCACTGCGTCGTCTCCAACCAAAAAAGCGCAGCGCTCAAGATGAAAACTCCCATCTCACGCCTTGCTGATCTCCGGCGTCTGACTGAAAGAATGCCCCCTTACGCCCGAGCTCTCGGGGATCTCCTTCCCGCTCACGTCATTCACTCTCCCATCTTCAGGCACCTTCTCCACTTGTGCTCCGCTCTCCATACCAGCGGCATCCTCCTTACGGATGTTCCTCGCACCGCGGTCCAAGTAGAGAGCATCCGCTGTGACGAGGTCTTCGTTCGCAGGCGGTTCCCACTTGGAGCTCTGCCAGGGCTTGACGTGCGTGATGTACATGGTGTCGATTTCCTCGAGTGATTTCCCTTGGTGTTCCTCGAGGAAGAAGTAGACGATGGGAATAGCGATGAACGAGCAGGAGGCGAAGATATAGCCGTACTGGAAGTCGATCGCCCCGGTGATGAATGGGGAGAAGAATCTGCGAATCATCAGTCTTGAGTTGGACAGGGCTCGGCGAGCATAACTTACGAGATCAGGAAGTTCCACGTCCAGTTGGAAGCAGAACTGATGCCCATACACATGGTCCTGTAGCGCGTGGGGAAGAGCTCGCCAACAACGACCCAAATGACCGGTCCCCAAGTCATGGCGTATCCAGCGATGAAGAGACATGCGAAAACAACCATGACAGTTCCCGGCCCTGGCGTGCGGGCGGGATCCGTGAGGTCCAACTGGAAGTGGCCGACGGAGCTGAAGACCATGAAACACATGAACATCCATGCCGCTCCCCACATCAGAGCGCGGCGACGGCCGATCTTTTCAACAACCCAGAGTCCAGGGAATGTCATTCCGAAGTTGACTGCTCCCAGGATGATAGAGGTCACGTAGCTGTTGGTCAGACCGGTAGACTGGAAGATGGTGGTGCCGTAGTAGAAGAAGAAGTTTGCACCAGTCAGTTGTTGGAGTGCTTGGAGGGTCACTCCAAGGAGTGTCCGGTATGCCATCCGTGGACCAGTGAAGATCTCATACCAGACGTGCTTGCCGCCTCCGGCAAATTCGGCATCGTACTTTTCCTTGATTTCGCGCATCTCTCTGTCGACTTCCCAGTGGTGGATCGGCACGCCATACGCTCTTGCTACGCTCTGACGCGCACGCTCGATGTTGTTGTGGCGGTAGTCCCATCGCGGCGACTCGGGGAGAAAGAGGATACCGATGGCCATGAGAACAGGCCAAATGAATCCAACGCCCATGGGAATGCGCCATGCCGATCCGTTCGTGTTCGTCTCGGTTCCAAAGTTGATCAGGTATGCCACCAGAATGCCGAAGGTGATGAAGAGCTGGTAGGTTCCGACCATGGATCCACGGATCTGGCGAGGCGCTGTTTCGGATTGGTACATGGGAGTCAAGACGGAAAGACCGCCCACTCCAAAACCAGCGACCCACCTGCCGAGGGCCACCTGATACCACTTGTCTGTCGAAGTGATTTGGATGATAACACCGATACAGAACATGATGTTCCAGCAGATGATACAGATCTTTCGACCGAACTTGTCCGCAACTGGAGCCGACAAGAGAGCGCCAAACATGGTGCCTAAACGAATTAGCACACAGCCATATCTCAGATTCTGCTGATGTTGCTCGTACCAATCGACAGCAGACCGACGATGGTTCCAGAGACTGCATTACTGAACGCGTAGGGGTCTTGGGAAGTGCCATTTCCTTCATTGTGGAATCTGCGGAGGAAGTCTGGCATTTCGAGGAATCCAGAGATTTGACCAGTGTCTGTTCATCATTCTTAGCAACATTCTCAGACGAACAAAGACGGCGATACACACCATAACCGAAGATGAAACCACCTATCGACACAATCGACGCGACTGCAAAGGTGTACGGTCTGAATACCTTGACTTTTGAATTGTCGCCGCCCTTCTTCTCCATATCCAGAGCGCCCTCATGCGGGGATGCTCCATCGCTTCGGGGAGTGGTCTCTCCAGATTCACCTGACTGAGACTTGTTTCCCTTGAGGGACTTTAATAGAGAAGCCATGCCGGTCAGGAGGTGAAGGGAAGAATTGCGTGTCGAGAGATGTGGTGTTCCAGACGATTGGAGCACGACTCCATGTGGAGGCCCGCAGCTTCTTTAACGCAGCGTCCGGAGACCCCAGCGGGCAGGAAGAGCAGCCCGCATGAGTCGCATCGCTCTCCAGTCCTGGTGCGCCGGCGCGCTTCCGAGTTGGCGGTGGAGTCGCAAAGCCGCACTGTGCGCCAGCGACAGACGTCATTCCCAATCCTCTGTTTCGGCACTCTTTCGGCTCTCGTCTCGGCATCACCGCCGCAGCTGTCTTTCCTTTGCTTCTTTGTGGACAATGCAGATAGGACTCTGTCGGCAGTGTTCTCTTCTGCGTGTCTCAATCTCGCTCCATCTTCCATCGGATTGACCATTCTTTCGCTGTTCGAGTTGATGCGACGTCATCTCAATCGTCGAGATAAGCTTTGGAGCGGCGGAACTCTCGCGGCAACGGCAGTTCTTGCCGAGCGTTCCGGAGCGGCCCTTGCGATGTGCACGTGTGAAAGTTGGTGGCAATGGCAAATGGAAGTCTGCTGACTCCTCAACGTTACATTCTCCTGCTCCTCCACTTGCCTGCGCCCGGAACAATACCTCAGCTTGGTGCGGCTCAATGACCAAAGCAGCAGCCCACCGTCAATAGCCGCCAAACAGCCGGACATATCGCGGTCTTGGCCAACGCGTATCGCGGCGATGATGACGATGCTGTCTCTGCCGATTGTCCAAACCGACGTGCACTGGACTGGACTGGACTGATGAAGAGATGCCGATGTTGCTTATGAATGCTTCTGCTCGCCATTCGGCCTTGGCTGTCCTCCATACCGGATGCCGAGTCCGACTCGGAAAATCTGTCATCCAATGTCATATCTGACGAGGCCGTCTATCTTGGTTAGCGTGCGTCGAAACATGGCGCCAGAAATCCACCCACATTTCATCTTTCGAGACGAGCGGTACGAGAAGAGCAAATCGAAAGGAACAATACATCGTACGTTGTGGTGCCGATGTTGAAGAAGACTTTGAGACAAAATATGGTCTAAGGCCATCGGCGGAGAAAGCTACCAAGCCAGGAAAGCCCACTCTTGATTGATTCGACCACGCGCATCAAGTGGTTCAAGAGAGTTTCTTGATAGCGAAAGTGTTCATCGAGCAGTCTTCCAGCTTCTCCCAGTGTATGAAGACCTACGTAGCTCAGGTAACACACGTCTCTCACTCACATCCCACTCCAACCACCATCAACGCTCCAAACCTGTCCCGTCACATAGCTACTCTCCTCTCCAAGCAGAAACAGCGTAACCTTGGCCAACTCATCCGGCTGCGCTTTACGTCCCATCGGAACAACACTCTTGAACCATTGATCATACCCTTCGTTCTTTCCAACAAAAGCCGCCGACATTGGGGTCTCAACAGTGCCGGGTGCCACGGCATTGATACGAATCCTCTTGGAGGCGTAATCCGATGCGCAGATCTTGGTGAGGCCTGCGACGCCGTGTTTGGAGGCTCCGTAGGCTGCTAAGCCGGGGAGGCCTCGAATACCGGCAATCGAAGAGGCGTTTACGATGGACGAGCCGGGTTTTAGGTGAGGGAGTTGGACCTTGAGACAGTGCATGACGCCCTAATTCGAAAACATCACACGATCAATTCGACAATTTATAAAGAGATGTGAGTTCCATCAAACGCACCGTGAGATTTATACCCAAGACTCTCTCCCAATCCTCTTCATCCTGATCTTCAATGATTTTCCCATTTTGTGAGGCAAGGACTCCAGCGAAATTTGCCGCTCCATCTAGCTTGCCGAACTTGTCGATTGTGTTTTGGATCCAGCTTTTGACGTGTTCGAGGTTGCGAACATCGCATACGGAAGTCAAGATCTTGTCTTCGGAGCCAATGCTGTTTGCTGCTTCTTGAAGACCTTTCTCGGAGATATCCGCCAGGCTGATCTTTGCTCCGCGTGCGTGTAGGTGTTTGGCGATGGAGAGGCCGATTCCCGAGGCGGCGCCTGTGATTGCGTAGACTTTTCCCTCGAAAGACATGTTGGGCCGGGCGAGAGAGGTAACGAAGATGGGAGTGGCTGTTTGATTTGAAAGAGGAGAAGAAGTTGCTCGGATTTATTCTTGAGCTGAAGCTTGCCTTCCGTGTAACTCTTACCGTCTCATCTGGGGCCACACATAGCCTCCCAGGATATCTGCAACCGCTGTTTGCACTCATTGGCGCCACATGTTCTGTGCCGTCTACCTCGAACCTATAAGAATGGGTCGCACAACTACTGTATACCCCGCAAAGGTGCTGCTGTGGATATGTTGTGAAGTTTTCGGCTACGTATTTCCTTGAGCCAAGATCGGGAGCACGTCGACGTTGAATTGCTCGAGAGTGATGCGTGTGGAGCTCTGAGATGATCCAAAATGATGTCCAGAAGAGGATGATAGTCGTATCATGATGGAGAACGATGCGCTATAATGTTTCGTGATGGGGTGAAGTCTGTCGGACGGAAGTGTTTCTCTCCAATGGCCTGAGCTTTTGCAGTACCTGGGCTGTTTCTCTTCTTCGTATATATGCATTCTAGGTCGTTCCCGTTATCAATTCGATACTTTAAGGTTGTAAGATGGAGAGCGATGGAAACGTCAAAATAGAAAGTTGTTGATGGCAGCCAGCTAAGCACGGACCAGCCAAAGCATGTGCGAGTCGGCATGATGACGTTGCCTCCGACATCCAACCACCACGCCAAGCGACTTCGTCTCCCTTTTACACTTCCCTCCTCCTCTCCTTCAATGTGTGCATCAAGGCATGATTGGGAGGTCGTGTGCGTGGAGGCGGACAGCAACATCATGCTCGCGATACGGCGCGCCCACAGCACGGCTGTTTCACTCGACGGCCGGCCTCAGAGACAATCACTACGAAACACTGGGTATCGCGACTACTGCCACGCATACAGAGATCAAAAAGTGCGAAGGATACTTCAGGATGGGTCAGATGTGTACTGATCATGTGCAGGCAATTCTATAAGCTTTCCAAAGCCAACCACCCTGATCTCCACCCGAACGACCCAGCGAAAGCGAAACAGTTTGTAAAGATCAGCGAGGCGTATGCGACGTTGGGATCAGAAGAGAAGAAGGCTCGGTATGATCGAGACTTCATGCGAGTGCAACAGGCGGGACCTACAAGTAGCCATACACCACACGGTAGCCATTCTTCAGCCACGACCGGACCGGGAGGTCGACCAGCCAGCGGTCTTAGTCGAAGACGCACGCAATTTCATGGTCCACCGCCGTCTTTCTATAGGAGCGGAGGGTGGGGTGAGCACTCCGAGAAACGCAGTGAGCACGCATCCAAGGCCTCCCACAGCCACGAAGCAAGAGGAGAATCGGCGAGTGGACCCGCAGGACCAGGTATGGGACCAGGAGGCTTTGCGCAGGGAGTGGATAATGATGTGCCCCATTTCGACAACCGCGCGCATACACGCACACACAGCGAGATAGAGCGGAATAGACACCGGACACGACGGAAGCGAGCGGTGCGATATGAAGAGGCGGATTTGGGCGGCGGGAGCAGTTCGATCTTCAATTTCTTTGTGATATCCGGTTTGCTGGGGTCCATTGCTCTGTTCTCCTCGGCTGCCTATGGAGCAGCTGTACCAAGCCAGAAGAAGCAATCAAACGACAGTTGACCGATGTCTTAGACTCATCGGGAAATTCACTCAGCGACTTAATACTGACCAAACAGGATGAGCAGCGACTAATCTACAAGCTGAGATACTGGAGTTCGAGTTACAAGCATCCGAGACTCGACGCGACAATACACTTGTTGAAGGATTAAGGTGCGGCTTGAGACATTGGTCATGGCCTCCACAGATGTTTCACGGTGCATTGCCATAGCTGAGGATGCTTCACGAACTCTACTAAAGGAGCTCGAGATAGCGCCAAAGGATTATGCCCGCCCGGTGACTGCAAGTTTGCCCTGGCCGCATGTCGCACTGGAAGTTGCTAGACACTCGAGTTTTCTGGTACAGACGAGGACGACTGTTCAGGGCGTGACTCAAGAAGTGCAATCATCTTGCCCGCCCTCTCGTCCCTGTGTCTGACACATTGTCGGCCAATTCACATCCCTGAACGCGAGCGCTGGCCCGCAGAAGTGATTGGAGTCGTGGAAATCTGCATCGCGGCTGTGCTGGAAGCAGCTCGACCTTGTTCGACACGTGTTTTAATTCACTGGCCCTGCTGCTTGGCCCAGCTCGCGTGCTATAAAGGAGCACCCGCTTCTCCCCTCTGCGACCCTCACCTCGACAACCACAGGACACCCGGTCAGCACCTCGCGCTTCGTTGGAATCTACTTCAGCTTCGGCAGCAACAAGGCAGCAACGCACTCTGCCCTCTACCGCCTGGCTAAGCCCACAACGCGCCCTCAACAGAGGACCCCTGACGCTCGACTCGCTCCCTGTCTACTCCCTCGGCACCAATTACAACCGCCCGAGACTCATCATCCAGACTCGCAACGTCCACACACACCACGATCGCAATGGCCAATCATCAACAGGCATCCAAGGCTCGGGCCTTAGGACTTGATAAGCCCAGCGAACTCCTTGGCCCGGGCGTTTTCATGTCCATGGGAACGACTCCCAAGAGCAAGACGCGTGAGTCGGTGTTGAAGATGATACAAGCGTATGCCTTCTCGGCCACGAAGCCTCCCTTCAGCATTGAGGAGCTTGTCATCATGTCGGTGATTGACCAGAATGAACCAGTCACGATCCTGGAGGCGCAAAAGTGGGTGTATCACGCTATCGGATACTATCGGGAGGAGATTTTGAACAATCTCTTGTCAGCTTCTGTGCTACAAGGTCGCAATGCGGTCGTTCCTGGAGTATACGGTGACGTGCGAGATCGTTTAACGCCTCAATGGGGTCCAATAGTACACCGCGCTGGAGATTATAGGCGAGGCTATGCGGATGGCTGCTATCACGACTGCAGCCTCCTGTTCCGGAAAGCGTTCTACCGTATGGACCTTCCTCTTGAGAAAGTCAGCATGGCAACTTCAGCGATCTTTAAGGCACACCTGCCAGAAGACAAGTGGTTTGTCCCGAGTAACGAGGTCATTTACTTCTCCCAGAGTCTCACATCGAAGTACTTGCCAGACCTGTCAGACAAAGGCAAGACAAAATGCGGACGCTTCCGCTTCCTGGATTTGCTCCCGGAGATTAGAGTAATCATCTACGAACTGGTGTTCGCGATGCCCAAGAGCGGCGTACACGCGAGGACTGTCTTTTCCGGTCCTCCCAAGGTCGCTCTCATGACGGTGACGCGCGACTACGACGCTCCACTCACTATGGACCCTCCAACGCAGCGAAGTGGGTATCAGTGTCCGCCGTTGTCTGAGCTCTTCGCCTTCACCCTCGTCAACAAGAAAATCTACGAAGAGTCCGCCCATGTCTTCTACGCCATCAATACCTTCAACTGCGACAACCTCAGGCAGCTCGAAACCTTCCTTCGAGCCGTTCCTTGCCAATTCCGTCAGCATCTTACCCACCTCACCTTCACGCATTGCCCCAGCTATGCTGGTTCAGCTTGGAATGCTTGCGAGCTGCTAACGAATACCAAGAATCTCAAGAAATTGGATATCCAGGTCGACGAGAAACCGTGGCTAAGATGGCTGGCGTCTAGGAGTAGTTCGCAGGCTGCACCGAGTGTTTCGAGGATTCCAGGTTTGGTTACTCTGCGGGATATGCGAGGATTGAAAGTTCGATTCCATGGGGATTGTGAGGGTGTGAAGGAGTATTTGGAGCGTTGGATGACGATGGCGAAGCCGAAATCGGAAGCTGAGGCCGCGGCCGGCAATACTATTGAGGAGTCGAACGATGGCAAGATCATTGCGAAGCGCAAGGCGGTTGACGATGGCCAGGAGGGCAAGAGAGCCAAGAAGGGAAAGGGACAGACTGCGGAGGGCGAGGTTCTTGCGATTGAGCGAGTGAGGTCTTTGGACGGCGGTGAGCAGAAAATGTGAGAGGTTATGCGGGAAGTGTTTGTGAGGGTTTGAATTACTGCACATGTCTGCTGTTGGCATTGAAGACGTGGACAGCGGGCAAGATAACAATTGGCAAAAGGCATGGCAAGTACTTTTGGTATGTGATATGGTGGATCTCCTACTCCATTTTCTTTTTCTTCAATATTTCTCTATCTCAATTCTGAGGCCATTCTTTCCCAATTCAGTGGCGCGAAAATAACGGCCCCGGAATGGCTTGCCGCGTAGGTCTGTGCACCCGCCCAGGCAGCCGCGTGCAAGGGCCAGCTGACATGTGAACTTCAAAAGGTCAAATTCTCAAACACTACTTCACCTCACTTACATAACTTTTACGAACCTCTCTGCAGCCACAACACCCTTAACTGTCACCCTCCTCCCACAGCACCTACGCATTTCCTGCAGACATCTTCAACAATGGCTTCACACGCGCGCGCACGGAACAAGCGCTTTAGCGCTGATAATGTGGAGAAGAAGGCGATTCGCACGCTGATCAGGAAGATTATCGAACCGTTTCGCAGCATGCAAGAGAAGCCGCCCTTCAATCTGGAAGATCTCATCGTCATGGCGCTTATGGAAAAGTCAAGGAGCGCTGAGTCAGTTCAAAGATGGATCTTCCTCAATTTCATCTACTACAGCGAGATGGCATTTCGCCATGCCTGGAAGACTACGCTTGGCTCACCTACAGACCCCGGCCATCGACTGATAAATTTCGCATCCCATTTGGACAAGGCGTTCAGAACATACGACATCCCTCTGGAGAAAGTCAAAGGCGACCCTCACATCCTCAGCCTTGACAGTGACGAATGGAGTGTCCCCGCCAACCAAGGCATGGTTTTCCTGCGAGATGTTATTCCGCAGCGCGAGGCTCAGATGATCAAGAAGCCTTTTCGCTTCCTTGATCTCCCTCCAGAACTTAGGGAGAAGATCAACTCCATCGTTCTCAGCTTGCCAAAAAGTGGCGTGGCTGCCCGCAGCGTTGGGGCCAATCGTCGAATGAGTCTTCTTGCGAGGACACGAGGACACGACGAGCCATTCGAATTTGCTGATGGGACGCAATACGTCTACGAGTGTAGACCTCTGTCGGTACAACTTGCACTTCTGCTATGCAATAAGCAGATCTTCCAGGAGACAAAGCACCTCTTCTACAGCATCAACACGTTCATATGCGACCATCAGTTTGCATTAGGTGAGGTACTTCGGCAACTCGCTCCCGGGCGTCGCAAGCATCTAGGCCACGTTGCTTTCAAGTACGATCCCATCGGTGCGGTTGACCAAGCCAATATCAAGCTACTCGGTGAGATCGAGCATCTACGCGAGCTGGACATCAAAATTGACGAGAATGTGTGGCTGGCGCGGAAGAACCGAAATGGCACTCCGAGGTACCCCTCCGTCTTGGATATTCCGGGAATACGCATATTACGCAATATGCGTGGATTGAAGAGAGTTAACTTCCACGGCGATTGCGAGAAGATCAAAGCGGCCCTGGAGAAAGAAATGATCAAACCCAAGCTACGGAAGAAGGTGAGGGAGAGTCGGAAGAGGAAGGCTGCGAATGAGAGTGAGACGAGCGAGAAGGGAAAGAAGATGAAGAATAGGTTGCAGGAAGGTGGAAGCGGCTAGAGTGATATACTGTGGAGACATGATCGACGGGCGGTGGCCGGTTGAGAGCATCTTGGTATGGTTTTGCTTTGCCAGTCCTTTTCAAATGATGTGTAGGGGCTCTTTTGTAGCACGGGACCTCTTGCACGTCGCAATGTATGGAACGAGAGAGATGCTAGCCTCAGAATTTCTTTCCAATGTCAATTTCAGCCAATCGAAGTGCCGCAGCAGCCTCTTTGGCTACGATACATGTAGCTTTTCGAATAGTGATTCGAAAGCTGAACCCGAGCTGATATCGGACGCTACATCACGAGGAGAGATTTCAAGAACTCAGAAAAGCTGGTATTGGGCCTTGTGAAGAGATACAACCTGGAAGTGTCTAGATCTTGTAAAAGTGAAAACTAGTCTGGCATGTGAAAGTGGAGACTTTCGGAACCTGCCGGCGGATCTTCGGGAATGTTTCGAAGTCACCTCCACTTCGCGCCTTCCCACTCCATCTCCAACACACATCTAGACATCACAACTAGCCACGAATCCCACTGCCGCGATCGCAGAAACACTCACACTATCCACTATGGAACGCCCCCGCGCACGCATATCGCGACCGGTCAAGCCTCGAAAAGCAGCGAGATGGACCAAAACACCCTTCCACGCCCGACCGAGTGGCCCGCAGCTGGAGCGCTGGTCGCGTGCGATATCAGAACAGGCCGGCATCCCCAGCAGGAACTACGATAGATATAACGTGCAGCTGGATGTTCCGACTTACGATGACGAGAAATACGAGAAACACTTGACAAACAACGAGTGGACGAAAGAGGAGACAGACTATCTCGTGGAATTATATCGCGACTGCAACGCGAAGTGGCCGGTGATAATCGATCGGTATGAATTTGAGGGCGGGCCGGAGCGCACTATGGAGGACTTGAAGGCGCGATTCTACTCGATATCTGCCACGTTGCTGCAGCTTGCGACGCCGATAACTTCAATGACCGCGACCGACTACAGCCTGTATGAGACGTTGACGAATTTCAACCCCGCACAAGAGACATCGCGAAAGAAGCTGGCAGAGGGACATCTCTATCGAAAAACAAACGAAGTGGATGAAGAGACGGTATTGCTGGGTGAACTGCAGCGCATCATGTTGAATCAGGCGACATTGGATTCGCAGAGGGAAGAGCTGCGGCAGCGGTTGGATTATCCGGTCAATACCGCGGGAGGGCAGCAATATACCACATTCCAGCAGCTCACGCAGCTTTGGCAGCATCTGTTGTTTCAGGATAGGCAGAGGAAGCAGCCTAGAATGCGGCCGACAGGTGAGATGTGTAGCATTCTAGTCATCGGGCGGGCTAACAATGTTGCAGGCAATCCTACGTATGATGGTTTCCCAGCGATGACGCCGCAATCCGCTCGTCCTCGCGATTCCATTACTGGACAATCCGATGCGGCGGGGTCACTACCTAGCAGACGTCCAACCCGCGACTCTCTACCTTCCGCGACTCCACAAAGTACACTACCAGTCGACCTTTCGAAAGCCGATCAGCAGCGCTTTGGTGTCGTGATACAGCCGGAGAGCAAGCTTCAAGGTGGTGTCACTTTCGCCAGTGACAAGCTGTCGAAACCGAGAACTGCCAAGTCGACCATTCAAAGCGAGAAGATTGGAGCAATCCTTACGGCGATTGGTGTGCCTGATCTGATCCCTATACCGACGCCGCCGGTTATCGAGCAGTTCGAAGGGGTCATGCAGAAAGTGCATCAATTGTTGGAGATGAGAAAGGTGGCAGAGAAGGATGAGCAGGAATTGAGGGTGCGACAGGCAGAGGCCGGTTCGTGATGATTCCGCGCTGAGGGCTTGATATTGAGACATGGTCTGCCGCCGTTGTATGGATACGAACCGGAGGAGAGGGTGGTTTTGAAAGATTTGCATGATACCCCACTGAAAAGCATCACATTCCATCCAACACGCATTAAATTCTACCCAACACCTCACTGGACTCTGCCTGCTCATGGCAGCTCACACACGACACAGCTCTCTACTTTCGGGCAGTGTCCGATCAAACAAGGTCTTCAACGATATGTCGGATCGGGAAATCCGAATACACTGTCTTTCGTGTGAGAGACATGTCATTATCAAACGCCAGTTCCTGAAGGTTGACCTCGTGTCTAACACAGCATCAAGCGGTCACATTTTCGGTTTTCGAGATAGACGCTCTAGTCTCCTTGTCTCAGCCTCGGGTCTTACACAATTGTCTTGTCATATTCGAAGACATTCCAGGACAGCATGGCCCCACGGATATATAACCAGATCATTATCATGAGTAGACTTTCTTCTCTCAGATCCAAGAACAGCAATCGAGCCACCAAGAGCAGCGACCCCGAATAGTTCCTCCGGCCAAGACCAAACCACCCCATCACACAACTCTCCAACCTCGAAATCCGCTAGACATGGCAAAACGCCACAGACAACCCAATGACGACGACGACGACCAAGGTCGCCCAACAAAGCGTCAACGTCGACACCACTGGGCTCAAGCCAGAAGCGCACTCACACAGCTGATTCTCGCCTATCTAGCAGCGCTGGAGAATCAGCATCGTCTCCAGCAGACCGGGAGCCAGGCCAACTGCAATACCGGTATCGTGGCAGCGGCCAAGGCGCTGGAGCCTCACGTGGAGATCTGCCGCTTTCCCTACAGTGTGGCTACTCCAGGGACCGAGGAGGACGCGAGCCCAGAGCCGAGGGAAACGCAGCAGGCTGGGGCGGAGCGGGAAGGCCCAGAGGAGAAGGATGCGGAGCAAGGAGAAGAACAGGAAGCTAGAATGACTTTCGCAGCCGAGCAGGAAATCGAGGCAGGAGCAGTTCCGGAACAAGAAGCACCAGAGCAGGCGGAGCCCGAGCGGGAGACTCTGCAGCAGGGCAACGCAGCGGAGTCGAATGGGCAGGAGGAAAGCAAGGACGAGTCCAAGCCAGTCAGTGAGAAGTGAGCGCAGCGGCGAGATCATCTGGTAGGCCACATTTGTCAAGAAGCTGGAATGTCCAGTGCCGTATAGAATCAAGTACAGTGCCTAGAAGGCCAAGGCCTCGAATTTCATTTGTTTCTTCTCGCGATGCTTCCAGTACCGCTGTTCACCTCACTTTTCAGTTTGTACACGGGACCTGAGATGGATGTCGACCTCTTGTTGGAAAAGTACTCAGTATCCCAGACGTTCGGAACAACTCGTGTGGAGTATCTACTGCAAGGATTGATATAGCTTGGTATGACTCTCACATTTCCTTGCCAAGTTGGACTTGTGAAATGAACTCCTCACGAAGCATACTTCTCGTCCAGCAGCATCCAAGGCGGACAGTGATCCAGACATCCTCGTGGTCGAGTTGTGTTCGAGGTGGAAATGCAGTCTCCGTGTATTCTTACGAATAGAAGCACCCGAAAGCACCCGCGTCGTGAACTTGTACTAGAACACCTCCTGGACTGGCTTATGTTCAAATATCAGCAACGTACACGCTCCGTGAAGTCCGGGTTCAGAATTAGCATTAGCACCATCAGACAGCTAGCTCACCATGCCACTGACACAACCTCTCCAACTCTCGCTAACCCTCAAACCTCCATACCGCACTGCAGCTACCATTGCCTCCTCCTTCTCGCAAGCCAATCTCGCCTCATCCAAGTCGAACGTCATCCAACCTAATAAAAGCTCCCAAAGCAATGGACTCAAAGGCGTTGAATTCAATAAAAGTCCTCGCTACGCGCGAACGCGAATCAGCTCGCAAACAAAACAAAGCGAAGCCACAGGCATCGGATTTAAGTCCGAAGCGCAAAACACCACCCGAACGCAGTCGGTCATGGACAGCTCTCGCGGATGATTAGCGACCCTGCGGGGAATGCTTGTCCGGGACGGGGAGTGATTGCTGGTTGTTTGGAATGGTCTTGGCGGGAAAAGCATGTTTGGTGACGAGAAAGATTCGGAAAGAATGTGCAAGGATGGTATGGACCATTCTCAGGAGAGATGGTAGGGTTTTATGACTGTTCTTTCGGAGGAGCGGAGCGGGTGTGTTGTCCTGATTGATGTGTGCACTGGAGCCGGAGATGTCGGGTGTAGTGCTCGTGTTGGATATGATGCTTCACGTGATTTGTAGAAGCTTACCTGGACCTCGAGCCTGTTTTGCTTGGTTTCCGTCTTATAGAGGGAACGCACCTGTTTGGTAGGCACGACAACTGTGCTGTCTCTAGTTGATCTCGAAAAGGTGTTGAGGTATGGCTCACCATGTTACCGCATGCTGATTTGTAGAGAACTCGTCCGTTATCGCTGTCACTGCCTGTCTCTGGTCTACTTCCCCAGCATTATCTCATCCGCTTTCTGCATACTCTCGAGCGCCTGGCTAGTTCTTCCGAAAAGACACTTTCTCCACGCCGACATTCTCATTACCCTCTGCATCCTTCTTCAGCTGGTACACATACAGCACCAGCACGTCCCCTTGCACGTCCATCAACACGAAGCTGGGTATGTTGTTCTCGTCCTCTTCTTGCTCTGGCAATGTCTCGTCGAGCCAGCTCACAGCGCCTGTTGCGGAGCCGGGATTGACGAAGAATTTGCCCTCCATCTCATACGCTTCAAACTTGCATGTGCCGCCCCAGCATAGCACGTCGACATCCATCTGTCGTGCGGCGATCAGGAGAGCATCTGGGTCGCCTGGGGGAATGATCGAGTCGCCGTGAGTGAAGCCGATGCGCAGGCTGCCGTGAGTGACCACCTTGCTCAATGCAGTCGGGATTGGAAATGTGGCTTCTGCGGCAGTACTCTGAGGTTGTTGGCCTTGCTGGAAGGGCGCAGCGGGAGCTGTCGTCGTGAGCGGGATATCGAAGTCACCCTTGACGAGCTGCAGATCGGGCGCCAGCGTTCGGAGGAAGGCATATACGGAGGGAGAGGTAAGGTTGCCGAGACATAGTACCTGGCCGATCTTTCCGGGTGTGAGGAGCTTCTTGAACTGTTCACACTCTCAGTACATGTGCAAAGCATTGAGGTATGATGTGTATACCTTTGCGGGAATGTCCTAGCCAGCCGGTCAGCTTGGCCGGTGCTTCATGTCAGATCACAACAAGCGCTCACAATTGCCCGGTCCGGAATGAAGAGGTCGCCGAGCACGAGCACCAATCTCGACGACATGTTGACTGTGTGTTGGTTGTTGGTTATGATTGGATGTTGATGCCAGAGAGGAAGGTGAAGCTCGTGACGCCAAGAATTTCGGAGATCGGCAGCCTTCACCGATGCGCGCGGTCCAGATGCACGAGCGCAGCATCCATACATCCGTCTTTCAAATAATAATGACCTATGTCGCCGTCGCCAGCTACTCTCTTCGACTCTCCCACTTCCCCTCCGCCCTACGTATTCCACGCCCTGCCACTGTGGCCTTCAGGACTCCCCCGTACCACGAAAACAGACCGGATTGAGGGAGAGGAGACGATATCAGGGGTCTGGGCATTCCATCTCAGAGTCTGTGGCTCATTGATCTACTTGAGACAGACACATGAACCTCAGAGTCGACGGCGTCTCCCGCAGTGTCCGGCGGAGCATCCATCTGCGCACACTGCGATTTCCACACGGCGAGCGGATCCGGCTGCCAGGTACATATACCGACAGACCAATCTCCAATTGGGCCTATCTCACTCCCGCACGTCATCCCGCCGCCGCAATATCCGCCCCGCGTACCCCTCCTTGCAGATATATCTCTAGTCCGAGATTCATGTCTCCCAAGGACAGAGCCGGCCTGATCTCCAGTCACTTGGACTACTCCAAAGCTCACGACGTGCCTCTCAACACTCCCTACTCCATCGAGCGAGACTCATCCGTCGACGACTTCAATCCCAGTCCGTGGGCCGGTCCTGAGCAGAAGCGAGACTTTTCCCACCAAGCCGTGTCGTTGGAGGAAGAAGGAAAGAGAGCAAAACCTGCCGCAGAAGTCAACATGTCCAAGCAACCGCCGCATCCCACGCTCCTCATTCCAGGACCGATCGAGTTCGACGATGAAGTCCTCCAGGCGATGAGCCACTACTCGGAAGGACATGTCGCCCAACCATTCGTGAATGTCTTCGGCGAGGTCTTGACCATGCTGCGGACGGTCTTCATGACCAAGGATCCGTCCAGCCAGCCGTTCGTGACCTCCGGCTCGGGTACACTGGGGTGGGACATGGTCGCCGCGAATGTGACAGAGCCCGGCGATGAGGCATTGGTGTTGCATACGGGATACTTTGCCGATAGCTTTGCGGACTGTTTCGAGACGTATGGCGTCAAGGCCACGCAATTGAAGGCGCCAATTGGAGACAGGCCACAACTGCCCGAGATAGAGTCGGCGCTGAAGCAGAAGAAATACAAGGTCATTACAATCACCCACACCGACACTTCGACCGGTGTCCTGTCCGAAGTCAAGCCATTGGCCGAGCTGGTTCGCAAGGTGTCTCCTGAGACTCTCATCGTTGTCGACGGTGTGTGCAGTATTGGGTGCGAGGAGCTCCGTTTCGACGAGTGGGGCGTTGATGTCGCTCTCACCGCATCCCAAAAGGCGCTCGGCTGTCCGGCTGGGCTGTCCGTGGTGATGGCGTCCGGTCGTGCCATTGAAGCGTTCCGAGCACGCAAGACTCCTCCAACTTCGTACTTTGGATCCTGGAAGAACTGGCTGCCCATCATGCAAAATTATGAAGCCAAGAAGCCATCTTACTTCGCAACACCCCCACCGCAGCTCATCCACGCTCTGCACGTTTCCTTGAAGCAAATCACTGCAAAGCCGATGGAAGATCGGTTCGCCAAGCACAGGGAAGTCAGCTTGAAGGTCAAGAAGGCCGTTGCGGAATTGGGTCTCAAGCAGCTCGCCTCGAAACCGGAGAACCAGGCAAACGGGATGACGGCCATTTGGTTACCAGAGGGCATGTCGCCGCCAGAGGTGCTTCCTAACTTGCTCAAGAAGGGCGTCATCTTCGCCGGTGGTCTCCATAAAGAGATTGCCGCCAAGTACGTCCGATTCGGCCATATGGGTGTGTCTGTTACCGATCCGGCTCGTGGTGATATCGACAAGGCGTTGGCTGCGCTGAAGGAGGGCATTGAGGAGGCGAAGGCTGCGAAGAAATAAATGGAGCACCATACAAAAATGTAGAGGGAAAAACATCTCAGGCTGTTGAAATAGGTACAACAAATCCAAATCTCAGCCCAATCTCCTCCCATGCGTCTCTGTCGTTGTGTAATCAGCCTTTACCGTCCAATTCTCACTTCGGAGTTGGCTGCTCACCTCAGACTCGTCTCGAATACCTCAATTATCCAGCCGTCGATCAGATGTCCTCTCTTCTGGGGAATTCGACGACAAAGACCGCGGCGGCGGCGATACTGATGATGAGCTCTCCCACCCTGCCCTACCAAGATACTCCCTCACCGCTTCCGGCGTGGACAACGTGACGGCCGGCGCAGGCCAGCCTCCTTCCGGCGGCGATTTGGACTCTGCCCCCTGGAGTGGCGTGCTCCGGCTGTAGTCTCTCGGCGCGCGATTGCACCAGCCTCGAACCTGGGAAGAAACCCAAGTGAGCTAAGGTAGCTGGTGGAAATTTTCCATCGAAGGGCGAAAAAAGCAAACAGGAGGAAGGGAATTTTTTCTTTACTTTGTTGCGTTTCCGCCCTGCGTTCGGACGGGAGAGATGGCGATCTATTGCGCCGGAGAGTTGGACTGCGACGATCTGTTGTTGTGGTTGTGAGTGTGAGTGTGGGAATTTGGGAAAGGGATTTCACCTGACGGACTGTGGTTGCGGCGCCGATGACGATGGAGGCTACCATGTTGGGCGAGTGAGGTCGTTTTAAGAATGAATGAATGGACGGAACTTATGCGGCCGGGAATGCAGTGCAGTGCAGTGTATTGATGCTGAAAGAGGTGGAAGAGGTATGTTCTCTTTTGGAGGAGAGTCTTGCTTTCCTTCTCTTTCGAGAAGGAACTGCTTTGGGGTTTCCGTCAACTGGGAAGGCGCTTCTGGTATCAGACGAGTATCATAGCAGGTGATAGGAAAGCACTTGTCAGGACTTGATCTGTTTGGAGACGATGGAATGCATGATTACTTCAGGTTGAATCGCTTTTCTTTGCTTCGGCCATCCATCCTTCACCAAGCCAAAGATGGCGATATCGTGAACTTCTGCGACCTTTTCTTGACTCAGAAAATCGAAGTCGACCTTACTGCCGAAGTTTCGTGAGTTCGAGCAGCACGAGAGATTTCGAACCGCTATCCACATCAAACCTCCTTCTCAAATCTCATAATCACCAATCCTGTCCTCGTAAAGCCGCCATTCTCCCCTGATCATCTAGTAGATAGAGAAACGTTTCAACGAGCACCTTTCCAGTCTATATCCTCGCATTTAACGACATTCGATAGAGCCTGTCATTCGGCATCGGCGGGTACGATATGTTCTGCGTGAGAGAGACAGCGTCGGGTACATTGTGTGGCAAAATTAGACTTGAAAACAAACGATTTTCCAAATGCTATTTCAGCAACTTCCCCACTGCTTCGTTTCGTATGCAAACCTCACGATGGGATGTCTTATCCTCCGACAAATCTTAGCCTTTGACGAATCTTATCATTCAATGGAGTTCATCCTTTAACGTCGTCCTTCTTGCACCTTATTCGTCAGCTTTCTTGCCGATAGCGGATCGAAAGTCTCGGCGAAACGGGCGAGTTCTGATGTAGTTGGAAGATGACGCTCGCCCCAGTCTGCCATCGGATCGTATCGAAAGCTGAGAGAGTCGCCGTCGTACTTGATTATCTCAGGGGCTGAAAGGAATGCTCGCCAGTCAAGGGGGTCGAAAAAGCAGCACGCAAAGCTCATGGCGGCTCCACCGTGGGCAACCAAGATGCAGTTCTTGCCGTGTACAAACCACTCATCTTTTTCGCTGTCGCCGATGATGGAAAATCGACAGACTCTCTCGAGGAAGAAGGCAAGATGCAGGAGAGAGGAGTCCTGATCCATGGCATCGTGTTGGAAGCGTGGGTCGTCGAACGACAGATCGATTGGAGATGGCGCAGTTGGTTTCTACATTTCCACGTCGTCTGAACTCTCGCCGTCGATCGAATCCTCCGGCTGTGGGTGGTATCGTAGGAACATCTTGAGCCTCAAAATGCCAGCGGCCTCAAGAATTGAGCATTTCGAGATATCTCTTGCGAGGACACTCTTGATACCGCCGACTGGGACATCGAATCGACACATAATATCGATCAAGATAGAAGAGCTCAGCAGCACTCGAAATCCATCTCCACCCTTGAGCAGCTGTCGAGTGACGAAGTCGACGATGCAGAACAGCAGAAGGTGGCGGTGGTCGTCCGTGTTCTGGTGTGCAGTAGAAGTCCGGAATTGTATCATGACTTGGTTGTGGATCCAGAGCAGGTGCTCCAGCTCTCTGTTCTGGTCATCCCTTTCAGGGTAGAGGCAGTTCAACAGGAGCGTCATCGCATCCACGCCTCTGTAGAATCCACAGAAAACAATTGGGAAGAGGGATCCCCACCACGCTCTGTAGGATTATGTTCCCGGTCTTCAGCGCCTTGATACGTCGATTCTTCTTGCCGATGTTGTCGTACTGTCGCAACGTCTCGTGCTTCGCTTTCCGCCATCTCTTTGAATATTACACGGCGGCCTGTTCAGCATCCAGCAGCTGATTTTCCGACTCCGCGCGCAGCTCCGTGATCCCCGTGTTGAATTCGGTCCTCCGTGCCGCCAAATCATCTTGAACGGATTCCGCCATGTTCTTTTGGGGTCACTTGCCGCAAGGGTGGGTTGAAGAGGAAAAGAGGGGATGCCGATTGGAAAGTCATCCTATAGGCCCTGCTCTGACAGGAGCGGCGTCGCTCCTTGCCCACGAGAAGCAGCAGATTTCCAGCAGGGAAGGTGCAAGTTTTGATTTCCTCGATATGAACATTCCGGATATGGAAGGCACATCTGTGTGCATGCCCCGCGGAACTGAAATCTCTTAGTTTGAAACTGGCTCGAATAGTCCGAGGATTGAGGCAGCAATCTCAGGGCATAGTGGGCGTTTCTGATCATGAACGAAGAATACAACTCTCCTGCCCAGTAAGTTTCTGGGAGATAGATATGGGCAAGGTCGCCGATGGTTGAACTGCAGCAGTGGCAACGATGCTGTTTGTGGAAGGAGTATCCAGAGAGAAAAAGCACTTTCCACGAGTGGCTGTGGTCTGTAAGGTATGTCTTGAGCATGTAAAAGGAGCGAGCATGTGAAAAGTCTTGGCAGCGCGCATGTGACGAATCCGCTGAGAGAACGGAGTTTGACTCGCGAGACGCCATCATACTCGTGAACTGTTGCCATTGAACTTGCGCTTCTGCGTTCAGTATACTATTACCGTCTGTTACTGGACGAACAGAGATGGAACTTCTTTTCGATATGCTTTTCTTTGGCCTCGTAGCAGCTGCTCAGTTGCATCCAGTACTCATTGACACTCTTGGCGCATGGCAATAAAATCGAGATGTTGATGACACAGTTCATCTCTCTGCTCGCGTTCGTCTCTATGCGAAATTGCCTCGATGATGCCTTTCTTTCTGATGTTTCTTGCTGGGTGGATCTCGTGATGATGCCGGATGACGCCTTGCGGTTGGAAGATGGAACGTTCCCGTCAGATCGCGTGTTGCGATGACGTAGCCGTGGCTTTGCTTCCATCTTGCTCCTGCTTTGATTCCCATAAACAACAACAATCTCCCTTCTTCTCTCTACCAACACCACCAACCACTCCATCACAATCCATCAACTTCAAACAACGCTCAAAATGGCCACCCTCAACTGTACGCACTCCCTCTCCTCATCCATCTCCAATACTGATCAATGACAGACCTCCCCCCTGTCAAGCCATCCGCCATCGCGCTGGGCACCGTCTTCAACCACATCGCCTCCCTCGCCGTCCTCGGCCCCGTCTTTGGCGACACCTACCGCCGCGCTCAGGCCGCCAACAGCGCTGAGGAGTTCTTCAAGTCCAAGGAGGCCGCATCCGCCGGTGCTGCTTGGGGCACCTCGCTCGTCGGTTCCGCCATCCAGTCCTACGGTGTCGGCGCTCTCATCAATGCCACTGGTACTCTGAGCTACAAGGGCGCCGCTTACCTCGGAGCCATCATCTTCGCCGCCTCTTCTGCTCCGGCGGTAAGTCCAGATCGTCCATCTCGATGGTTCATACTAATCGCATGACCAGTTCATCGCCCAGATCTTCACCGAGAAGCGCCCACTCGACACCGTCGCCGTCGGTGCCCTTGCCCGCACCTTTGAGACCGTCGGCCTGTCCCTCTTCTTGACCTGGTGGGGTACTCGCACCAACCCATTCGAGTCGGCCCGCTTCCAGTAATCGTCTCGTCAAGAGAAGATGAGGATCTTAATCAAGAGAAGCTGAGGATCTCAGTCAAGAGAAGCTGAGGATCAAGACGGGTACAGATTATACCACGAGACCAAGACAGACGTAACAGAAGCTTGACTTGTATGCGAATAGCGCGGAACGAAATGTATTAAAAGCAGAAGCTCCTTTCCTTCCATCTGCTACCCCACGTGATCCGTGCTTTTTCTATTTCAACTTCCATCTCTCTCTTCCTCTTCTTCATCAACAACATCATGGCAGATGACGGCGGACTCCTCGCCATCGACGTCGACACGGACGATTACGCAGAAACGGCTGCCGGAGACACGCCCAGCACTGTCGACCGCACATTCCAGAGCGAAGCCGATTTTCAGAAGCAGAAAGCTGGCTATACCGCGAAAGTTCAGAACGGAAACAACCTCGCCGAGTTGTATCGTGCCGTTCCTGCGCTGCAAGAGGATAGTGGTGAGAAAATACGATTGGGCAAGAAAGAGGTGATGCTACTGGGATACGCGGTGGGAGAGATGTACTACGAGAGGGAGTACGGGCCGATATTGAGGCTTTGCGAGAGGGTTGAAGATGTATGTGAGGTTGATGAGAAGTTGGGAGAGTGTCTGAGACGGTGGAAGGAGAGGTGTAGGATGAGGATGGAGAGGGAGGGGTGAGAAGGTATGAGAAGGAGTCGATTGCATTGGAGAGAAATGAAGTGCTTTTTGGAGTCGAAATTGACATACTATGTGGACGGGGAGGCACAACATCGCCTTGAGTCTCTGCGGAGTCGACATTCTCAAGGTCATCAAGAAACGCCTTGATCCAATCAAACGTGCATCGGTGAAGAGGACCTATCAGTGCTCTTCTGGTAGTTCTCGATCGAACACACGCACGGGATGGCCAGAAAGAGAGACAATACCATCCACGATCTCATACGAAACCGATTCTGTCATTCGCGAATATCAGCTGAGGACCAGCACTCACTTTGTGGATTTGCACCGTGCAAACGCCTCCTGATACAGCCACCATGCATGGCGCATATCAGACGGGTTGCACCGTAATTTATGGCTTGGACGATGCTTCGACAAGATCCAACACTTCTGTACAGAACAGCATTCTGACGAGATGTGTGATTCTGTCTGCTTTGCGAAGGACTCAGGACTGGGCGACATTCACAGAGATTCAGAACTGGATGTCTCTGCGCTTTGCGAAGATTCACGACTGCTTGATTGTCTCGGAGATGTTTTCAAGCAAACACCACCGTTCACGATACTGGCGCGCGGTTCTTCTCCAAGAGCAAAATACTTTCAATCTTCGCGAAGGAAGTCTCTCCACTATTCTTGACGAAATGGCTATGATATCCCGAAACACCAGCTTTCAGAGACCGACGGTGACGCTTTCGTCGATGTTGCTGTATGGCATTTTCGCCACGGAGAAGAGTGTCCTCATCGGAACCCGACTGCTTGAGAGAGAAGAACATTACAAGATGCTGGTGTTCAGGATTGCGGAAGGAAGATTACCGCAGGAACTTGCAGATTTGATTCTCGAGGACCTTTTTGAACTGGATAGACCGATAGTACAAACACGCTGGAGGGAAGAGGCTTCGATTCATGTCAATCAACTGAAATTTATGCGTGCTGCGCATGCACCGGCTATGCCAAATCAGAAGAAAGTGAAAGAGAAGATGGTGAGATTTCCCCGACCAGCTTTGTGAAAGATGCTGATTGCTTAGGCTGCCATGGGTGTTACCATCACTCGAGTTCAACACAGTAAACCCTCCGCCGCTCCCTCGCCAATCCGAAGCAAAGAAATCTCCCTCGTCCATCTCTCCGCCTCGAACAGCATCCCTACAATGTCGATATGCGTCCCTTCTGCTCTGACGAATTTCCCGACTGGCATTCACTATACGGGGAGTAAGGGGAGCTCTGTCACGATCCTTTGTGATCAGGAAACAACGACGAACGGGGCCAAGATTTGTTATACTCCATCTGACGGATTAACAAGCCAAGAAAGACAGGAGAGGGACTCGCTTCAGATGGGTGTGGTTATGCAACTGGAAGGCGTCTTGGAAGCTATGCAGGGTTGGGATGCGCAGGCTGTGGAGAGGTTTGTGAGGGTCTTGCGGTTGAGGGTTGTTCCTTTTGACGAGGGGCAGGTTTTGAAGCCTGGAGTGTTTGTTTGGGAGAGGGTGAATGATTTGTGAAGTCATGTGCTAGAGGAATTTCACAGGATTGTCGTTGTTTTCACATGGAAGTCGGCTTTTTCCGGTCAGAGCCAGGCGTGGCAGTCAAAACGACTACAAAACTCCTTTCTCTCATTGAGAAGCTCTTCTGTTATCATCACCTTGGACTCCAACACGTTCGAGCAACACTCGATCAACACCATCTACCATCACCTCCATTCTCGATCAACACCCCTTTCTCCCAACACAAGTCAGCCACAACCATGAATCTCATCCTCTTCTTCCTCCCCTTGACGGTCTCCGCCTGGTCCATCGCCTTCTACACCGGCGAGAACTGCGAGCAAGACACCTCCTTCAACGACGTCCAATACCTCGGCGACACCCAATCCGACTGCCTCATTCCCGGAGAACGCGGGCAGGACGACGTGGATCACTGCACTTGGGTATGAAACCTCCATACTCTAGAAAGCGAAAACGGCTAATCATCACATGTCTCTTTCAGTATACCAACAACGGCGCCGACTCTGCTGTCTGTACCGGTCCGATGGATCCGCAGCCCCAGAGCTGGATGTTTGGTTCGAATGGACAGCCGACGCCGATGTGTTACGTCAACTATGAGGAGGAGTGTGATATCTTGGAATGGGTGGGATTCTCCGAGGAAACAAAACTTCGCTGGAATGATGCTGATGCATGAGTAGGAGCATGTGCCTGTCCAGGGAGAGTGCTACAAGATCGCCGACCTCGAGGCTAAGCCGAGTGAGTTCGTTTTGAAGATTATGTTGAATGGTTCTGACGTTTCGATAGATGGCAATCCGATTCATTTCCGTTGCTTCGATGGACATAACAGCTAGATGGGGGCTTTGGTTGACTCTTCTTCTTCTTCTACTACTACTACGATACGATCCTGATTCCTGAGGTTGCGAGTGTCTTCTTTTCTGGATTGGTTTAGCATATGGCACGAGACTCACGGAGCGGAATTGAGTCGATTAATCCTCAGACTCTCCAGTTTTCCGTCTGAAAATACATTCAAGATACGCCATCACATGCTGATTGTCATGACTCACGCATCCCTCTCCTTCTCAATCCCCTGCCTCTCCACTATCCAATTCTCATCCTCCTCACTCCTCACAACCTCATGCACTTCCAGCCTCCCCTCCACAATTTCCCTCCCATTCACGAGATCATTCTCATCCGCCCTCTTGGCCGCCTCCTCTTCATCACCCGCTATCCCACTCTCCACATGCCTCTTAATCAACCTCTTCCTCGCAACGTCAAACTCCACCTCCACAAACCACAACTCATCCATCAACTCCGCCGCTTCCCTCCACTCCTTCGCCCCCGTCCCCAGGGACAAATAATTCCCCTCCATGACCACGATCCTCGCGCTCTTCTCGATGGGTATGTCGTCTTCCATGGGATCCTTCTTGGCATGCGAGAACGACGGGGCGTAGACTGTCGTCGTCTCGGGACAGATGGGTGCTCGGAGTTCTTTAACCAGGGAGAGGAATCGCGGTGCGTCGAAGGTGAAGGCTGCTCCTCTGCGGGCGTGTGCGGTTTTGGCATCCGGCATGGCGCTGAGTTGGGCGCGGGTGAGGTGGTAGCCGTCCATGGGCAGGAAGGTCGCGATGTCCGAGGTGCCGTGTGTTTCGGCGTGGCCCTTTTCAATCAGGCGTTGGGTGATCTTGGCGGCGAGGGTGGTTTTTCCTGGGAAAATCATTCATTAGGAGGGAATCGTTTTTCGGGAGTCGTTTTGTCATACCAGACCCAGGAATCCCGCTCACGGCGATCAGGTATCGTTTGCTGGGGGGTACTTCTTGGAATTTTGCCCATGTCTTCTCCACGAGACGGTTGATTTGGGATTCCATTCTGATATATGAAGAGAGAGGGAGAGAGAGGGGAGTGGGAGTGAGGTCAAAAGTACTCCACCTGGCTCGCGTGATCTCTACCCAGCTTCCAAGAGGAAGCAAGAAGATCTTATTGAGGACATCGAAATGCTATCAATGTTGTGAGCGGAGCAATATGACCGCATCGTGGAGCAATTTTGTTGCTTTGCCTCGTTATCTGAAGAAGAAAGAGGGTGCTTTTTTGACTGACGTTTGATGGGATGAGGAGGGTGGGGAATGTTTACCCGCATTATCCGCAATATCGGACTTTGATCGATATCGTCTGCTGTATTCGATATCGAGTGTTTTCAAACGGCCATGATCACTGTCGGAATCGAATGCAAATCTCCAACGCATATTGAACCATCGTTAAGACGTTCATGGGAGGTAGGAAGAAAGCCAAGGTTGATGTCCGATTTCAAATCATGATGCATGCTGCCATCTAGGCGTAGTCTACTAACAAGATCAAAACTTCATCATAGATAGGGAGCCCATCCTTCAATCAAAACCTCCCATCTCGGGCAAACCAGCAGGAGCTCCAATGCTGGGCTGTAAATCCATAAACGCATCGTTCCATTCAGCAGATTTCTGCTTCTCCGGTTGCTCTTCTTTCTTTGCCTCAATCTGACGATGAAGAGATAGAGCCTCTCCTCGCTCCGCAGCGATTTTCTCTTTGAGCGCAGGATCCCCGAAACAGCCGCAATCGCACCATGGCGGCCCGTGTGGCGGTCTGTGGTTCGACATTGTTCTTGTTGTTGTTGTTTTGTGGAGATCAATTGGTTACAGAGGACTGTGAAATGCAGAACGTCTTCTTATAACTTTGGAGACATTATTCACTAGGGCGTTGTCGTTGAATATACCATGAAATGGTGGTGAATGATACCTTAGCACGCCGGGAATGGTGTTTATTCCAGTGAAGATGCCATCCAAATCCGACGATATCGAATGCTGCTTCGATCTTAACAGTCGTCTGGTAAATAGGCCATTAAAAAGTCTTGATTCCTCCAGTCATTCCCTCGCCATTCCTCTTCGAAATCCACCTCTCTCTCGTCCACTCGTCGTCCCTCACTCTCCTACAGTTGAAGATGGTGACATCCTCCAATCGCTCCGTTCCAGGACTGCTCAGTAGCTCTCTGTCTGTCTGGCTAAATTCAGGGTCGGCGCAAAATATCTCGACCTCCTGACATGACGCTGGCAGAATCTCATCCAGTGTCCAGTCTTCCCTTTGCTCCTTATCTTCAAAATATCCGAATAAGACAAAATCTGGCGCCGTGACTTTTCGTAGCCTTTTCAGCGCTTTCAAATCACCAATTCCACAGAAATTTATTTGCTTCTTGATCTCGTGATTTCCGGTGACTCGGGCGACCCACGCCCAGTCTGGACGAACCACCTCGGGTTTCATATCTAATTTCAGCTCCTCAAGTTGTCGAGTCCATCTTAATGTTTCCTCTCCAAAGCGTCTCCAATCAATACGATAACTTGCATCAGTATGGCAGAAGTGATCATACATCTCTTCCCACGACATGACGAGCGTCTTCAGCATGTTGCAATGGGTTATCAAAGGCGTGAGCTCCTCGATGCCCAATCCGAGGTCGAGGATCTCCAGGTGCTGGATTGTTGATGAGGTCGCAGTAGACCTGGGCGTTTGATAAACTCCGTCCCACAGCTGTTCAATCCTCAAAAATTTCAATCCAGGAAGATAGATGAGATCTTGAATTATCTGCTCGGCGGTTTCAGGTGAGTCTTCGTTGACGCATAATTCCGTGTTTCGAACACTCCAGCATCCATGATTTCTGTTGTACTCGAGAATCTCCTCCGTTCCGGATCTTTCATATGGGTCCCGTGTGAGGATCTGGTTCAGGCTTGCGACACTCCATAAAGTATCGATTCTACCTCGGAGCTTTAGAGTCTCGACCTCTGGGCAAGCCAGAATGAGAAGAGCGAGGAGAGGGGCAGCATCGAGTATTATACGTTTCCACGGGTTTTGTTCGCTTTCAAGCTTCTTCACGTCGCGGGGAGGAACGGTTGGGATATAGCGTTGCCCCTCCGTCCAATCGAGTACTGCTTCCAGAACGTCATCACAAAGACGCAGCTCCTCTGTGATCAAGTGATTAAACGCATCGTAGTCGAGCGGAGGTGGTAATCCATAGCATCGACCGTACAATGTTCTATCGACGCGGTGAGAAATCCTGCGGACATGCCTTGCCAATTTCCGATTCCTTAGGAGTGTTCCCAATAATAGGGCAAGCTTCCGGGTCCGATAATCACCATCTTTGACGAAATCTTCACATCCAATGGTCTCGTAGAGAATCGGCGTAGCTACATCACGTCCCAGTCTGTTCGTCCTGCAAATCGTCGCGCACGTTGGTCTGTCGATATAGCACGCAGAGACGAAGATCTTCTCGATCATCTCGGTGGGAATTCTATCTGCCATCTTGGTCGACCTTCGAGGGAACCAGCAGTTCGTCGAGATGATGTGTTGATGTCGAGGGTGACAGCAATTCACAGCGTGTGGTGATCGTCTTCCGGAGAACTGTGTGGGCGGTCTCGTTGAGATCATATGTTGACGTTGAAGGTGACACAGAAACGCGAGCTGAGGTTTCGACGCGTCATAACAACAGCAACACAAACCCCTGGCGTCGTCGGAAAATCATATTGCCGGGAGGCGGCCCTCAAGAATTATGTTCTTCCATCATGTGCGCTGAGGTGGTATCAAACACGCAAATCCAAACCCATCGAACACAAAAAAACAAAATAGTCCTCCTGATTGATGATGTTCCTTCAGTAAGCCGGCTCATCCTCATAGATCGGCGCCTTGACAATATCCTCATCCCACTGGAGCTTGCCCTTCTCATTGAACCAGGCATTCTCATCCGTCACCTCCAACCCTTCCCCGACTTCTTTCTTCGTGTTGACGATCTCCTGCTTAGAGAGGCCATACTTATCTCTTGCGATCCAAATCGTGGGAACCTCCGAGATGACGGCGGGATGGAGGAATGCCTCGTCGACTTCCTGCTGGGTGTAGGGACGGACGGGCTCGCCGAGATTGGGAGAGACAGACCAGATGGCATCGGCAGCAGCGTTCAACGGCCAGAAGAACCGCTTGACGCGATCTACAATACCGATCTTCTTCTGCCCGGTCTCCTGCGCTTTCTCGGCATCGCTGTTCTCCCGCCCAGCGGCATTCTGATGGAATTTCTCGGCGACTGGCTCTTCAGGCAGACTGTTGCTCAGCTTCGAAAGGGATCTGATCATGAGGACGTGCCAGACGATTGTGCCGACCAGGAAGATGATCATCAATACGAGAGGTCCGATGGATTGGTTGGTCGAGCCGACGCCGATGGCGAACAATCCGATCAAGCAGATCTCACTGATGTAGATCCCGACCGTGAGCTGCTGGAGCGCGCGAGCATACGATTCTCCTCGCGTCGAGACGTTCGTTCCCAGTGTGAAGAGTGCGTTGTATCGGAAAGCGATGTAGAGGAAGCCAAAGCCGACTGTTGCGAACCCGAGCACCAATGGGGCGATTGAAGAGTACGACAGTGCTGGAGGATTCGTTAGCTATATGAGCCGCTGTCTTTGAAACGAAACTTACCGATGACACCCAAATTCGTGAACTTCGGGTAGAGAGATCCCCATCCAAGACCCGCGAGATTGACGTATCGATTCCACATCTTGCGGGGAGTCGAGTCGAGAAATTTGCCCAGCACCAAAACAAAAAGCAGTGGGACGATATTCAGAAGCTGCAATGCGGCCTGCAGGAGTCCAAAGAGGATGAAGTAGGCGATGTAGAAGTTGGAGGCCTTGGGCAGATTCCTGGCCAAAAGCGTCGTGGCCATGGATGGGTTGTTGATGATGTTCTGGACGACTGCGGCGGCTCCAGAAGCGAAGGTAGTGACTAGGAAAACTTGGATGACCTGGAATGGGAAATACCATGCCTGGACCTTCATTTGAGCGGCACGCTGGGTCGGTTCAAAGAGTTTAGCCAGGATGCTGCAAACGATTGGGACCAGTGACATCAGGATAGAAAGAAGACTGCGAGGGTCAGCAATAATTCGTTCTTTGAGTGGACGTCACTTACACAGCGGGAAGAAGGCCAGTGACAACTCCGAGAACAACACCTGGAATATCGTTGATGAAGCCGAGGAAAGGGACTTTCTGAGTGAGAGACTAAACCCGAAGTTAGCGGTTTGAACTGTGAACGGCATTGTGATTCTTACGCTGATATTAGAGATGGATCCAATAACTGCAACGGGAATCGACCAGAAGATGCACAGGAACCAGATGAAAGCTGTTCCAAGGATAGCAAAAGTCTTCACCTTAGGGAACGGCTTGATGATGTTCTTCCAGATCTGTCAAAGTCAGCATGATATCGCGGAAAATTAGAAGTGTCTGACATACCACATCGTCCGGCGTGGTCCCCATCTCCTTGGGAGTCATCTTGGCCTTGCTCTTGATACCGGCCTTTTGCATCGCGGTATACGCAGCCTGCACAGTCTCGAACTCGACGAAGCATGCTCCCTGCACATTCTCCCTGTCATTGCGGTGTTCCCTCTGCTCTTGTGAAACTTCGGGAATCAGGCGTCGCAACTCTCCTCGGCTCCAGTCGATTGTGTCCACTTTCTTTCCGATGGGGAGAAACTTGAGTTTGGGAAGTCGATGTGTCGGGCGATCTTTGGGGTTGACACTGATAGGTCCAGACTCATCGACGGGCAATTCGACAGATTCGCCCTTCTTTTCTGCCTTCTTTTGTGCCTTTATCTGCCTCTTGACATGAGATTTGATGAGCTTGATCTCGCCGGTCTCGAGCTTGGCGGCAGCTTTGTCGCGCTCATCGACCTTGTCGGCGAGATCTTCCGGGACGTTGACGAGCCAGACGTTCCTCACGAGAGAGAACTCGCTGCGCAGGTACTCCTCGTTGCGAGCTTCCACCGGAACGTTGACAAAGAGCACGGTCCTGGTGGAAATCTTACTGCTCTGATACGGGGAAAGATAGTACTGTTGTCGGAGTCGAACAAAGTATTTCGATTCTCTCCAGATGAGGAACATGACGAATCCGAGGAAGAGCCATGCGACGAAGACTTGAGCGTAGTAGCGCGGCCCTGGGTTGATGTTGCTGAAAGAGAGAATATCAAGACCGGCCTGTCCGCCGTTTCCCGTTGCATTGACGGGAAATAGAATAGGCCATGTGATGATGCAGCCGACAAAACACATCATCGTGAGCATCTTGAAGAATCGCAGAAACAGGTAGTTATCGATCGAGGCATGGCCGACTAGCGATTGAGATTCTGTAAGCACTTGTCCCAAACACGGAGGATTTCCCCTTACGTACGAACGAATTCGTCGGTCAATTGCTTGTATTCCTTGCGCCAGCCCAGAACGCCTCCGGTTTGTTTGGGCGAGAGTTGCCAGTTCCGCAGAGAGTCCAGATACGTTCGAGGTGCGTACACACGTGGGAGCTTCTTGCGCAGGAGCAAGAACGCGAGGAATACGACGGACGAGATGAGGAAGACGGGGATCAGAGTCGACAACATTCCAGATATCGAAGAGGCGCCAGTATTGCGATGAGAGCCTGTATTCTACAGAATCAATCAGCCTCGTCACCACTCCAGACGCTTCGTTTTCAGCATACCGCAGAGGCACGCGGCATGAGCGCGCGAGTCGCCGTGCCAGCCCAAATACCGTCGGCCATTGTGACAGCGCTTCAGTCGACGATGGAACAGAGAGGTCTGCCCCTGTGGGGCGCGAGCGCAAAGGAGAGGGCACCAGCATACAAACCGGCGCAATCCCGTTCGGATAATATCCTGCTGTAATGACGCCTCCACATCGTCATGTCAAACAGATTGCTTGGACGCTGCTTGGCGTAGCTGGGCAACCAGAAGCAGACTAAGTAGTAGTGATCTGCGCCACATCATGGCGCTCCGCGGTCAGTTGGAACTCTAATGCACCAATAGTTCTCGTGTGTCTTCTCAATTATTCGATCGATCTGGGGGAAACCAATTTACACCACCAAGACTACGAACGCCTCGTGCAGGATTCGGGTGCCATCTCGGTTGCTTCCCTAGCTCCGCGGACGCTTTGATCCATCATGTTCTGGGTGCAAGTGATTCTTCTGGAAATTCTGAAACGAGGTTGGCGAATCCCTTTGGTCGTTCTGAGGGGCAGATCGAGGTGGAACCCTGAACAGACATCTCAATGCAAAGTCTCTCCAGTGCAAATTCTCTTTCCAAGCAGAAGCTGTTACAGCAACAGCCCACTGGTGTTTCATGCTCGATTCTGCGCGGCATACTAATAACCTGGTTGGCGAGCCTCTGTTGCTGACACGGAAGTGCTGGGTGTCAAAGGCCAGTTTGGTGTTCGCCGGTTATGTTGAAGAGAAAGGACGTCGCACGTGGTACCGCACGATGCACGAAACGCTGATTGCGTGTCACGCGTCTTCACTCAAATTCGAGGAGCTCTCTGAACGGCCCATATTTCCGTCCAGGTCGAGTATGCAGGATGCTGCTGAATCAGCGAAGGGTGCATCCAGCTCTGCTCCAACCAACACCTTTGGCACAGGGGATTGACTGAAGAATTGCCAGCTCACCTCGACTGACGCCGATAGAGCTTCATGTGACCGAGTTCAGACAAATAGATCGAGTGAAAATATGGTGTACCGGGGCAAGCTGTCCAAAAGCTGCGCGGAGTGTCGAGCGAAGAAGACCAGAGTACGTCAACCAGACCCTTACTGGTATATCAGACTCGCAGCTGAGTTATCGAACAGTGCGACACCGTCAGACCTTCCTGTGGACAATGCAGGAGAGCGAGCCGGAAATGCTCAGGCTATCGCGATCTGCAGGAGCTTCGACTGCTCGACCAGTCGTCCGAAGTGATGTCCAAACTACGAGGGAGCAGCTCACAGTCCTCTTCTGAATCTCGGAGCTCGCCATCCTCTTCCAGCATTGAACTGATGACATTGACAGCTTTCCCGGCCACGGAGTTCTGGATAGAAGGAAATGCACGGATAGCTTTCTTCGCCCAATACGTGAATGTAACAAGTCGAAATCCTGTGGTGAAGACGGAGCTCGGCTTCGTTCCATACGTCTATGAAGATTCTTGTTCTCACGGTATGCTTGAGAGTATTGTATCGGCTCTGGGCATGGCTGTCCTGCGGCAGAAGAACGGCAACGATCTCGCATTCGATCGGCTGGCATCAAAGAAGTATTCCAATGCTCTCCAGCTGACCCAGCGAGCGCTTCAAAATTCAAAGTCGGCCAGGTCGGATGAGGCTCTCGCCACAGTTCTCCTACTCGGCATCCATGAGCTCGTGATAATGGACAGGCCGCGCTGTGAAAGCAGCCGCATCTCTGTTCATCTCATTGGAGCCATTAAACTTCTGCAGCTGCGAGGTGTTGAGCAAATGAATTACGCTTGGGGGAGAATGATGGTCTTGAGAACTTTCACTGAGATCATGACCAGTTGTCTCTATCATCGGTGGCCTGTGCCAGCGAGTATCATGGATTTCCAGAGATCGATTCGGCATACCATGCATCCGGAAGAAATGGCAGTGGCCAATCTGATGGAAATAGCGGCGAGGCTGTGCAATGTGTTGTATCGACCAGTAGTGGATAAGACGTCCGAGATGTTGGAAGCTCTGGTCGCTATCGATGAGGACCTGGACGGCTGGGCTCAGAAATCAGTAACACCTCGACTTAGCTTTGAGAGGGTACCGATCGAGAATCCAGACAAGAGCTTCCTCACTTACTGGGACTCTTACTCGAATCACATTTCCGGCTTGGTCTGGAACACATACCGATGCATGCTGATTCTTTTAAATGAGAGATTGCTTAGCATGTCACAAGACTGGGCCGCGGGTTTGGAGGCCAAAAACCAGGCATATTACGCCCAAAGGGCACCTTCTCGAATCGCAGAGCTGTGTGAAGGCATCTGTCGTAGTGTTCCCTTCTTTCTGGGAGAAGAGGGCTCTACGCACGCGTGGCTCGAAGAATCGCAAGAACCCCCGACAATGTATGGGGGCATGGCGATGTTGATTCCACTTTGTGTTGCTGCGGACTGCAAACAAGTGTCGCCACCTGTGCATTCGTGGCTTGTCCACCAAATTTCTCGGTTGGCCAGAGACACGAGAATAGCGGGTGCGCAGGCGTTCTTAAAACGCCTCCGAGATGAGTCCTCCCAGGGTGTGGGTCCATGAGCTCGAGAGTAATGGGAGTAATTGGCGTGCTTGTCCACTGCACCACCCTCCAGGAATCGCAATTGTTGAAGAAAGCCAGCACTGGGCCGGTCCACCCGACCATGCTAGCACACTGCAGTCCCAGCAAGGCAACTGGGAAAGGCATAATAGCCATATTCTCTCAGAAAAAGGCCTAGAGAAATCGCCATGCATGGCTCCTGGTCATTGCCGAACAACAACAGATTCATGCCTCTAAAACGCCACGTCCCATCAGCCTTCAATCCTGTCTTTGAACCGTTGGTGTGAGTGTATCGAAGACTATCATTCCAAGTTCTATTAGCCACCATGCATCTAGAATAGAAGAGAGTGGAAATCTTCAATGAAGATAACTCACCGCACAAGTAGCCTCGAGAACAACCATCAAAGCCGCAGAGCACGTGTAATCTTGGCAGCCTCGCCTCTCCATTCTTAAGCACTCATCCAATGCGACCTTCAATTCTTTCTTGGTGCGAATCGTGTCTCTCCCGCTTGTCTTGTTTCCTGTCGTTCTAGAATTTCGCGGAGATGGTATACCAGCGCGGGATTCTAAGCAACTGTCGTCTGGGAGTCCCTTGGTGTCCATATTGGAATCAGCAGCGGAGTTTGGAGTTTCTCAGAACTATGGAACGCGTGATGCAAGTTGATGGATTGGGAAGGAAGTGCAGCCGGAATTCGTCCAACCTCGTAGCCGTGCCATGACTTTTGCATCCGAATGCCGAGGCTTTCCGTTCGTTCTTCCTCGCAATTCTTTTCCTTCACGTTATCTCCTCGCTTGACCACATTATTTATTGTTCTTACCCATGTCGAATTGACTACCAACCTCTAATGGAAAGATAGAGATTTAATTCGTGAGTGACAGCTACTGCACCAATACCGTTCAATGACTCGGACCTTGAAATAAATCTCGAAAAAATGCAACGCTACCCATGCCGCTTCGTGCCATGCCAGGCCTCCATCGATCGACGGACCGAAGGATTCAACGCCAGCGATGCTCGAGATGAGGTGAGAAGTCTCCGTTGGCCGACCCTGGCCCCCCTCACATCTTTACGCGGAGGAGGTACCGCAGACGGACCTGGGCGACGTCGTAGGCGATGTACTCGTTGTACAACAGGAACGCTCCGGGGACATTCGTTGCTCCTGGAGCTTTAGTAGTGTCGGGCTTGCATGCGTCAGTAAAGACTTGAGGAATCGGAGAAGACGCAGTACTTACCATATTGACGCCAGCCAGCGAAGGATGAATGCACTCCGCGTCCTTCCAGCCTTGTGGTCCGGTATTGCCCTTGCCCCAAGTCGAATACATCCCCTTAGCGATCGCGTCCTCTCCAGCTGTGTACGAAGCATCGATAAGCTCATGCATCGGATCACCAAGCTCGGCCTCGCATAGCAACAGAAGAGCGTGTCCTCCGCTAATCGAGGGCATGCAGTAGTTCGCCGATTTGGAGCTCATGTCCGCGAGGTAGACACCCTTGCCAAACATGTAGCCGCTGACTGTTCCTTGTTAGTGCCGAATAACGAAGAAGGACAGGACAAACTGACCTGGAGCTTCTGGAGGAGCGATGCGAAGACCCTGACTGAGGATACCACCATAGTTGGTCGAACGAGAGCCGTGCCAGAGAAGACGACGGTCGCTGCCCTTCTTCCCAAATGATTGGAAACGGTCGGCTTCGCCTGACCGCTCGATACGAAAGACATCCAGGACCTCGTAATGTGAACCATGAGTAGCGCCAACTGTCTTCACCAGATACTCGCTGATGTTGGTGAACTCGTCGGCACTGCGATCGACAGGCTCCATTTCGCGCATGCCAAGACCGTCGAAGCGTGCGTCGAGTGGGTGGACGCCGCTGCCGCCTTTGCCAGCCTTGATTATGCTGTCGGTGTCTTTCAAATCCGTCAGACTCTCAAGTAGCTCGACCTCGCGCTTCAACATGTTGTTATCGCTGATGACCGGAGGGCGATTTCTGCCGAAAGCATGCGGAATGAAGGAATACTATCGAGAGGTCAGTTTTATCGTGCAAATCTTGCCGAGACACCCACGAATCTGTTGGAGAGCTGCTCAAGAGCATCCTGGTAGGGCAGGTCATGCTCAGACTGCGCAAGGCTTTGATCGTCGAGCAGCTCGGACAAACTCTTCAGCGTCTGGAAGCCACGCCCAATTGTGGCTTTCGACAGCTTTCCCAGAGGAAGCTTCTCGGAGTCGTAATTCAGATGGATCATGGTGTCGGCCATGTACTGCTGGTTGAAGATGAGCTCCATCAGGGATTTGACAGGCGCTTTGAGAGTGCACTTGGCTGGGCTTGTGCTGCGAGAACGGCTCTTGTCGGCGCCAGCTTCGGCAGCTTCTTCATCGTCGTCGTCCTCGGAGTCGGGCTCGTAACTGCGTTCGACGAAGACATACTTGTTTGGCTTCGGATCTTGGCCACGGTTGGCCCATGTGTTGCCGGACTTGTCCTTGAACTTTTTCTCAAAGTTCTTCAGAGCGTCTTGGAAGCTTCCATCACCGAGAACAGCCCTCTGGCCCTGCTCGCCGACCCGACCCCAGCGAGTCCAAGTCAAATACCGGTCTCGACCATCGGTGAGAAGCTGCAAGGAATGTCAGCGTTGCTGGGTCACATGTCACAGCGACTTGACGAACCTGGATGCGGTAGAACTTGTTGTTGTTGCCTCTCGCATTCGTCTGGTTCAGAGCAGCATCGTATATTATACCGGTGCCATTGTCAACGTAGACGTGGTGTTGAGTGAGATGGCAAATCTCGTCGAGTGGAATCACCAGGTTACCGCCCTTTGCGTACTGTGCGTCTGAGACTTGGGCATCTTCAGCGGGTTCGTCTTTGACCTTCGCTTTGCCTTTGCCCTTGGATTTCTGCTTCTCGTCGGCATCTTCATCGTCGTCGTCTTCGACCTTCATCTTCTTGGCGGCCGGTCTGCCTTTGAACTTTGGTGCAGCTTTTGGCTGCGCGGCTCCGTCATCATCGTCATCGTCGGCTGGCTGCTTCGATTTGGCTGCACTCCTTCCTCTCTTGGCAGGCGGATCTGGTTCGGCGTCAGGCGTTGCAGCCCGCTTCCTCGCACGAAGGGCTGGCATGTTGGACACTTGATCTGGCAATTGAAGGCTTGTGAGTGTGTGTTGGATCAATGGCGAATGCGGGAGGTGGAGGTGGAAATGGAAAAGCGATGCGATGAAGTTGGACTTTTGTGTTTAGAGGAAGGAGCCACCAAGCAACAGGCACCAGCCAGTCGGCTCTTCCCGCGGACCCACATCTCAGGCAACACAACCTCCCTGTCTTCGCGACTCGTTCTTCGTCTTCAATTCCTTCCTCCGCCCACGACATTCTCGCCTGTTCCGGTGACATTGCTACCTCACTACGCTCGATATCGACGATCGCTCATAGATCCCAACATCTCACCTCCTCCCACGAAACTAGCAAGGAAACCAACACCACAATGGCCGACAACAACGATGCTTCCACGACTATCGTGGATCTTCCACCAGAGCTGATCGTACGCGTCGGGAGCTATCTCACCACTGCAGAACTCGGCCCACTCCGTCGGTCGTGCAAGCAGATCGAGGCCAGCCTCTTCGACAACTTCGCCAGCGAGTTCTTCACCAAGCGCCAATTCATGGTAGAGCACCACAGCTTGGAGGCGCTCGTCGGTATTGCGAATCACTCTGGACTCGCTTCTCGACTTACCGAGGTCCTCGTCGGTACACAAATCCTCGCAGGCGAAGCCCTCTCGCCTCAGGATGATTTCCTCGCCGGTCGTTTGACGAGGGACATGCTGCTGTCCTCCGGCATGGCCCGAGATATGCTTGCTGATGCTTTCTCCAAATTACCCAATCTTCGTATTGTAGGTCTTCGCGACTACGATGGGACAGGCCGGATTCGTGACGGGCCAGAAGCGAGATGGAGGTCGTGGGGTTGGAATACATCTTCCACTATGCTGCAGAACGCCTTGCCAGAGTCTTTGTTACCTCTTTTAATCTCTGCTCTGGACGCGGCGAGAGCACGTCCAGAAAACCTCGAAGTGATCCTCCGCAGGTATCCGCTCAAACCGAAATCACTGGAGATCGCTTATCATACGATGAAGGCAGCCACACCTTCATTCCTGTCGAGTCTGAGAGTTCTGTTCTTAACACTCCAACACTATCTGGACGATTCTCATGCGTCTGCACGACCGTACGACGAAGGCAATCCCTTTGATGCCCCACTCAAGCGCTTCATGCACTCGCTGTCCAGTCTGGAGCACCTGAGGCTCAACTTTCGGCATCCTAATAAATGGCCTCGACACTTTCTGGATTGGCTGGGAAGGCCTGCTTCATCTCCATCGGTTGCAAACCAGCTGCCGGTCCCTGCAGTCCAGCTGCCGAATCTCACGTCTCTCGAACTCGGGATGGCCACCGTCACCGGTCCCACACTCGTCCGAGTCCTGACGAAGTTCGATCTGAAGTTGTTTAGTCTCTGGCGTATAGCGATCGAAGTTGCGGATGGGACGAAAGACTATTGGTCTGAAATCTTTGCAGAGCTATCGAACGATTTACCGCCTTCGTCTCGTCTTCGCACCGTCAAGCTTGGTAATCTCTCGCAGGCCCAAAAGCCGGGTCATTGGACAAGACCTTTTGGGACATACTTCGTCCCCGAAGGCACGCAGCCTCACTTGAAGAAAGACGCACAACGGGAGGCATCGGCCGACTTCAAGGCTCAGTTCACGGGAAAGACCGTTCACCAGTGGTTGAAGGAGCTTTCAGAGCGCACCTGGGTGCCTGATATGCATCTCAGGCCAGATCCCGATTCAGACAGCGACGATGGGGGTGCCGATAGCGATGATGTCGACGGAGAAAACGAGGACGACGATGAAGACGAGGAAGATGAGTAGCTGCCTGGGATGTGTCAAGCTGCTGTTGCTCGATTGTATCTTGGGTCGTTGCGTATTTCCACCCCATCTGTGGTCGCTGGAAGTGCATGTGACAAGGCCGATGGGCGTTTCAGCAGAAATAAGCGTCGTACCGCAGCGGATATTTTTCAACCAAGATGGGGACAACAGCAAGTCGGATAACACGAGGTCAGCGGTGCCTGCTTTCGAGATATCACTCCGATGTAAGATGCTTGGAGGTGTTTCGGCGATACTTCGAGCGCATTCCACCTATCGTCGCTGGGATCATTCTGGTGCTTCATCGCGAGTATCGATACGAAGGCAGAAATTGGATGCGCATTTCAATACCATTCTGAATGTTTGCCGCCCCAAGCTTGCTTTCAGCTATCTGAATTAGACCGAGCTGAGTACAGCACATGGCCCGCATGTGGGCTGTTCGACCTAAGCGAGGTCATTAGTGTGGTCGCACAACATCGGCGTAGTGTCTCCACTCGTTCTTCTCACAGCTGGTTCTTCTCAGCTCCTGCTTCTGATTCTTCAGGTCTAAAGTCTCTGCTACTGCACCTCCGTCTCTCGGTGTCCTGTGGCAGTGTCTCTCGGCGCTCTCTGTGTCAGTACATCAAAAGAGATCTACATGACACCAAATTCGTCGCAATCGAGTGGCCTCAACAAACCGGACGCGTGACGCAATCAGGGCATGATATTTCAGAGCGCTGCCTAGCGGGGCTGTACAGCAGGAGATTTCAAGACAACAGCGAGTCAGACACTTTCAAATCAGTGTGGTAGCAGCTGTCGACATAGCCCTCCGATGTGGCAAGGCGCCGTGGGCTGGCAAGGCTGTTCGCGGTGTTTCGACACTCTTTCTCCCTTCGCCTTTCCAAGTTTGTTCGTGCGAGCGATGCCGGACCTGACAATCTGAAAGCAAACAATGGCACTTACGTACCGTGGGATATACAAGTTCAAGCCTATCAGCGCTGATAGGGACGAGATCCGGATAGTGAAGCTTCTTCCTGGGGTTAGAGGTGATCCTATCAAGGTCACGCTGAGTACTGAATCTTTCCACCCGGAACATGAGGACGCTTACACATCTTCATCTCAGGACTTTGACGAATCGTCTAGCACCACTGACGAAGTCAGTTCTGGCAGTCGAATGTCTGCCGAGGATCAATCCAATCGAACGGCTGAAGACGACAGGGAGACAGAACACGATCTTTCCAGCGATCTCCACAACTTTCAAACTGCACCTGGCAGCTGCGAAATAGGTCGAGCATCAGGCGAGATTGGTCACACAACTGGCGACCACCGGGAACACGAAGATGAAGATGCTGAGTCTATGCTCGGAAGCGACAAGTCTGAGGCAGTGTATCCTACAAGTTCCGACCGCTATGCCGGTGTCCCTAAGTATGAGGCCATTTCTTATGCTTGGGGCTCGCCTTTGGATAGGACTGCAATTGCGATTGTGGATGCCGAAGATTACCGGAGTCTTGGAGTCACTTGCAACTGTGCCGAAGCTTTGCGGTACCTGCGTTACCCGGACAGGAGCCGCTCTCTTTGGGTTGATGCCATCTGTATTGATCAAGGGCTTTCTGAAGCGTCTCTTACTGAACGAGCGCGCCAAGTCGCTATAATGGTAAAGATCTTCAGATTCGCGGAGAGAGTCGTCGCATGGCTTGGACCCTCCTTACTAGGAGACGAAATTGTTAAGAATTGGGTCGAGGCAGTCCATTCGAACATGAAATACGACGACATTACTCCCGGCGCTGTGCCTCGCACTTCTGGCTCGATATGGAGTGATTTACGTAGGGCTAACATCACGAGAGAAGAGTCGACTGCCCTTTCCGGCTACATAACTCGGGCGTGGTAAGTTTCAGCCAGCTTCGATGCTGTCCGTAACGTCCGAGTAACACTTTGACAGGTTCGAACGCTTGTGGGTGTGGCAGGAGATCCGAGTAGGCAGTGACTTATCGATTCTACAGACTGGGCAACATGAGATTCCATGGTTGAAAATTTCGTCTATCGATACTGTATCTCGAAGCGAAGTTCCTGCCCTCCGAAATGGACTTTGAAAGCTTGAACATTCTGCTGGACCTTTGCGAGATATGGAAAAAATATATCTCAAATTTAGAGCAGCTGCGAGGGTGCAAGTGCGCGGACCCAAAAGATCGCGTGTTCATTGCACGGAATCTTTCGGACAGCAGGGGGGAGGAAAAGGTCGACCCGGACTATACGATTACCTGGCAGCAATGCTATACCGATTGGGCGTTGCGATACCTTCACTTTCGGACTAACCTAAATATCTTGAAATGCCAAGCGGATCTATCCTGTCTTTCAGATAAGCTGCCGTCCTGGGTCCCGAACTGGAATAGACAGAAGCAGGCTAGGGACATCTGGAGCTTCGCTAGTGGCCCTACAATAGCCTCTATCGCCCGAGCGAACGACAAGGAGCTTCGTGTAAAGGGGGTCGTCGTTGACGAGATTGACAGGATTTGTCTCTCTTGTCCACAAGATTTTGTTCCGGGCAAGAGGCGACCACGGATGTCACTACTTAAACATTTGATCGAGGCCGTACTGCCAAAGGGGGGAGACAAAATCGCGGTCCAGAACATCTGCAAGGCGCTTCACGGCAGCGAATTTCGAGACTCTTTTACGCCGCCCAGGGAGACATCTCCGACGCTCCGGGAGTGCACTCAACTGGTAGAATATCTCCGTCGACATAGTATAGAAGAAATCTTGCATTGGGACGAAGCTAACATCTCCACTTGGCTGCTACAATGTTTTCAACATCGAGTCTTTTTCAGGACTGCTGACGGCCGGTTCGGGGTCGGACCAAGAGCAAGTCTGCCGGGAGACCTTGTTGTCGTGTTGTTAGGCTGTGTTACGCCAATCATACTGCGCTCAATCTCCGCCAACCAGTACATAGTTATTGGCGAGGCTACCTGCAATGGCGCAATGGAGGGGGAGGCAATTCTGGGCCAACTGCCGACGGACTTTGTAGTCATATGGTACTCGGCTAACGGAAGATCCATTCCAGCATTTGAAGACCGGCGCACAGGCTCGTTGCAATTCAATGATCCGCGACTTCCATCTACGCTGCCTCCGGGGTGGAAAGACATCACCGACAAGGACACACCGTACGACCTCTGGTTCAGACATGGGCAAAGTGTAGAGACAAGAAATGGGCGGCAAGATCCACGATGTGATGCCGAAGAGTTAGAGAAGCGAGGCGTCAAGTTGCAAACATTTGCTCTCGTGTGAATGGCAACCAAGAACTACAGGAAACTCCATCTCCTTACGGTGGAGTTTAGGCGTCAAAGAGCACAAACAATCAGGGGCATGACTCGTTCGATCATCTGTGTTGTGGTCGATACAAATCTCGGAAGACCTTCTCTGTCAGCAATTCGCTTGGACTCGCTTTCACTCCATGATCCTGGACAAGCGAAACGCCAGCGCGGATTCTTGTCATCTCCAAAAAGGGCGATCTGCGCTTTGTTTTCGAAGAGACATCTCAGCCAGATGATTTGGTCTTCTCAAGTTCTCTGGGTCAACTACACCGGTTCTCGATTCTATACACATGGCATCTAGTAAAGTCGTCTCTAGTCATTTTGAAACTTGCGCTGGAGAGAGCCTACCTGTAAACGTCCCAAATGGAATGCATGGCCGGCGAGTACAGGGGCTGTTGAATCTTACTGGGGACGGCAAGGTATCAAAGACTATCATGTCGATTACCTGCGAAGTCAGATTGGACCGGGATCTATTCTCTGGGCGATTTTTGGATTTAGAGGTGTTGATAAAGTAGATCGATCTTTGATGTTTATGAGAGTGACGGAGCTTATGATTTACTTTCCCAAACGAAACTCGCGTCTCGCTCACAAACGACTTGAAGGTACAGTAGTCGACAGAATGGCTTCTACGACAAAGCTTTATGATTTCGACAGATCTAATCCGAATCCTACGGCTGCTTGTTCAGAGCCGCGAATTGATTTCTAACAAACTCCACTTGAGTGGGAAGGAATATCTCGGAAGTCCAGAAGCTCAACAACGTCGTCCAAAAAGCTCGGTAAGTCATCCGACAAGGCTGCAACAAAGCTAGACTGTGAAGCGTTCCATTCGCAGGAGCTGGAGTTGGATGTGGATAGAATAAGAATGATGTATGAATCCTTCTAGTGTTGCACCGACATTCTAGCAACCCTAAGCCTCCACAGCTTCTGCGTACAAGGTCCTTAGGCCTTGATAGCACTGCGAGTCAGAATAGCGACGGGAACTTTGACATCAGAACGCAAGCGCGTGGACGAGAACGAAAAGCCCTCTGGAAGATACGATCCAGAGCAGTGCAGAATTGCGAAGGCGTGGCAATCCATCTCCCGGTGCCATCAGTATAAGACTCCGTTTGCATTTCGCATTTCGGTGGCGGCAATGGATGCACCGCCGTCCTTATCATCAGACATCTGTCGGATACATCGTGGTCCGCTTCTCTAGGTATGTATATAGCTAGCTTTTGGATGTGAAAATCCGGAGCTATTGTTAAATCCATCCGCTGATAGTGCATAAGTCCATCACACTGCATCCGCCTATCGATCTGCCTCAATTTTCAATTTTGCCTCTGGCTACGAAAGCAAAATTTTGGAAGAATGCTGTCGAAAGGACGAGTGAGTTGAATCTGGGTCCCCAATCACGAAGCCGGACCTGCAGAAAGATCGAGTCCTTGTCAAAGTAACTGCGAGTGGATTCTACGATTGCGGTTGCCGTTATTCATGTCGATCAAGGCAAGGAAGACTTTGCTCGTGTTCGGGGATTATTGGTGCAGAGGTCGCTGCGTCAATTGGGCCCTCTCGATACTTGACAGATTGACGATTTCAAGGTCAGCAGGCGTGCTAGTCCCGTGCGGATCTGTACGAAGAGCCGTGGCCTTTATGTTGGAGCGCGTCCGGAAGTGACTGCTTTCATCGAGCAAACGTATACTGAACTTGGGATTTTGATGGTGAAGATGGGATTCGGCATGACGAGATGTTGAGTGCTGTCGTGAGGCCGCTAGAAGGGACTTGTACGGCGGTCCATCAGACACTGGATGCTAACGAGGGCAAGCAGTACAATCCGATGGATCTGCCGCTTCCATGCTCAGATGCAAGTGGGAAGCAGATTGCCTTTGATACTCGCCTGCTGCCGCGTATTTGATGACGAGGGCAGACCAGTCGCCAGGACAAAGCACTCGGTTAGGACTATCTTCAACAGACTCGATACCAGAGACTTCCAAGTTCCTTTCATTCTTCCACTACCCCACAATAAACCTAACCGAATTCATAAAGTGCGTGTAGGAGGGGGAGTCACGAAGCGGCCGACAGCTGAGAAGGAGGTAAGGTACTGGTAGGATAAGCGAGCTTCGCTGGCGGCTCGACCGTCGAACAGCACTTCCCGCCCCCCACGCACGCGATGTGATGTTTAGGCTGTACTGTGCTCGCTTCTTGTGCCCGCCTTCCGGAGTGTAGGTCGGCTTGCGACAAGAGAGCAGCCACAATATCGCAGACGCCACTACTAACATCTTAGGTATCCCCTTGACTGGACGCCGCGATGTAGGTTAAGCCACCGGTGTATCACATGCCTTCACATCGTAGAATTCTGTCGTTGTTCCTAACAGCCACCATGGTACCCTTCTTTCTAGAACTTGCCCCCCAGAGACATGCACCAATTTCTGATCAAGAAGCTCGCGAATCGGAGTCCCCACTCGATGCAATTCACTGGGCGAACCACGTCATGCGCCACCACCGACGCACTCACAATTCCTCGACTAGGCAATGTCTCCTATGTTGGAGAGGGACGGAGGATGGGCTGTCCGTCGCATCCGGGGAGGCGTCCAAATTATGCAGCTGGTTGTGTTGCATTCCGGATTCCCCGTATGCAAACAAGACCCCAAAGACAGCATCTCCACGAACACGAAAAGAGCGAGCAAATCCGACGCCTCGGTAGGTGGATCAGATCAACTTGGAGATCTTGTTTCTTTGTTGTGTGGGGAGATCCACTTCTCAACTGCCGGTACACACGCAAAGACAAGAAGATGTGAACTCTGGGCTCGTTTCTCGTATGCGGACACGAAAACGAGCATGCTGCTGTCACATGCTGTGCATATGCCGAACAACTTAGCAACTCGAGGCACATGATTGGATTTCCACAGAATCCTCGGTGATTGAGACACAGTCTGAATCTCCAACGCCGATCTTTCCGCCGATCTCAACGCCAATGGGTCCATTTCTTACTATACCAGGAAAGGCAGCATGACCTATGGAAAGCGCGGCTTCTCGCCAGAGCAAGCCGTAACGAACGGAAAAGCGGACTCGAGCGGGACTGCCCTGCATCTTAAGGATATAACGCGGATACGAACGTTGCAAAGTGTGGGTGACGACCGTACAAGAAGAACAGTTCCTCCCAGGAACTCGGATTCAGTGGTCCTGTTAGAGATTCTCCTTCGACCGCCAAGATGAAGTATTCGTTCAGCATTCTTTCGGCTGCGGCCGCCGTTCTGCCTATCGCGGATGCCTTCCCGGCTGCGATGTTTGAGAGAATCCAGAACGACCCGGAAATCGCTGCTCGTGCCATCAAGATCAATGAGCAGTTGAAGAGGAGACAAGTTGGTGCCGATGCCGCGAATGCAGTCTTTGAGCCGGTGCCCATGTTCAACGCTGCAGAGCAGTATATCGATGTGTCTGCTGCGTCTGGTCATCAATATGTCGCTCCCGGACCTGGCGATCTGAGAGGGTACGCATTCCTCTTAGAGCTCCACACTGTAACTGGATCTTGAGCTGACCTTGACTCTATCAGTCCCTGTCCTGGGCTTAACGCTTTTGCCAATCATGGTGAGTCTTACCAGTCTCTATGCATTCAAGCACGACCAGTCTTTACCCATCGAAGCACGAAGAGTCTTCACCGAGAACAAGGTTCAATCGACGAACGATTGAGGAATAGGCTGACAGAGAACAGGATTCCTACCACACGACGGTTACGCAACAATCCAGCAGTACGTCAATGCAACAGAGCAGGTATGTAGACCTCATGGCGCTGCATCATCGATTGGATATTTCACAAATCCTCCGCGGATTCGGTGAATGTCTGCCATGGGATCCTCGTCACTGACATTCTCCACAGGTCGTCGGCATGGGACCGCTGCTCGCAACATTCCTCTCCGTCCTGGGTGCCGCTATCGATGGAGACCTCACAGCTTGGTCTATGGGTGAGTCAACGCACGTCGAAAGGCCTCCAAACTGCTTGCTTACACTTCACTCGCAGCCGGCACCCCTTCCATCGCTCAGGCTGGCCTGCTGGGCACTCAAGGCAACGGCCTAATTGGATCCCACAACAAGTACGAGAGCGATGCTTCGCCGACCCGGCCAGACCTATACCAATCTGGTAACAACTACAAGACTGTCCCAGAGCAATTTCAAGAGATGATCAACTACTCTCCAGGAGGCGAGGTAAGTAGGGACGAAAAAGGCGGCAATAGTCCTGCGACGTTTCCAACACTTGCTGATCTTGCTAGGTGACCCTCGACTCCCTCACCAACTTCCGTTCCTACCGGTTCGACACGCAAATCCAGACCAACCCCTACTTCTTTAACGGGCCTTTCGCCGGTGTAGCCGTCCAGCCTGCGGCCTACACTTTCATTTACCGCTTCATGGCCAACCACTCCGCAGAGCGCCCCATCGGACAACTCACGTACAGCGTTGCCGAGTCCTGGTTCGGTATGGCAAAGGACAAGAACAACAACTACGTCGCGAACCAAGGAGCGGAGCGCATTCCGGACAACTGGTACAAGCGAGCCAATGCGTACCCGTACGAGATGGACTACTTCCTCGCGGATCTCCTGAATGCCGCTGCCTTGCATCCCAAATTCCTCGACATCGGCGGCAACACTGGAACCGTGAACTCGTTCTCCGGAGTCGATCTGGCTAACCGTAGGCCCACCCACCCCTTGCCGTTGACTTCTCTCGTTGACAAGCGCTGACATTTCGTGCAGTTACCGGCGGTGTCTTCAATTCCGCTTCCTTGCTCCAGGGTAACAATCTGGGTTGCTTCGTCTACCAGCTCTCCGCCCAAGCTAAACCTGATATCCTCCTCGGCCTTCTGACGCCTCTGTTGAATATTGTCGGCCAGCTGATTGCTCCACTCTCTTGCCCGCAGCTGGAGGCTATCGACGAGAAGCAGCTGGAAAAGTTCCCTGGGTATACCCAGAAGGCTGTGTATTCCTAGACGGCGAGAAGCATTATGGAGACATACGGAAGAATCTAGACGGTGGAGCAAAGATGCGAATATAGCTAGCTGTGTATATGAATGAAATGGGAGAATGACCATACGTAAACATTTCGTAGGTCCTTTATTTTTCACGCCTGATCTCAATTGCGGCTCCAGCTTCGCTTCTCCAATGTCAATCGATTCGGGCCTACAGAACGTGCCGGGGTTCCGTCTGGTCCTGTAAACTGTCGTTGGGCTTTGCCTCTCCACGAGATGTCAAGACGACTAAGAGGTAGGCATCCAGAGACATGCAGGCGGTTGTATGCCGCATCGAACCTCATGGTGTTAGCATTCATCTGCTTCGCTTCGCGGAGTGTCCTGGATTTGCTTGGCAAGTCTCTTGGCCGCATCGTCTCCAGCTCTGACGTTTTTGACTACGATAGTACAGAAGATGTTGTGTTGGACGCGCTCGATGCTTTGAATGCGTACAATGTCCTCGAAGGCAACGGTTTTGGTCTCATTGCAGAAGGAGATTCCAGAGAAATGCTAGCGGTAGCGCCATTAGATATCCCTCGTGATCAGCTGTAAGGGATGTTGCGTCGATCTAGACATTACCGTGACCTTGCTTGCAGAGCCGGTCGGAAGAAGCTGAAATATCCAAAGCGTATACGAAGAGATCTAACGCCTCCGGCATGCGAGAAATGATACTTAAGTCCCGATATGCAGTAAGCCTTCACGCCAATCGACGTCGACGCTGGCCGATATAGAAGGATGCGAAGCAGAAACCTGCGCTAGCATTTCTCACATACATCACCGACAATTGCACCTGCATTGCCGTGATGGATCGTCTCGTCATAGCACTGAAGGAACACAATTGGTCGGATTGGCTCTTCGTGCGCTCTTCCGGGAGACGTGTTAGAGAGACCGATCAGATCGGATACTTGGTCTACGAATTGATCATCGCTAGGTCCCACAACATTGCTATATAGCAGCCTAATCTGGTCCTGGAGCCTTTCGTATCGGCCTTCCTAGGCAAGTCGCTGATCGATAGCGTCCCTGTCTTGTCCACAGAGTCGTACGCCGATAGTACTTACACATCCGGCGACATCCAGGCCAGAAGCTTCTAGGGCTAACCTACTAAGGGCACCTACAGCGTATCTCCACGGTCGAGTACCCTAATCGAAGCGTCTTACGTATCGGAATATTGTAATCTCCTCAGCTGAGATGACGACACTTTTTAGACCGTGGATGCCTTCTCGAATGATCGTGTAGGCGTGTAGCTTTCCTCGAGCACTCAGGCCCCAGGTATTGTGGTCAACGTAGCCCGAGTCTATGCGGTAATTGGTTCTGGCAGAAGTAGGTACTATGAAAAGCGGACTGAGATCGCCTGGCTCTGCGAGGATCCGCTTTATCGCCATGCTGAACATTGCCTCTTCTGGATCAATTGTCCCACCTAGGGCATATCCTGTTCTGAGTACACCCTCGAAGCCATGGAAGAGGTCAGTCGGCACGGTGACACGTCGTCTGGAGAGAACGATGTGTACCACGCCAAAGCATGGTCTCTTGTCTTTTGCGAGCGCATCCGAACGGACCGAGCTGATCGTTCCCAATTGCCATGGCACCTAGCTTCCATCGTCCCAGACAATCGGTTCTAGCTCTCGACCGATGCCATGCATTCGAACCTGGTCTCGCCAACGACCTCTGAGCTCATCGATCAGTGCTCGACTAGCTTTATCGGGATCGATGAGTTTGAAGTCTTTGGCCTAGGAATCGACAGGCCGAAGGCGAGTAAACGTCTTCAAGACAAAAAGGAGGCCTTCCAGGTACATGACTACTTACCAGAACCATCATATTAGCGCTCTCCGTGTGCTCCATAGTGCTCCACATCCGGCTATACCAAGCCGCAGTACAAATCTTGCCCATTGATCGACATCGTTCCTCCTTGGACATTCCGGAGCGCATAGAGTCGAATGCAGAAGCGCCCATGTCACTCAAGTAGACCACCGTCATCTTCGCTTTAGCAAAAAGCTGCGGCATGTGATGAATGATATCTCTCTTCAGATACTGTGACCACTGCGGAACGGAGATGGAGTCGTGCCAGATCTCGAACGGTGCATCTCTAGTGACCAGGCCAGTCTACAGAGCAATGCTAATTTTGTGGGAAGATATTGTACTAGAGTCTCTACAGCGGTTTGGCCCATCGGGAGTTAATCTTTATGATTTCGATGTTGTCGATGACGTTGAATATTTGTGCGAATGCTTTGTCGATGTCGATAGCTAAGTAACATTCGTAGCAGACTGTGCCACGGAGCTTATCTACGTCCTACAACGAATGCAAGGGCTGTCAGGCTTCTTCTTCGGATATGGTGACGTGACGACAGGAGCAAGAGGGGATGTATCCTTTTGTCGCTATCGGACAGCATTATGGGCTTTTAAAAAAGCCTGGCCTCACCTCTGACATCCTTGCATAGCCTTGTGCATCTGGACTCAGCTTAGAAAGATACTTTTCTAGAGCAGACGGGCCTAAGTTAGTACGCAGCACCAGCTTCCACGATTGATAACGAGAATAGAGCTGGTACCAGAAAGGCTCTTTGCAAGTATGACACTTTGGTCCCTGCGTTGAACGAGCTCTCGAGTCTCGGTCGCCCTAGGTTGAGGATTCTTCTTCCTATCTCTTGCCCGCTATACATGTCGTGGTATACTTGGTCGGAGCTACGTGGCATGACCTTACTCTCGGTAGAGTCAGTCGCTCAGCTCTATGCGGGCCCAGAGGGTGCTCATGCTAGCGTCCGAGCAGTCAATCGACATCTGGTACTGTAATAGCCCGTCAATCATTCCCCCTATCACTCCTAAGAATCTGTTAAGCATTAACTATCCCCAGCAAGTGAATCGACCCGGAGCAGTGGCACACGATTTCGCTTACGAACTACGCGGCGTCATTAGCAACTACGCGTAACGCGACCCATGATCACGACAGTCGAGGCTGGCGCGACCAGCGTTCGGCGGTAGTTGCGGACGAAGATTGGGTAAATAAGTGTGGTCGGGAGCAGGATGCTAAAGGGCGATTCAGTGAGAACCTTGGTTCGGCGAACACTTGTCACTAAGAGAGTCTTGAGAAGATCTCTCACTTCTTTTTGTCAAAGCTAGACAGCGTTGCTACTAATCTTTCACACATTCATTATAGCACTATCATCGGTGGAAGCCTCAAGGAGTGCTTTCAGATGCAGTGGTTGTCTTGATTATCTTTCACCAACCCTCCAGCTTTAGGTATCTCCGCACCTATCGTTCCGAAGGGAAAGAGCTGTAGAAAAAGACTGGTGGCTCCAATGCAACCGCAGAAACATGCTGCCGCTCTTGTCCGAACAAAGAGGCTGCACATAGTCTTCCGTGTCTTTCTGGTCCAGCTCAGCAGCCAAGAGGACCGGGAGAGCCGGGGTCGTAGCTGGCTCCTCAAGAACGCTTTTGAGCCAGGATGCCATCGAAACAAAAAGCGGACTCTCTTTCCAGGGCATTTCGACCATCAGCGATTGTAGTTTGATTGCATTTGATTTCAGAAGCGGCATGTCAAAAGCCACACGCCTGCTCAAGCGGATGCATATCTCCATGACCCTGGCGGAGAGCATGCCGAGAACTAAGCATATTTCGTGATTCTCAGGAGTGGCCGAGCCATGCGCTCGCTTGATTAACTCGCAAGCTATATTCTGGAGACAAAGAATGTCGCAGCCAGTGGGCTCGTATTCGGAGCTGATACAAAAGTTGGCACAGCAACAGGACCTATCAGATGACCGATCCTTACTCCACGATCGAGCGGTCGATTTGCTCCAGGAGCATCATCACTTCCTCCGAATCAAAATTCTGCAGATTACAATGGATCCAAAGCTTGCGCGGGAGCAGATGGGTGTCGCATTTGATTTCTGGGAGTGCGAAGCTCGCGCGCCAACGAAGACAATTTTCTCCAGGGACGCATGGGTCCCGGTCTGCGCTATGCGAGGCCACAGACAATCTAGAAAGTGCCTTTGTAACACTTTCAACATCTTTAGCATGTGATTGTCCCAGGTCGATGCTAGCAGAAGGGAGCAGCAATAAGGCATTGAGGCGAATCTGCTCCTCCTTACCCTTTGCATCCTGTGCTCGACGTTGAATGTCACGTTCTGCGGATGCTAATGCCTCTCGTGATGCTGCGAGCTCCCTGGATGAGTCTTCATTGGCTTTGGTCTTCTCCTCCAGCTGCTGGGAGAGTGATTGATTCTGTTGATTGACGTTCGAGACCTTAGATTCCGCTTCTCCGAGTTGGGCTGTCAAGTCGTTGATTTATTTCTGCTGTTGGATCTCATTGTCGTTGATATTCTGCGCATCTTGCTCTCGACATTGGATGTCACGTTTGGCGGATGCCAAACCCTCTCGTGATTGCGTGAGCTCCGTTTGTAAGTCTCCATTGTCTTTGATCTTTTAATCTAGTTGTTGGGAGAGTGATTGATTGTGTTGATCGACGCTCCAGACCTTGGCTTCCGCTTCTGTGAGTTTGGTTGTCAAGTTGTTGATTTGTTCCTGCCATTGAAGGTCGTTGTCGTGGACAGCTTCCTGTGCAGCTGACTGCTGCTGCTGCTGGATTTCGCTCCTCATGGCCGCGACAGCCTCTTCGATCTCTCGACCGGATGCCTTGCTGCTGGCCTCGACAGCTTTGGCCTCGCCCTCGGCGAGAGCTCTCGCCCGCTTGATTTCCTCTACAGTTTTCTGGAGCTTTTTGATTTCCTTCTTGTGAGATTCGATCGTCTTCTCATTTGTCTGATTTTCCTCCCACACGGTGCGCACAACATTTCCCTGCTTCCCGAGCAACTCGGCTTTTGATTGTTCTGGTGGACTGACTTCTGCAACGCTGCAAACACGTCTGCTACGCTCCACTTCTTTGCCGCTTTGCTCTCTGTGGACGTAGGGTGCAAAAACTTCAGCATGGATTCTGCTGCTGCTGTCTGCATCCTCATGATTCTGTGGCAGAGTTATGTACGGATCCTTGGGAGCAAGTTGATTGTCTGATTGTCTGATTGTCTGATTGTCATGCTGTCATGTTGTCATCACGAGAGCGCCCTCAGCCAGAGTATAGATCGACTGGGTCGTATTGCCCGTGGGTGCTCGTGATTACCTCGCGACGGGCATTGGTGGCAAAATTGCCGCCTGGTGCAGCTGGAATCTCACCCACGTCCATACTGAGGCCGAAGCTGTTCTGCACAGCGGCATCAAGGCCAAGAGTCTTCCAGATGTGATAGACTGGTTCTCTGGGAAGAAGTCAGCCTTTGTCAACTCGAAAGGAGAACTGTACAGACACACCTGCAGTCCCAGAATGTGGCCACGCGCCAATACATGGTGGCCTCGGCAAGAAGCACGAAACGGCATCTGTGGCGGATTAGTGAGATGTTCCAGATGAGCCACATGAGATTTCCAAGCGGTACATACTCGTTGAATTCCTTGAATGTATCCGCAACAGCGGACTTGACAACATTGATGCCGATGAGATCCACAGCATACTTCTCCAGAGGATGCAGTAGGATGTCGATTGTCAGAGGGAACTGCTTGTGTACCTGAAGAAATCGTTAGAACAACGGTCATCGGATACAACACGGTTGCGAGTACCTGGACGAGCATTTTGCGCCGCGGGTATACTGTCCAGCTGTCCCACAGTTCCGGGCCAACGCGGTGGTAAAGATTGAACATTGCCAAAGACATGGCGTCGCAGGTGCCTCGCTGAACCAGCGTCTGGTACTCCATAACATCTGCAATGAGGTCGCCGTGGTTGCCGGGAGTCTTCCACTTGTTGATGATTTTCGCAATTGTGCTCCTATCGCACCATGCGTTGCGGTATAAGTGAAGTCTGGTGGACTGCGTACGTGCTTTCTCGACGTGTGGAATGTCGACATGATTTTCGTTGGCGGGCTATTGGTACGCATTAGCACATTGGTCTCTGGACTGCCGAAAGTGCACTCACATTGAAGAACACGTCGCGGGCGAGTTGGAGCTCGTCGCCTCCACGGCGAGTCTTCTCGGTTTCCTCGCTTCGTCGAGCGCGGTCCTGTTCTTCTTCGGTCAAGAAGAAGGGATTGACGTACAAGAGGCGGTGGGAGGTGAGATCTGTAAGCTTGAGAAGCTTGGTATAAACAATCTGCAGCTGTTGCTTCCATTCGACGCGTGATGTCGGAGGCTCAGGGTCCAGCCAGGGGACGTCCTTTCCAGGATTCTGACGCTAATGATGTTGTATGTAGTAAAGATTGTCGTAAGCACACTTCTCCGCCTCGGCGAACCAGGCTTTCTGTTAGGCTTCCTGCGCCATTTGCGAGCGGCTTACGTGCGGTAGGGCGGGATATGGATCTCTTCAGTGGCGGTCGTTGGATATCTGGTGGCGATTGGCTGATGTGTGGCTGTGCCGAGTTGCTAATGTAGTCTGTGATAATGTTTTGCGAAATCTGCTGTAATGGGCTGGGAAGCAGGCAGCAAACTCTTAGCGGAATTGACTTTACGCTAACAAATCAGACAGCTGAAGAACTCACCCGAGCTCACTTGCAATTGCTCCCACTCCCACACTTCCCAAATTACCGAGAGTCTTTTTGTCGACCATTAACACAACACTGCACGCTATCTCGCCGCAATAATAGAATGTACGAGCCAGTGTGCGTTCCTCCAACGCCAGTCTGCGGAGACCGAAGAGTGCGAAATGGTATGCAAAGATGCAAAGAGATAATAAAGACGCCACTGACATGATTTAAGGTTCTCCCGTGACTACTACGGTCCAGATGTGTGGTGTTCACCTCGGTTTTCCAGCTCTTCTAGTCTGGGCCAAGGTTGGCACTCCCCTTTACGGCGACTCGATTGCTGCGCCGAAGCTGGAGTACATGCTCGGAGATAGTTCACCTATTGCGGAAGAGGAGGTTGCGCTGTGCAAGGCCTTCGCGTCCTTGGCGAGTCGTGTCGAGGCCGCAAATCGGCTGCAAGAGGCTGCAGATCAGTGGGATCGAATCGACGAGGTATCGTCGCTGCCAATCTACGCTCCACATCTTGACCTCGACCCCACGATCTACATTCTGGAGGAGTCAATCAAGCCCATCATCGGATCGGGTATCCAGTCCGTCGCTAATCTCCACAAGATTACACACGACGAGCTGCAAGTCCATTCTGTCTACACGGAATCCAGAGCGCCTATAGAAGCGGAGCTTAGGGTATGCTCCGATCTGAGTACGAGGCTGGGCGAGGAGTATAGCACACACGACATTCCAAGCGGTTAACAAGTGTTCGATGCACTTGTTGCGCTCGGCGCCAGTACGGACCGCACTGAGCTGCGGATGTGGTGCGCCGACGACTTCGTCTTCATTCACCGCAAGTACCAAGCATGGGTCGCTGCCAAAGACTTCGCTATCATACCAAGCGCGGCGGACTTCATCAACTCTCAAGCCTAGCAATGGACTTAGTCGACTCGCTGCATGGCCTTGATGGAGTGTCCCTTGATGTCGAAGGTTGTTAAGACCGAGGTCTTCCGTGGTTTGCCAGCACTGGAGAAATGTCTCTCGACTCAGACATAATAGCAAGTCAATGCTTAACGGACAATGTTGCGTATGTCGGCAGATAAATGGAAGGACAGAGACAATCAAGTAATAGACGAATGAATGAGAGACAGGGAGAATCAAATGATAGACAATCAATGTGAGACTATTTTGCTGTTTGAAAATTTCGTACTCGGTTACGCAGTGTGATTGTGGTATTCCAACCCATCCATCATCCAGAATTACATCCTTCGTTTTTGCTGCTATTATGACTGGCATTTAATTGTCACATTGTGCAATAGACCTATCGTCATTTGAGGGCACGGCCTCACGCCGTGAACGAGAGGACGCGGTTTGGCTTTGGCTTCTTGGTCGGCGTGGCGTCGTCCGCCTTGTTTTGGATCTCATTCGAGTGTATTTCAGATTTGCGCTTAGTTGGAGTGATGTTGCGCCCGCGGCTCCCAAGGACGTGCACGCTGGAGTTTGCAATATCTTTTCCCTGGCGGTGGTCAGCGAATTGTATTGTCAGTTCCACATAGAGTATCACATACTGCTCCAATCAGGCCGCCGGCCAAGGGCGTTCTGCTATTCTCCAGCCCGATAATTGGAATGTTACGTAAGTCGCCGAAGCGGCTTAAGAGCGAGCTCGGATAGTCGTCGTCGAAGAAGTCTAAAGAGATTAGAATACACTCGGATAGTGATGATGGAGAGAAGCGACTCACGGATCATGTTCTGTTTGCGTCGCTTCTTTATCTCCTTACGAGTGTCAGAAGAAATCCCGTAGAAGTATGGTTGGATAATTAAACGGAAGGTGTTTTCGGCCATCTAGATCGAATACAGACTAGAGTGTGTTCGTTCTGTTCTGCAGCAGTTGTCGACCTCACCTCAACGAAGAATTCCTCGAAAAAAGCACGACGAGCGATGTTCGCATCTAAGTCGTGGAAGAAGATTGCCGCGATATCGAGAGGCCCGATACTATTCTCACTCCACATCCCAATGGAATGAGAGGGGGGTATTGATTGAAAATGAAGCGGAATGCTTCTCGACGCTGTTGCGCAGTGCAAGCATCCCAGAATGGCATACCCCCGCTCAGTCTTATCCAGACCAAGACGCGGACCTCGATAAATGTCAGAGGGCGCGCCAGACGATAATAAACGATATTGTTGAACCACGCTCTGATTTTGTGTTTAGTCATCTCGACATGGCTTCCGTGGGTTACGTCGATGATTAGATTGATTTGACGCTCGCTGAGGTCAAGAAAGAGGGGAACGGCCGCGCATATAAGAGCTCGCGCACCCCTATCTTCGTGAGGAGTCTGCATGATATACTGGACGCAACTTGCCACTCTGATCCTGAGGCACTGTGATGAAGTAGTTGGTTTTGGTTCGCTGCAAGATCGGATTTGTTTCGTCGGCGGCAATCTGACGCTGTAGCTCATGCATCTGCCGCATGGTATTCTGCTGCTCTGTACTCATGATGGTTGTGTGTCGGGAGACGGGCGTGCTGATTGAGATGGACGGTTGGAAAGTTGCGATCCTGGAATAGTATGGAAGACCAAAGTGTTGAGGCTGGAAGGGGAGTCAAGTTGCAAGTAAGATGGAAGACTGTCACAAGCAGAGACCGGGGAACTACCGAGTTGCGGAAACTGCCGAGCTGCGTTTGTTGAGCTCTGCTTCAGTAGAGACAGGTGACCGCGACGGTGGTCTGGGACAGCAGCGTCGCCCGCATTCACTATTTCCTGAGCTCCGTTCCACCCCACAGATAGAACAGTGGTTCGCGGAACATCACCACTGGCCTTCACCGTCCCCGGGCTCTGGATAGCACGCAGACATTTGCACGAGAACAGTTGCCCTGTCTTTCGAGCGATTTCTGTCTTGACCGGGTGTGCACAGGTGAGATGCCGGTAGCGGGATGCTACGAAGAAGCAAATGGAGCCCGACCGCCCTCTCGCTGCTAGAGGGGAGAGGAAGAAGCGCCGACGGTTAATACGATACATATTACGCAAGACTTCTAGAAGGAAACTAAGTAAAACTAAGCTAAAACTAAGTAAAACTAAGGCTTCTAGAAGGAAACTAAGCGGAAACTAAGACTTCTAGAAGGAAACTAAGAAGAAACTTAGATGTTACTAATAGTTAGGTTTAGTTAGGGTAGGTATATACCTAGAGAGGATACTACCGCCTAGAAAACCGATAGGTACCTAGTAAATTTAGCTAGGTAACCTAAAATTCGCTAGGTCTTAGGGTACCCTTCTAATTTTACTAGGTACCTTTAGGTAACGAGTAGGTATATAGTAAGTAAGTAGGTAATCTAGGTCGGTACATAGTAAGCGAGAAGGTACCTAGAAGACTATACTAAGTTTACGAATTATTTATTCGTACATACGTAACACAGAAGTCTTTATACGTTAAATTCGTATTACTACCGTAGAGAACATTAGAGAGAGGTAGAGAACTAGGCGAAGCATCTTAGTAAGAGTATACGATTAGAACGTCTTTAAAGGGCTATCTAGAGAAGAGCGATATAGAGCCCTATTTCTAATATTTAGAGTAGCCTAGATAGTCGGAACGTAACTTCCGAATAAGTACTATATCCTTCTACTAAAGAGTCTTCCGCTTAGCGTAAACTATTACCTAAACACTAACTATAAGGCGTTAGTATGTCGAGTAAGTATAAGAGATGCCCTAGTACGTACGTTTAAAGTATTAGACTAGGAGATGTTCGGTAGCCTCCTAAATCGAATCAATCGTACTATATTAATATCGTATGTCGGTATCTGTTATAAAATAGCAGCTTAGGAGGAAAGTGGGAGCAGGCCAAGTAGTAAGCTAAGTGGTCACGTGACTAGGTCACGTGACACGACAAGCTTAGTAATAGTAGCTAGAAGGGGGAGAGCGGGCTTCTCTCTCTCTTACCTTCTACTACCTTTATACTAGACTATCTTAGATACCTCTATATAAATTAGGTCCTTCTTCTTCGATTATTAAGTCCTTACTTCCGCTATAAACTACGTAACATATCCTATTTTTAATAGGTTATAAGCCCGGGTTTATAAGACAGGTCTTAAATTAAGTAAGAAGTACAAGTTATTCCTTACCTTATAAGACCTTACGGGAGGTAGAAAAGGAAGGCCGACTAGAGGCTCGCTACTATAGTGTACCTAGAAGACATAGCTCTTACTATAAGTGCATATAAGTCGTGAAAGTAGCCTAGTAAGAGAGTAACCGGTCTGCTCTTAATACCCTATAACGGTCTTAGGAAGAGTCTATCTAGACTACTATAAATTCGAACCTCTCTATATGTCTAGGAGAATTTTATACCTATAAGAATCCGCCCTTCCGCCATTTCGGCACTTCTTTATATGTTGTCTATATACCTTTCCATAACAACTGTTTTACTATAAAGCTATAGTATCTACTTATTAAAGAAAAGTATAGAGTTAGATTCTAGGTCTTTTAGAAAGAGGAGGGTAGTACCTCTATTATTAAAAGAAAATTAGAGAACATAGTTTAGTCTTTAGGAGGACAACCTTAAAGGGAAGAATGTGTTTTAGGTTATTTTAATTAGTTTAGCTTTAATAGAGACCCTAGTATTAATACTAGAGGAAATCCCTTTACCTAGTTTAAGACATTCAGTTCACTTACTAGAGTAGTCTTAGGCTAATATAAAAGCAAGATATAAACTAGTTATCTACCTATTAGAAGATAACTAGGATAAGGTAATTAATAAGAAGAGGGCTAAAGCTGTCTAGGACAAAATAAAGGCTAAATACTATAAAGTATACATTATATATACGATGTCCCTAGTTAAGGAGTATATTATATTTAGGATGTTAGAAGAATAGACAATTAGAAAGGCCTAGGTACACCTTAGCAATCTTAGGAGAAGGATTACTAAAGTAGATAAGAGGGAGTCCTACTATAAGAGTACAGAAAGGAGGATAAAACATCTTCTTACTAGTCTGCTACCTATATACTAGAGTATAGTAGACACTATTTATGCCTAGACTAGGATAACACCTAAAGAGGCGCTTTACCTCTTAGAGTTATATAAGGCTAGGCTCTAAAGATAAGAAACTATAATGTTTAGTGGGTAAAAGGGAGGACTTACCTACTATCTCTATAAGTAGTACTTAATTAAAGACTGTCCCTACCTCTAGTAGGTAAAGCAGTCTCTTAAAGGAAAAAGAGAGGGGCAGGTCCCCTCTAAGGAAGAACAGATCACTATTAAGGATAAGCCTATCTAATCTCTAAGAGGAGATAAGATCGTTAAAATCCTTAGTAGAAGTCTCTAACCTAGAGAAGAAGTCTAGTTAGAGAGCTAAGAAACCTTAGAGAGCTTATGCCTCTAAGAGGCTAAGGACTCTATAAAGCTAAAGTTAGAATCCCTATCTAATAATAAGGAAACTAATAAGGTTGCCTACTCTATAGTAGAAGTAAAGGGTAAGTACCTATCTAAATAGTTACTTAACTCTACATTATCCTATATAACTAACTAACCTTCTCTCTTTAGAACTATAAAGCCTCTTTAGAAGGCCTAGATAGATAAGGTTAGTGGCTTAGCTTTATAAAGCTACCTACGTAGGAGAAGTAGAGATAGGAGGGGACCTTAGGAAACAAATTGTTCTAAGAGATATTCTTCTTGTTCCTAGTCTTAGTATTAGTCTTGTTTTATAGAACTAGTTTAGCTAACAGTTTGCTATCTAACTACCTAGTTTCACCCTTAGATCTATGTCTAGCAAACTAGTTGTCTAGACCAAAATTTATAGAGGTATACCCTTTATTTTATCTCTGTTAGATAACCTATAGGCTATATTAGTAATAGATATAATAGAGGAGTACATATATGCCTTGCTTTTAGCTAAGGAACAGGCTTAGTAGGAGTTATAGTATAGGAGATTTGTATACCTTAGAAGTGGTAGCTTAAGAAGCTTATATAAGGTTACTATATTAAATTCTCCTATTCTAGTACTAAGTAAAAAGCACCTGTATAAGGTGTACTTACTTACAAACAAACGAAAATATAAGGGTCCTATTACTAAAAGGAAAGGTAAAAGACTAGCCCTTGTATCTATTAATATCTATAAGCCTTTTAATAGTACTGTCTTAAGGCTTAGTTTCAAGTACTAGCTAGAAGTAGTAGACAACTTCTCTAGGAAGAAGTAGATCTCCCCTAAAGCTAAGGACAGATGCTCTAACAGTACTAGAGGAATAGAAAAAGAAAGTAGAGAGGCAATTGAGCTGCTTTCTAAATTCAATTAGGAGTGATAGTATAAAGGGGAACTCCTTACTATTTTTAAGTAGTAATTTTAGCATTTAGGTTGATATAACTAATGCCTATAACTCTCTCTAAAATAGTGTAGTAAGAAGGTTAATCTGGAGCCTCTAAGTAGACAGTACGTACAATACTCTAGGATTTAGGCATACTATAGAGTTCTAGCTAGAAGTACTACTTACTTAGGTAGAGATAGGGAACAAGCTCCTAAATAGTCCTCTAATTAATAGAATTTAAGTGTCACCTAATAAAGCATTTATAGGTAAGATCCTATTAGTTAACTATTTTGAGGTTTAGGGATATAAAGTAGTAGTCTATATAGATCTAAGGTCTAGCCTCAGGTCTAGAGAGACAAATTAATAAATAGGGGGAAAGGAGTTGTCTTTATAGGTTATATAGATAGAACTATAAAGTAATAGTTGTTTTTAGGAGCCTAATATAAAGGCTATTAAAGCTTACTCCTAGGTAAGATTTCTTTAAAGAAGAAAAGGGAGGGGATATAGATTTAGGCATTTTAACTTCAAACTAATCTAGTAAGCTCCTAGAGGAATCTA